CTGTCGTTCAAGCCGAGCCAGAAGGAGTCGATATCGGAGAACTCTGTCCCCAGCGCGTCGTGGATCTCCTGTGTCATGTCGGTCAGGATGTGACTCTCAGAGAAGATACTCTCACAGTCCCTTTTCGCAGACAGCCAGTCTTTCTTCTCGAAGCTACGTTTATTAACCCTGCAGAAATGACACTATATGTTGTTAATTTATTGAACAACATTAAAAGAACAAAACACAGTAGTGGACAGCTCTAGCAAATTGCAAATTTTAGCCTCCAGTAACAAACAAGGAAGAATGCAATCAATAACAAAGATTTTGTATTGATTATATCCTTATTTTTAATGTTGTTTGTTTGTTTGTTTCTTTGTTTACACCCATTCATTGATAGTTCAGTTTGAGACACTCATGAGTATAACAGTCATAAAAGTTTCAACAACAGTAAAAACCCAGACTAGATATTTTCTACCAAACCGAAAAAAATATTTACAGATTTAGAAACTAAAGCAAACTACATCGTGCAACTGCATTTTTCGATTGGCACAATAAATTACGAGAAATACCTACCGAAAACAATGTCCAAGGAATCTGTCAGGGAAACCGCCATGACAGCTCCCTTCTTGAGCATCGGCCGTGTGAAGTCCAGCTGTATTAACAACGGGAATGGACGTCGATGAAGGTTAGACATCCAGAAAATGAGATACACAAGAAAATAGTTACACAAGCAACTAGAAACTTTTAATATGGGGTTAATAGACCTCAATGGTCACTACTACATTTAAACATGCTAATTTTGGACAGAATATTTCACTCAGACTATAGAGTAGAAACCAATCACTAACTTTACTTATTTTTTCCCTTACTCATTTCTTGATTTCGTATTTCTTTATATAATACTTATTTCAAGTACTGATTTGCCAATATATTAGGGAACAGACTGCGATCAAGCTACAATGTATATAATCGTGATGGCCTCTAAAAGTTAACGTATCCTGAAATTTGAACTTACAAAAACATCTATGTTTTGAAAATGTATTTAATTCTATTATAATCTTCATGACCTTTTGGAGTCACATATTTGACTCGACCCCCTCTCTTTTACTCAGTGACCTTTCACCCGACCAGGTGCTGCTGACAAAACATACTGTTTACAAACATTAATGCATCCAATGTTTATTTACCATAGCTTGAGACTATTTGACAGGTGCAAAAGTACAAAAAGTATTTAGTTATGAATGTGCCATCCTCGTTAATGTTATCATAATGATTGTACGTCGGTAAGTTTGAAATAAAATTTGTTGTGTGCTTTACCCTTCACGTTGGTTTCACACAGAACGCGGTGTATTGGTGAGCTATTTGATATGTCCTCAAGGCATTTCTTCTTTTGACTAGTCTTTTGTGTAAATGTTCCGAAGGATTATTCTACTCAAACTTTACAACAATACACGTGTTTCATCACATGTCACCAGTAGTGTAGATATCTCTGCATTTCTGTTGTGTTTTTACCCTTGGTTTCACAGATAACGCGGGGAGAGCTATTTGATATGTCCCCAAGGCATGTCTTCTTTTGTCTAGTCTTATGTGTATTAAATGTTCTAATACTCTATCTAAACTTAACTACAACTCTGCACATGTCCATACCACACCAGACGTGTATATGTGGTATACCGTATAGGAAGAGAAAAAAGGCACACCAAATACTTCAGAACTTAGTCGTGTATTGTTTCTTCTGCAAATTGAGTGGAACAATAGGTACCCTGTGTTAACCTTGGGCGCGCCTTGCCATGTACGCACGAACAATTACTTATTCCTGAGTAACCTGTCTTGATTACAGGGATGACATCCGCGCGCGCATGAATTTTTGTCCGTTTCCAAAAACAAAGGTTTCGACCATACTGTAAATCAATCGCACAAAGCATCTGCTGCAAAATGAGCAAAAAATATGTATGCCGTGAATTGCACCATAAAAATCGTCGAAACTAATGTCGTAGAATGCCAAAATCAATTCCAGAAGAAAAGAAGAAAACGTAAAGAAATGAACATGAAGTCTTTTATTCTCTTATCTACTTCTATGTTTCATTTGTTCAACCTTCATGACCACGTAGATTTCATAATGAAGGCACTTATTTTTCCAAACTTATTCGCTCGCTCGCACCATGCAGGTTTGTAAAAACACGCCAAAAATAACCCAAAACCCAAACCTCTGCTTTGAGAGTATCAGTTTTTGGGGTTCCCAGAGGATGTCACCCATATAATCAAATCAACATGGCCTAGTGGCGCACATGCACGTTTACATGCAGTAAGACTGACGCACCAGGTGGGGCCTTGTGTCACCACGGATAGGTCAGCGGTGATGTCGGCGGATACCGTAATTGATAACTTCTAATTTTCCCCTCCACTCAGCTGGCGACAACACAAGCAGCCCTTGTGTTTACACCACGCAATATGGGAGATAATCTGTCTATGTTGGACGCGGTCACGCCTACCATTCTATGCGAATCGAATTGGAGTCAAATTTAAGTCAAATGTGACTTAAATCTTAATTATGAATCAAAAGTCACACAAATCCAATTTTGGTCGCTTGGTCGTCGGGTAAAGCCCCTTTCACACATTCACGAATTTTGCCTCCCGAACACTAGCAGAACATCTCGCCATGGTTAGGCGTACATGTATGTTGGAGCAAAGTCGGCCAGGTCGGCTACTATTCGGCTGTGCCAGCCGAACGTTTCAAAATGTTTCAAACATTCGGGAGTTGGTCGGGAGTTTCACCCATGGTTGGCTGGTGTTCGGTTGTAAGTCCGCAGGGTTTGTTTCGGGGTCAATTTTGATTTAAATTTAACTACAATTCGTTTCGATTCGAATATACAAGGTAGGAAAGGCCAAAATCTGACCAGAATGCTCCCGAACGTCAGCCGAACGTGGTCGGCTGTTGTTCGGGGGGAGGTCCCGAATGTGACAGGAGCATAGATAACAATGGGACCATGTCATCACATGGGTTATGTGTTACTGGGTTAACTGAAAGGCATGTTCAATGATTTGGTAAAAAAATTTTTTTTTTTAATTCACCAACCCCTTTTAATAGTCTTACGGAGCATTGCATTACAATGAATTTTAGAAAACTATATTGCCTGAAATGTCAAACTCATTACACTAGTCAGTCTAAAAGAAAAATCTAGTCGTCAAATTTGTTTGTTTGTTTGTTTGTTTCTTAGTGTCTTTATTTTGCCATAGTGCCGACCTTGGCCTAATTGGTCCGCAGAGGACAAACAGAAGAGGCCAGGGTCAACAGGATTACCGAGAAATCTCGTGGGTCCTGCACGTGTTGGGTCGTGTGGCGGGACCAAGAAGTCTCGAGTTCGAATCCTGCTATGCCACGGATCGTGTGTCTTTGGGAAAGGACACTTTACACGACTTTCAAAATGACTATTATCTATGTCTGTGTTGATGGCGCCATGAAAATGAGTTGAATAAACTTGAGTGTGCCGTCACTGTGTCTTGTGTTAAATGTTGGAATAGAAAAAAAGAATTCTCGGACATGTAGACGCGAGAGAGAGGGAGTAATTTTATCATCTTCTATTTCGATCGTTAATAAGGGATCGGTACTGTTATGATCCAGATTAATAATAAATACTTATGTGAGGCAATAAATACTTATATGAGGCATAGTTCTCCAATCATTCTATCAACAGTTTGGCATTCGGTCGACGACCAAATGATTGTAGGGTGTGTGTAGTGACTGTTTTCCCATGAAATGTTCAGAACATACGGGAAACCAACATCTGCACTTTTCAATACTAAGCTTCCAGTCACACGTGCAAGAGTGTTATACGATCGCATACTCGTTCTCGGTTTAGTCAAATATTCTTGGAAAAAAAATCTCATGATAATAAATCATTTTTCTCCTGTTTGAAAGAGCGCCAAGGTCACACGTGGTTTACTTGAATTGTAGTGTAACAGATATTCATGTGTTCTGGTTCAAAATGTACAACAGATTTTATGTCTACAACATTATGGTGATCTAAGATACCCATGTTTACGTTTCAGAAAGAAAAACTCTATCCGTGTGAACTGACTACATGGCCAAAACACATGTCTATATCGTCAGGACGATCTCAGTAATAGGTGAGGAATGTTGACTTACCGGCGGCAAAACATATCGCCAACGCCAAGCCGATCAGAAAACCCCGCGATACTCCCATCTTTTCGGTCCTCACAGGGTAACGTTCCTCAGTACTGTATCCTTGGTGTCCGTGCGGTCTCAAAACACGTTTAGAAGAAACGGAAAGATTCAAAACTTGGAGTTCACTGACTAAGGCTTGGCGTAAACCCAACAAGGTTATCCACTATGACGTGCCCTCAAACTACTACTCGAGACTACAAAGCGAGTGAGAAACCTTGAAAACTGGGTTCGCCCAAGGGTAGGCCAATCGGATCGCCCGGTACTAATAGACAGAGAGAACTTGTAAATCTGGTTCCCGTTCAAACCCCGCCCAATATACAGACCCTCCTGTTTCATTTAATGACCTGTTTTTCTGGTAAAAATCCTCGAAATCCCGATCACATCCCTTTTATTCAATAGTGTATCGTTTTATCCTTATAATTTACCGGCTAGTGCTAAAGGAACAATGTGAATAATCCTGCCTATAGCCTACAAATCGTACAAGATCGCCCTGTGTTCGCTGACCCCATAATAATGACATCATAATTATAATTGGTCACGTTGCATCGCTTTTAAGCAGTGACGCGGGTTAGCTACGTCACTCTAGTCGACTAGTAAGGCACCAGTTGTTATAATAAGATGGCCTGGCCGATATGAAATAGTTTATAAATAGATAACAAAACCAGACGGACTGTATCTGCGTAGATATCAATATAAGCTACGTGACTAGGTATATTACGTACGGGTTGCTAAATATCATCTTAATTTGAATGCCTGAAAGCTTTGACGAATTACTCATATGAGCATTGGTCAATTAGCAAGTCTGTTATAATTAAATAAAACTCCGGGCCTTGTTACCAGCTTGGTTCTTGATAACGATCTTGTATTCGACCTCCATTGTCCTCGTGCTAACATTGTTGTCAACAATTAATCAAATCCTGACAATTTTTCTGTATGTTTCTCTGTATTTCAACTAATCATAGATAGTAATGTCCGTGACAGGGGAGTCAGTATTCAACAAATTCAGGGAAATCAGATGATTGCACGATATTGTATATAGCAATCCAAAGTAAAGATTTAAAAAAAATTATTTTGATACTAAATGACATTGTGACAATACTGTGTTAGGCCATGTTGGTGTGATTATATGGATGACATCCTCTGGGAACCACAAATAGCACCGAGGCTAGGTGCATCTATATATGCAAACCATTGTACACTAATATAAATGGCTACATTGTAGACTAATATAAATGGCTACATTGTACACTAATATAAATGGCTACATTGTACACTAATATAAATGGCTACATTGTACACTAATATAAATGGCTACGTTGTACACTAATATAAATGGCTACATTGTACACTAATACAAATTGCTACACTGTCGTTTCACGGTGATGTACGATTTCCAGAATTCCGCTCGTCCTTTTCCTGGCATCGTCGTCCAGCCTAGCGTCCTTTTCTTCTGTCAGCTTCCCGTTCATTTCACCGCGCCTCCAGGAGTACAGAGCCAGGCAGAGCGATAGGAAGATCCAGCACGCCAGACTGAATTGAATGAATGACTGGTTAATTTTTTTAAAAAGGTACATTGCAGCCATCAGCTAAATTGCGTACTATTTACAATGGAGGCACCGTGACAATACATATGATGCCTTTCAAAAAACAAACATTGTAACATGCAGTACATAGTAAAACACCATTAAAATCTCCTAAATCTCAGATTGGCCTACACTTAAAGGAGTACTAACCTCCAGAAAGGGGTGCTATATTTCGACAGGCATTTATTTTTGGAAGTGAAAAATGCATATTATTTTACAGTATATAATTAAATGCCCATTTTGCGAGCAAGCCTTAAAATGCATCGAATCCAGGACAAACTCTCCAAATACCCTCAAAACTATCCCAGAATACACCACGCTACCCCATTAGTGCCTATGTTTTAAACAAAAAGTTACGTTACAGACCTCATTTCGGGGGCGATAAGAAAAATTCGTACCGTTTTGTGTTCTTTGGTATCTTACCAACCATTGCCCTTCTTGGTGTCCTTATCGCCCCTCATTTATGCCGCAAATATTGATGATGAAAAAAACGGCGTAATCTAGTTATCTTTTTCATAAGTGGTGTAATCTAATTATCTGTTCAAGTTATACTTACATGCAAATGAGTTGAGAAACTCAAAACACACAGGATGAAACTGGCGCCCACTGTATTCGACATCATGATATTATAATATCCAAGCCACAGGTCAAGCAAAGTAAAGCAAGTAATTTCTCAATAATCAGCTTGTTAGTGTGCTTGTCTCCTACCATTTTCGCCAAAAAATGTTTATGTTGACCTGAAGTGTATGAGTATTGCGTAAGCCAGAGTTCCCGGATGTATCAATTGTGGTTCAGCATGGGGGAAAATGATATTAATATCACTTTACAAACATGCGCCGCGCAACTTGTACAAGCGAAATTATGTAAAAAGTCGGCTAGTTATGTATTCATTGCAGCATGATGTATCGGAAAATAGCACTTCGTTCTGGAGGTTAGTACTCCTTTAAGTTATCTTAAAGCTACACCATGACGATACAAAAAAATCAATCCTCCTAACTTCTCGTTAACACAAATTGAATCAAACCTGAAGGTGACGGAGAAGAAGTAGACGCTGAGGTTGGTGTTGTCGTACACCAGACACGCTCCCTTCTGATCACATGACTCGTTCCACAACAGACAGGCCCGGTCTATCAGACTGCCGTACAAGATGGGGCCAGGGATCGCACCTGGAAGGAAATGTAAGATTTAAAGGTAGAGTGTTTGACTCAGGACTGGGTTCGAATCCTGACCTATCACCGGGTTTGTGCCCTTGTGAAAGGCCTTTTATACGACTTTCCTCGAGTCACTGAGGTGGACATGAGTACCTAGCTTCGGTTAGGGACGTCCCTCGGATGAATGTTAAATTGAGGTCCGGGGTTTGGGGAGAGCCATACCCTGTGCACGTTAAACAACCCAAAACAATAAAGAGTGTATGAGAAAGAGAAAGACAGACAGACAGAGACAGAGACAGACAGACAGAAACATACCTATAAACGTTGACGAAACTAGTTTAAATGTAGATTCTTAAAGTAAAATGTAGGGCTTATCTTTATGCAATTTCGTACAGGTATACAATTTCGAACGTACCCAGGAACCTGGCAAGAAGACTCTTGAACCCCAGAGCCAGCGACCGGCGACTTTCCTGTACACATCTGGACAACAGTACACGATCATTGTAAGTGTTCGACAAACTATAGAAAGGTTCCCTTCAAAGCTTAATAGTCACTAATATCGATAATGGCCGTGAAGATCACAACTGTATCAAATTAGTGTAAGGATGATTTTAAGACTGTGGTTTCACACCAAATTAGAGAAAAGGTAAGAAACATGACTCTTAAAAATGGAACTCATCTTTGGTTAACAAATGATGGAAAAATTTACATACCGGTGGATGGAAAAACATACCGGTACAAATCATTGCGACGTCGGTCATATAGAATTTTCCATATAATTATGTGTTCTGAAAGATAAGATACAAAATTTGTTCGCACCTCAGAGTAGAGAAGAGCATGGCTGGCCCCATAGACGCCATCCCTACAGCATACAGGAACAGCAGGCACATCACTACCGGCAGTAGTCCGCAGCTGCTAGCACAGTGACCCGAGGTGACCGTCTTCTCAACTCCGGCGCTTCCGTTTGCCATAGACTGATTGGTGGGTAGGCAGGCACACATGGCGTATCTCTGAAACTTCAGGAATACAACTGTAGTTATTCCAGGTACATGTAGTAGGAAAGTTTTTCAAGTGTACACATCAATTCCTATGCGACAGTGGTCCGTGGTAGTACGCGGTAAAAATGTGACGATTCAGGTTTCAGGTTTGAGTTCACATTTCTCATAATCTGCTGCAAATGACATTAACTACTTAGACCACACCGACTTAATTTTATGGATGACATCCACTCGCGCATTGATTTTCGCCTGTTCTAAAAAAAAAGATCACGTCCTTCGAGGCTCTGGCCTAGCTCTAGGCCTGGGTAGTCCATGGTAGTTAGCGACAATACAGAGCCGGTGGTAACTCTGGAGGATGGCACCCAGGCTGCTGAAGCTCCACGACGGCAAAAACTCAGTAAATACACACAGTGCCGATTCATAAATTCCGCAAAAAAGCCAGCATGTGCCGGCTTGTCGTATACGTCGCTATATGCATATGTACTGCCGCAAATTCACAATACTAGCTTTGTATTCCTGTGGTTTGGTAGCATTTTTGGCCGGGTTTCTTTTATTCGCCCGCGCGTACTAGTTTGGAGGTCTTCAGAGGATGTCATCCATAAAATCAAGTCGTTGTGCCTTACGTAAATGAAAAGTGTAAGAAGTGGCGTGTTTGATGATACATGTTCATCATCACTTACCTTGCTATCGTCTGGCAGTTTTTCCCTGCACCCGGCGACGCAAGGAGAGAAATACTCCACCCCGTCAGGAGCGCAGACCGGGTCGTACTTGGCCTGACAGTTACAGTTCACATTACAGGACGACACAACCTCCCCGGCACCGACTACGGGCGGTACTGGCGTCGGTCTACAAGAACACGAGCAGGGGAATGTATAAGAAAAGGAAAGGAAGGTGGTCTCGATCAAGCTGTAGCACACTGAAGATCTAATCGCCCACTCAGATGACAGAGTGGGAGATTAATTGCCCAGTTGAGAAGCTGAAGAGCTATAATCTCCCACTCGTCGTGACAGAGAAGACAGACGCTATGTACATTGTACCGAGAAAATTCCTCTACTTTCACAAGTATAATGAACGGTGGACCACAGCTTAACGTACCGTTGTAAGGACTGCAACCCTTTCCAGTAGCGTCCATGTCGGGTGAGCGACAACAGCCGGGATTTGAACTCCCAACCTCTTAGTCCAGAGGCCACTAAATACTGAACTACGCACGATACATGTATGGTGGGGATGGTACGAAAATACTTTAATTACTACTAGAAATACATAGTCCTTACCCCTGATGATAAGGCGAAGTAACCCCGGCCATGTTGATGTTCTGACACCGCAGCAGGAAGCCGGCGGAGGTCAGGCCCATGACGATACTTCCCGCGAGGGCCAGCTTCAGGGCGCCGGGGATTCCCACCCGGAGTCTCCTCATCAGCACGCCGCCGAGCAGGGCACCTCCCATCCCGCCTGGTATCAGAACCATGCCTGGGGAAGGAAAGCAAATGGCATGATGCTATAGTACCATGTTGATTCTATTCCATGGCTTTCATCCGTTCGCGCTTGAAGTTTTGTCCGTTGCAAAAAAAAAAAATTTGGAAAACGATACTACTGTTGAAGAAAGCTAAACTCATTTCCAAAGGCAAAGAAGAAAAGAATGACAAGAAATTGAGTTTGAAAATCCAGTTTTACCACCATGAAATTGCATTGGGTGTTCTATAGCACAAACATCATAGGTGTTTCCCATTCCCATTTTTTTCCACATACTGAGGACAGTATCGATATCCCTACATTCTACGGCATTCTCGTACCTGCCAAGATGGCGGACCACCCAGCAGGCTGTGCGAACTGGTTCTCGATGTACTTGACCGTGAAGGTGATGAGTCCGTTGAAGCTCATGGCCGTCCCACAGGCCGCCGACGTCAGGAACAGCAGCGTGGGGATCTTAAACAAGGACGCCATCTCTCTGAAGAAGTCGACTAGCCCTTTGTTTTCTGGTTCTTCTTTGCTTTTCGTGGTACCAGTAGACGGACTAACGTTCTCTAGAAGGGGGAGGGGGGCATGGTGTATAGGTTTAGTTCAATTGCACAAGTGTCTTCACAACAGGATTATACAGAATGGTCTATTGTTCTACGGCTTGAATATATTCGAAATTATGATATGTAAAAGTTCTCTCTCACAGATAGCTATATGTTAGTCACAAGTAGATATCTGCAGCGTTTGGCAAGTCATTGGTGAAAGATGGTATAAAATTTATTCAACTACTCTGAACACATGACCTGGGGACATTTCATCTCTTTGGATATGGTACAAATGCTGGACACTAAACCGGATTATTTCTACATTAGAGCCCACCAGCCAACACTCAACCGAGACGGGGGCCGATATAGCCTACCAGGAAGTTACGATTATTTATTCGAGTCACACATCACCCCTGAAGAAGGTCGCCGGAGAAGGAACCAAAAATTTGAGGTGAGCTGTCTTTACTCTAAAGTATCAAACTTGAATATAATTCTGAACTTTGCTTTTATTGTTGTGAAATTGTCTTCTCACTTGGATACTCCCCAGGCAGCCCGGCTAGCCAGGGTGAGACGAGAAGAGCGATGGAGGCGAAGACGGGGAAGCCGAGCCACCAGGCACCCAGCCACCGGGGGTCGGACGGGCCGCCTGCCGGTCTGAAACATAATAACCCAACACAGCAATGGTATGTGGTACAAAGTGTAGCATCTAACGGTACATACATGTAACTACAATTTCATAAGGTTATCCTAACTAATATAAGAGTGTGTCGCTGGTGTGGGATGAGTTTTTGCAATCATTGGAGGAATTTTTAACGTCTAGACATTCTTTAATATGTTTCCCTACGTAGAGAGAGAGAGAGAGAGGGTGAGAGAGAGATTGGTATTAACTGTTGAGAATGTAGTGTTTGAAAAAAATCAGAATATTTATTAATGTTTGATTCATAGACTTGCAAATATTTCTGTATATCGTATAAAGCAGACACTGAATACAAATGAAGAAAAACGCTGAAGAAAAACGAATCTTACGGCACTGCCCCTGGCTTGTTGAAGTCAGCGTAAATGTTGAGCAATTTTCCATTGAGAAGGTAGCCAACAGCCGGGGCTACCGCACCGCCAGCGAAATTCAAACCTACAAAAATAACCCACAGTTAGGATTGTACTAATCTAGAAGCAGATCCCTTTCGGTGGCAAGACGGTATACATTGGTCAGAGAAGTGTCAATTCGCCACCTTCGGTTATACGTCTTTATGTATGTATGATTTAAAGGCATCCAATGCATTTTCAGGACGGCAAAACTAGATTTTCAATTTTCTGGTCATTCTTTTAATTCAGTAAGTTGAATCAAACCTATATCTCATAGCACTCTGATATCTGTGAGACCAAGGCGAAATGCAGTATTATGTATCTGACGGAAAACGGTTGCTTGTTTTGTATCGTAGGCTGGTTCTAGCAATTTATGGGTGGTACCAAGAAATTAAAGGGACTCCTCATGTAACTGTGCGGACCGTCCAGTCGGTATAGGATATATCATATTTCTTACCCAGGTACAATCCGCCAGATTTGGGAGGTGAAGTCGCCTCCAGTAGGTCGCTACCGAAAGTGTGGAGTGGGATTGCGCCTATTCCCTGTAGTATTTGACCTGTAATAATATAGAAAGGAGACAAACATAATCTATTTGTAATGGAATTGCAAAACAGATTATTACCTTCGCCATGAACGTTGGTAGGAATTGATAAGACATGGAAATGATTAGACAAAGACCATAGCATGTTCAGGAAAAAAGATACCAAAAAACTGACGTTCTGCTGCAGTACCAAGGTCAGCCACCAGAAGGCCCATATTTGACCGTGACCTTTATCTTCTTGCCTGCCCACGTATTATAAATATCATCGTAACCGATAAAGTCATGCTGAACACAAGTTTGCGAACACACAAAGACACACACAGACAGACCGAAATAATACTTTCATTTTCGTAAAAAAAGACGATGCAAAGAGAAGACGTGTAAGACACCACTGAAACAGAACCTAAAATTGCAGGAATTAAGAAGAAAAAGACAAGAAAACACGAGACCACCTTTCTACAATTTGTTTACACAAACAAACATAAACACAAACAATCAACAACGTGTAGCCATACCCGTAAGAAACACAAACATGTATTTAGACAGTCCCGTTTCTTCTTCTTCACACGTGGATCGGGTGTTGTTAGTAGAGTTGAGCAGGCATGTTGTTTTTACCGACGCTCCGTAGTTGTAGAGTCCGACTGTGAAGTGGGGGAGGGCGAAGACCATGGCCCCCGCCCAGAGGAGCAGGGCGCCCAGGGAGATGGCCCTTACCTTGTCCCGCCTGGTCCTGATCCAGTACGTCACCAGAAGACCTAGTGCGCCATTCCCGATATCGTAACCTATAGACACGATACCTAGGAACATTGAAAATAAACCAGTAACTAGAAAGGTAACATTTGCAAAGCACATGCATAACGCATACATGTACAGTCGCATATGGTCTACTGTTAATTCTCACTCAAACACATTGATTTCATATATATGGTCAGACAGGAGTCTAAATCCCTCCTGTTATAAAATTGCAGCATGATGTAACCCAGCACCAGTTACTATGGCGACAGCCGTCTGCTTCAGGTCATTGACCTTTTTGGTTTGGAGAAGAAGAGGAAATTGAGCAAAAATAATATGTTTTCCTTCGGTAAACATAACTAGTTAGTCACTTTTGGTTGGTGTGAATTTTTGAAGAAAATATGAATTTTTTGTGCAAAAATGTTACATAATGCCCCTTTAAGATACAGTGCCTCATGGTGGAAAAATACATTGAAACGTTGTACCTGTCTTTGAGCTTGATAGGTTGTACCGTTTCTCTATAGAAGAGATGCTGGTGTTGACAAGACCGTTCACGATGACGCCTTGAGCGAAGACGAACCAGAAGAGTAAAAATAGCATCCCATTCACCCCGCTGAGAATCTGCAGGCATCTTGGCCGGAACCCCCACCATCCAAACCTGGTGTAGTCTACACCGGTACTCTTGTCGTCTTCTGGAACGTCTACTGGTACAGAAATTTAACACATATACAAAACAGCGACCAAGTTGCTGACAAAATAAATTAATTATGCACTATAAATTCTGAAAATTTTATAATTGACATCGTACAAATCAGCTGCAAAATGAGCAAATATATGCCGTAAATTGCACAAAAATATTGGAAAACGATACTAATGCCGCAAAATAAGAAAAAGAAGAAAATGTGAAGAAGACCATACTCTGTGTATTTAGTCATTTGTTCAGCCTTCATGACCACGTAGATTTCATGATGAAGACAACTTTTTGTCAAACGTTTTTTATTCGCACGCTTGCATCAGTTTTGGGGTTCCCAGAGGATGTAATCCATATAATCAATTTAAAATGGCCTTACTAGTATTACAAAATTTAGACACGAATCACAAACAACTGCAAGTAGTTCCACATACCTTCCAGAAGAGTCCAGCGCTCTTTAATATTTGTCATTTCCTTCAAGGCATTGTTTGGATCCCGTGATTTTCCCGCGCTGGTGTGCTTCAATTCCTGAATGAGTTGCGTCTCTGCAGTCATCTGTACCTGGGTACAATGGACTCTTAAAGCTGGCTCATGAGGCCACAGCAAGTAAATTTTATGGATGACATCCTCCACAGATTGCAAATCTAATGCGAGCGAGCGAAAAAAAAACAAGACGGGCCGAAAAAAACAAGGTTCCTACATTTTGAAATTTTGACTCAATCATTGTACAAATGGTTTTGATTGAATGGGAACATCACATATACACAGCCAACATCACATATCACTGCATCAAAGTAAGAAACAAAACATAAAATCAGAGCCTTGTCTTGTCTCCTCTCTTTATAGTTATCTGCCATCCACCTTCCGGCATGGCAACAAACATCTGGCCTATTCTCGGCATGGTGACCACTGTCAGAAGGCAACAATATTTCTTGTTTTCAGGCGAAAATTAATGCGCGCGCGGATGTCATCCATGAAAATTACTTGCTGTGGCCTAACGTAACATTAGGAAGATACTAAAAATTCAATTTTATGGTCATTTCTTTACGAAGTACTCCATTGCAAATGAAAACTATTCAGGAATGGAGGGTCAGAAATATGACGCCTTACAGGTGTTAAAAAAGCTGGAAACAAACCGCCATCCATGTTTGTTTACATTGTGGTAGTTTGTGGTGCCACTAAAAACTTTATGGATTGATTGTAACGCGTAAGTAACACAAAATAAACCTAAAGTATACATAAAGAATAAAAAACGTGTTACATGAAAACAAATACGAAAGCTAATTTAGACATGGTACAGATCAAAACAGTCCATTACCAATCCAGGTCAGGTTTAATTTTGGAGGTCAGGCCATTCAATTTTGATCAATCTTCAAAACCCTCGAGTCGTATTCATCTAATTAGCATAACACAGTATTATGTAGTGAGTTCTCTATGCAACATAGCCTTGGCATATAGTGGAAATATTGTACTAGAATACCTTCTCCATACCCCCAATGTGTCCCAGCAACAAGCTGATTTGATTATTCCACCCAAACCAACCAACACACTCACACACATTTTTTCACCTCCTAAAACATTTGCATACCCGAAAAATCAAGTACATAATACTCTATCCCTAACATTATACTGATGATATAACTGAAGATTAACAAACCTCTTCAGTTGTCATCTCCGATATTCTCCGTAACGTCCTTCAAATTGGCACTAAATTGGTGGAATTGTTCCCCACAAAGGATGCCGATATACTGACGAAAACACAATGTCTTTCAAAACTCAATTCCGACAATAGTCAATGCACAATCCCACTGGAGCATAGCGTATTGAATGCAGACTTCGTTGCTTAGCTTCGCAATTGTTCCGTAGACTAAACAGTGCTTGGTCCTGGGAACAGTACAAAACGGCCCTAGCTACAATCACATTCTAGGGATTCACGTAATAACAACACAATGATATCAATACCACAGCAGAAGCTTTTTCAGAATTTTTTATGTGATCCATATAATAAAAAATTCTTGATTCTTGACTCTAACCTGGTATATTAAATATCTGTATCTGTATAATAGCCCGCACGTATAACCACACTTTGGCGTAACAGACCAGCTTTGCACTTAACCTTTGCACATTTGACTGCAAGCATTAAACTAACATTATCTATCTTTTGAGTGAAATTCCCCTAATGTACTTTGTGCCAATTGTATACGGACTTCATACCTTTCTTAAGAAATACACGACTGTATAGGTTTGAATGATGACCAGTTTGTTGTGTTCCTTCTGAACAACATTCAGGGTTTTAGATATGTCATGTATTACCCCAGTCACACATTTAAGGACACTAGCCGACCATGGTTAAGAGTAGGTCGGGGCAAAGTCGGTTGGTGTTTGGCCAGGTCGAGTAAAGGTTCGGCTATGCCAGCCGAATGTTTGGTGGGATTTTTGGCCATGGTTGGCAGTTGGTTGGCTGATGTTTGGGAGTACTTGGAGCGTGGTTGGCAGTCATATTTGACACATAAATTCAGCTCAAATTCAATTCGACTCGTACGGAAAGGTAGGCGTGGCCTAAATCTGGTCAGAGTGCTCCCGAAGTTCAGCCAACCTTGGTCGGCTGGTGTTCGGGGGAAGGTTCTGAATGTGTGACAGGGGCTTCAGCCAACCTTGGTCGGCTGGTGTTCGGGGGAAGGTTCTGAATGTGTGACAGGGGCTGTTACAAATTCAAGCATTCATACCCAGAGGAATAACGCCATAAACATACTACTAGACTTTACAGTGACAACAACCACGAAAAAAAAGAGGCGTTAGTGCCCAGTTGCAATCATAATAGACTTAAAACTTTGTTCTTTCCTAAACAAAAAAGATAAACTCACCGAACTTCCCGAAATGGAATGTCTGATCTACTACTTCGGCCAGGATACCAGCACAATAATATTAGCTAGACTAGTGGGTCATATGTAAATGAACCACAAGGTAAATATGTTTACCCTACTTTGGACAAAGGTCATGTAGCTATAGTGGCGCCATTTATGTAAATACGCCAACCCTAATCAAGCCTAAGAAGTCACTGTGTTTTGAAATGTTTGTATTTATAATTGACTTAATTTCAACATAATCAAAACTATTGTAAACATGGTAGATAAAAACGTCAGTAGCAATTAAAGTTAAATTTTTAACTGGTAAAGAAACTATTTCATTGATAAACACATATTCTGTCACTAGAATACTTTGCGGAGGTTACACTCGGTGCAAGGAAGAATGTTGACCCATCCCAGCATCCCTTGCAATTCCACAATACACATTCCAGATGGCTGACGTTAGCTTTTTGACAGTTCAAGAAAAGACAATTTACTGATCAAATTGAATCAGTTTCTGCACTGTCTAATGCAACATGAAAGGTTAATGATTCTTGTTGCTTCCAGTCAGTCATCCGCAATGTGTATTGTGGAATGTGTATTGCAAGGGATGCTGGGATGGTTCCATATTCTTCCTTGCACTCGGCGTAGACTCAAACACTGTCGTCATCCAGAATAAAGCTGACTCTGTCTTTCGCCTTTTCGTCCTCCTTTTCTTCGTTCTCTACTCGAGGCTGTTTGGACTCGCGACGTCTCCAGGAGAACAGAGCTCCGAAAAACCCCAACACAGCCATGCAGGCGAAGATGAAGGTTAACGTGAAGAAGTAGAGCCCGAGGTTGTGGTTATCGTAGATGAGACAGGAGCCACGCTCGTCACACTTCTCCTCCCACATCAGACAGGCCTTGTCCAGGAACGTACCGAACAGGATGGGGGTCGGGATGTTAGCTGGAGGGGAGGGGCAACAATGAATGAATGAATGAATGAATGAATGAATGAATGAATGAATGAATGAATGAATGAATGAATGAATGAATGAATGAATGAATGAATGAATGAATGAATGAATGAATGAATGAATGAATGAATGAATGAATGTTCAATATTCGTATTTTTGTCTCACCGAGTAGTTTTCTAATGACGCCCATGAATCCTAGACCCACCGAACGCTGATTCTCGGGAACGCATCTAAAAAAAATCATTTTTTTTAAATCATTGTTATTTCGTAAACGTATGTCGCGTCATTTGTAGTGTTTGGTAGATAGTATGTATGATCATGCGTGTAAGGGCCGGGCCTGTAGCATCTTTCAGAAAAAGGTAAACACAACCGCATTCCTTTCCACAGAAAGAATTCTGTAATTCACACTGTCACTTTTTTTAACCTAAGACTTATTTTAGTGTTACCAGTGTCCGTCTGTTTTGTTATCTGCTACGATATTAATTTGCACTTGAAACGTTGTTGACAATATTTTATATACGTTTTATGTAATGGTTTATTTCTATTTTAGTCGCTTAATATGACGTTTTATACTAATAATGTGATGCCCCAATGTCAATTCAGCCTCTGGCTGCCATTTTTGGGACAGTGTTGTTGTGTTTTAATGCAAATAAACCATTGATATATAATGTTCAGAAAATTCACAAAAGTCGTACTTCACCTTAATGCCACGAACGTGGTTATCGGACCAACCGCGGCGTTTGCGACGGCGTAGAACGCCAACATGGCGAGCACGAACGGCAGCACTGCGCAGGCGCTGGGACAGTGGCCGGGAGTTACCATGGTGACGTTGTTGGGTGAGGTAACAGGTGTGGAGGGGTCAGAGGTCACACAGCCACAGGAACTGTATTTCTGCAGTACAAGAATAAAAACAATTGGTTGATAAATATTGGTGTTGTTTGGCGTAATGGTAGGTATTCGACCCGGAACCCATGGGTCCTGGGTTCGATTCCACTCACATGCTGCGATTGGGAAACTCACTTTACAGGACTTTCCTTACTTCACCCAGGTGAAAATGAGTTAGAGCTTAGGTTAGAGACGTCCCTCAGATATAACATGAAATGGAGGTGCCATGTCTGGGGAGAGTCACACCTCACACACGTTAAAGAACCCACCACACCTTTCGAAAAAGAAATGAATTCATTAGGCATGCCCCAGTGTGCGATGGTGCAAATTCTACAGTCTGGAGTTCGTGATTCACTACAAAGGAGGAGTCTCATTATTTTGTACCACCCACAAATAGCCAGAATTCCGATACAAAACAAGCAACCGTTTCCTGTCAGTGACATCGCATTGTTGCCTCACAAATATCAGTATGCTATCGGATAGGTTTGATTCAACTTCCTACATTAAAAGAATGACAAGAAAATCGACTTTGAAAATACAGGTTATACGCTCTTATATTGCATTGAGTGCCTTTAACGTTACCTCACTATCTACCTCGGGCTCAGTCAGACATCCTGCATAGCAAGGAGAGAAGAACTCCACCCCGTCTGTACCACACACAGGTTCATAGGCGATGGAACAGTGGCAGTTCTTCACGCAGTCGCCAGTCAGCGCTGCTGCACCGTACACAGGAGTCCGGGGCGCCGGGCTGGAAAACACGATTATGATGGTCATATTATTCGCCATACCATACTCTGTGTGTTTAATCATTTGTTCAACCTTCATGATCACGTAGATTTCATGATGAAGGTAACCTGTTTTTCTTATTTATTCGCACGCTCGCATCATTTTTGGGGTTCCCAGCGATGTCATCCATATAATCAAATCAAACGTGACCTAATTACATACCCAGATCCATAAGGGGAGGTGACTCCTGCCATGATGATGTTGTCACAGCGAAGTAAGAAGCCGAAGGAGATGACAAAGTAACAGCTGCTCAGCATAATGAGCATCTTCAAGGCGCCCTGGATGCCCAACTTGAACCTCTTCATGACATAACCCCCCAGTAGGCTGCCAAGGACACCTCCAGGGATGAAGATGCTGCCTACAGAGATAGCAAAGAACTAGAAAAGTAACATTTGCAAAGCAAATGCATAATGTTTACCTTAGCATATGGTCTTCTCTGTTGATTCTTACTCAAACACATTCACATATATGGTGACAGGAGTCTAAATCCCTCCTGCTATAAAATTGCAAAATGATGTAACCCAACACCAGTTGCCATGATGACAGACGTCCGGTTCAGGTCATTGACCAGGTCAGAGGTCAGTGTTTGGAGAAGAATAAGTAACAGAGCATGTTTTTCTTCGGTAAAAGTATGAAATATTGATTGAAATGTGCTAATGTGAAGCAGTATGTGTCAATATCACAAAGATTGCCTTATTCAGAATATTTCCAGTTTTGCTGCTCTGAAATCGCATAGGGTGCCTTTAATTACAAATATATTTCTAGACGAGTGTTGCTTACCTACAAGCACTGCTGACCATCCCGCTGACAGAGCGAACTGATTCTGCATGTATTTGACTCCGAATGTGGTCATGGCGCCCCCTATGTAAGACACCCCGACATAGGAAAACGTCAGACCAATCAGCGTCCAGTTTACAAGAAGCGAACGGACTTCTTGGTACAACGCAGCCAACGGTTTCCGCATCTTCTTATCCGAAGCCTCTTCTTGGTACATAGGTGCTGCCTTGCCTGGGGAAGATTCAGGATATGAAATAAGTCATCAACAAGAAATAAGATATTCATTCCAAACCTCCGTGGAGGTATACAACGCATAATGATCCCAACGAATGCTGAAACTTTCAGATATCACTATAACAGCAATGTTAAGAGTAACGCTACAAGAAATGATAGTTGTCAAGGAATTCCGGCCAGCAAAAGAAACTTGTATATCTAATATACATGTAGTTGGGGGAGTGGGGTTCTGTTATCTATCATAATGTTACCTGGTAGTTGTGAAGGTATTCCGGCCAGCCAAGGAGACACCAGGAAGGCCATCAGGGCGGTCGGGGGAACGGCGAGCCACCAGGCGCCCAGCCATCGGGCGTCGTCCGGTCCGCCGGACGGGCTGGGAGGGAAGGGACCGAGCAAAACGGTAAATATGCTGTGGTTACGTTCACATTGTGGGATCGTGTGGCGTATTGGTCAGAGCGTTATGCTTGGAACCAATGAGGTGAACCAATGGGTCCTCGGAACCACGTGACAAGTCTCCTTGGGTCGGTCTACTGAAGAAGACCAAAGTGCCTGGTCGAAAGCTCCAGGTCAGAATATTTCCCCTTTGTGTTGGACCAAAACATTTACCTTTAAACATGTAACTACCAACACAGATGAACTTTCATGATATTATAAGAACAGATCTAAATTTTATCTAACGTTTAAAGACACTTACGGAATCGCTCCTTCTTTGTTGAAGTCGATGTAAATGTTGAGTAGCTGGCCGTTTAGCATGTATCCAATGGCTATTCCAATACCTGCTATTGCCCCGAATATTCCTGTAGAAATAGTTTGCAAGGTGACAAGTTTATTAATTTGCCAGAGCTTTGTTGTGGAGTTGGGTATCTTTCATGAACCCTTTCTTTGGGATTCCATTTTTGTAGAAGAATGGCAATTAAAGACTAACTAGAAAGGCAACATTTGCAAAGCATATGCATAATGTTTACCTTCGCTTATGGTCTGTTAATTCTTACTCAAACACATATATATGGTCAGACAGGAGTCTCAATCACTCCTGCTGTAAAATTGCAACATGATGTAACGCAGCACTAGGTACCATGGTAACAGACAGTCTGGTTCAGGTCAATGACCTTTTTGGTTTGGAGAAGAAGAGGAAACCTAGCAAAAACAATTTGTTTTTTCTTCGGTAAACATAAAAAAAACTATATTATGGTCTCTTACCTAGATAGAATCCTCCCGAGTTTGGTGGAGCCGCGCTCTCGATCAGGTCCGCGCTGAATGTGTACAGTGGAATCGAGGAGGTGCCGAAAAGAAGCTCAGCTGAATATAAGCAACAAAAGACACAAAACTTCTCAGTCAAGCGTTACACAAATACAGAAACGGAGATGGGCGCCGCCCTATGCAACATATATAGGCATGAGGAGGAACTTTGCCTTGACAGGTCACATGCGTATATCCCCACACACTTTTTCGTTGGTATCCGCATAGTTTGGGCTGATATCCCAACAGTTTTGTCCTCAATTGCACAAAATAGTCTCACACCTTTTGATATAGCTAATAAGTTCCACCTATATGTAGGTATAAACAAAGTAAATGACCAGCTCTAATTGGCTGAGGGGAAGTGCCCACGGGCTAGTACTTCTATAGTTGCAGAAAATAACTCCACTCCTGTGGCGTCGCAAAAAATAGCGTACAAACACCTGCTATGAACATGTACATATAGTTGCAGAAAATTTGGTCCACCCCTGAGGCGTCGCCAAAAATTGCCTGCACACACTACATACTAGTACCTGCGATGAACATGTACATATACGAGGACAGTCCTCTCTCTCCCTCCTCGCACTCAGACCCCCTCCCGTCCACCCGAGGATCGCAGGTTTTCTCCACCAGGGCCCCGTAGTTGTACAGCCCGACTAGGAAGTGCGGGAGAATCCAGATGACGGCCGCGGTGGTCATGATGAGAGCCCCCGCCGATAGAAACCTGATCTTCCCCCGTCTGGTGCGGACCAGGTACGTGATGACGAAGAATATGCAGCCGGTGAAGATGTCGTTACTTGTGACGATCAGACCTGTGCACAATTAAAGAGTGACAAATGAAAGGTGGTCGGCTAAAAATGCCGGCATTTGCTCGGGAGCAAATACAACATATTTCACTCCAACTCTCTCTCCATTCCAAATCTTTTCCAATAGAGCTCTCCAGTATCAAGTGTTTCTATACCCCCCCATACCCCATATGGTACTTCTTATCAACAAGTATTTAAACTCCTCCTTGTTGTGCTATATACCCCATACAGTATTTTTTAGTAAAACTATTCTCGAAACCCTTAAGTAGTGTTTTAGTACGAAACACAGTGTATCATATTCTAATGAACTACATTGTGTAACACTAGTGATATGTAGCCACAAATGTCAGATAAGATGTTCGATAATTGCACAAATATTCTTGAACGTGGAAGTAAATTACACTCACACGAAGGTGTTTCAATTTCTGGGTGAAAAAATGTTACATAATGCCCCTTTAATGCACCGTAATATTAACTTGTTTTTACCCAGTTGTTTGCTGCTGAGCCGGTATCGTCTCTCTATGGTGGAGAGACTGGTGGAGATGAGACCCCCCACGATGAGTCCCTGGGCGATGACGTAGAAGGAGACTAAGAACAGCAGTCCCTTCACTCCACTCAGACACTGTAGGGCCTGAGGTCGGAACGTTCCCCAACCGTACTTCGTCAGGTGGGTGTCTTCAGTCGACTGGGTACTTTCTGAAATCGGCAGTTTAAACATTAGTTAACCATTACATGTCCAAACTAAAGCCCATAGTCTGTGACACATTCACACATTTGGCCTCCCAAACACTTGCCGAACGTCTCTCGACCATGGTTAGGACTTGTTCGGCGCAAAATTGGCTGGTGTGTCTAAAATTGCCGATATTCGCTCGGGAGCAAATGCTACATATTTCACTCCATCTCTGTTCCCAAGTTGGTTGGTGTTCGGCGAGGTCGGCTACTATTCGGATACGCCAACTGAATGTTTCAAAATGTTTAAAACATTCGGGGATTGGTCGGGAGGTTAAGCCATGGTTGGCTGGTATTCGGCAGTAAGTCAACAGAGCACCAGTCAACCATTCGGGAGTAAGTCAGCAGTGTTCGGGGGTTACGTTTGACTCGAATTTAACTCAAATTCGTTTCGATTCGTATAGAAAGGTAGGTGTGGCCTATCTCTGGTCAGACTGCTCCCGAACGTCCGCCGAACCTGGTCGACCGGTGTCGGGGGACGGTTGGGAATGTGTGACAGCTTAATTGAAATAAATCGATCAGCATATTAGCGGCAAGTGATTTTGCACACTTTAATGGACAGTAAGTAACTAGGGGAAGGGCATATAAAGATGTCAAAATGGCTTTCTATTTTGTTCTGACAAGAAGAAGAACTTCATTGCACGACAATTTTACATGGTACAATGTATGACAAAAACTATATAGATTAAATATGGTGAATAAATATATAAAATAATATCCTAATTACTAAAAAACAACTGCATAAGTCTTGATACAGTTTTACAATCGAGTGAGGCTAATCATGAGTTTCAGTATTTGTTCTGACAAGCATTGTAAGTACTGACGATACTATACAATAATAGCTTTATTGCACAACAATTCTAAAGGGTATAAATACCTGTGGATAGAAGTCTGCGTACGTAGTCATGGTTGACGTTTACGGCAGAATCTCCAACGTCCTCCTTGACTGACATGTCAAACTGTTTTTCTTGATAACTCAGAGCCCAGAAATTCTACGGATGAATTAGAAAGATAGTGTACTACTTTTACTTATTTTCGTACTTGTCTCATTTTGTGTTTACGTTTGGTCGCCAATCTAAAACATTCATGTAAAAACAGAGAAACCAACACTACAAAAAAAAAACAGAAAACCTGGAAGAAATGCTGTCGTAAGAAGCGAGAAGAAGTTGCAATTGTACATAGCAGTCGAACCGGTAGTCTAATAGTGCACATATGTATAGTGAGATGTCTCTGTAAACTGAGTTTACATGTACAGTTGTCTTAAGAAGCGAGAAGAATTTTACAGAGTAGTCTAACCGGTAGGTACTAGTACACAGTGTGTATAGTGTATCTCTGTACTTTATACATGCTCTGTACTTAGCTTGTAAGACCATACATGTACAATAAAGATCTTTCATTCATCCTTTCATTCATTCACTCACTAATTCATTCATTATCGTTATCAGTAAATCACCAATAATAACTTCACACCATATCAATATGGCGTCCTACCTGGTTGATCCCCTGTAGTACAACCTGTTCGGAATGTCCGAATACACGGACAGAATGGCTGGACAGGTGGACCTCCTATGGATGCAGCGTACCTAGACTTCAGGAAAGCCTTCCATTCGGCTCCAATAAAAATGTACTAGCCAAAGTCTAAAGCTGTGAAGGTAAATTACTGCTATGGATAAGCTTCTTTTCACCGATGAAAGAAAACAAAGAGTATGTAAAGTGGGAGTAGGTCAGTTTGGGCCGAGGCGCTTAATTGAGTGCCCCGGGGCAGTACTAGTGTCCAAAACCAGTAAACCGTTCCAAAACTAAGAATTAGCTGTCAATCGAATCAGGAAGACGTAACCGCTCTCCTGCAATTTTGTAGTTTATTCATGCCCTGTATATGCCGCTCAGGTGGGAAATAATTCCCCTTGCTATATACAACAACTCACAACCCTTGAGTTGGACGTAAAGAGGCGATGTACAGTATTCTCTGGGTCCGGTATATTTATCTAAACAAACCTTTATAATGATAAAAGAAGTTTGAAAATAGGCACAAAAACAATCTACACGAGGCGTCTCTTTATTTTTGGGTACCACCCACAAATAGCGAGAACCAGCCCAGGATACAAAACAATCGACCGTTTTCCCTTAGCAACATCATATTATTGCCACAGATATCAAGTATGCTATGGATATGTTTGATTCAACTTACCACATTAAAAGAATGAAAAAGAATTAAAATTGACTTCACCTCCCTGGAATTACACTGGATTTAATATTAGATAACTCTAAAGAATCATATCTCTAAGAATCATTGCCTTTTCCTTATCAAAAACCCTGTGCGAAAGGGCTTGGTGTGTTTAGTCTCTAAAGCATTAAATTTCTTTCTCATTTTCTGTCCTGTCGACTTCGTATACTTCTGATGTGTTCCTGCGCTTCCAGAAGTACATGGCAAGGCAGGCACAAGGGAAGGACCATGATGCTAGAGCGGCCATGAGTATGGCCAGGTACGTGCTGAGTAAGGCGTTATCGTACATGAGACACGCCCCTCGCTGGCCACAGTTCTGGTCCCACAGTAAACATGCCTGGTCCACCAGAGCGCCGAACACCAGCGGAGCAGGTACAGAACCTGTAAGAACACGTGTCAATCAAATTTAATATTTTACACAACTTTTCTCACTTCACTCATGATCAGTTGAAAATGAGTAACATCCGTGTCCATAATATCACCAGGGCCATAATATTGCCACCTTGAGAAATAGTGTGCTTTAACATATTTTTACTGCAACATACTTTTGGTATGCACTCCTGCACACCTCAAATGTAGGGTATGTTGCGGTAAAAACATCTTTAAGCACACTTTTTCTCAATGTGGCGATAATATGGACTATGGTGATATTATGGACACAGATGTTACCTAGCTTGGATTAAAGTTACTTGTATAATTTACGATGAAAAATGAGAGGACACCTACCGAGGAAAGTCCGAACGACAGATTCGATGCCGAGAGCAAATGATCGCTGGTTCTCCTGAACACAGCTGTAAAACGATCGAAAGAAAGTTGGGCTCAGTTTCATTACAAAGTTAATTGAATCAACCTTACACTTAGTCCATTGCAAATAAGTGTCATTCAGGAAGTGGAGGTGCCAAAAATACGCATCTTACTTATGGGTGTGTTTAAAAGCTGGAAACTCAGCTGTCAGCCATGTTTGTTTACATTCTGGTAATTTGTGGTGGCACAACAAACTGAGTTTGCCTTGTGTGGAATGTTTTAGCGCCAACAACAAATGTCAGACATGTAAAATAACCAAATACGTTGAAAAGTGGAAATAATTTACAATTGCATGCATTGAATATATCTTTAAAAAAGATTTTAATTTTTGGAACAAAAATGTTACATAATGCCCCTTTAAGTCAATGCTCACCTCAAGACAATGACCGTCCTCGGAGCGTTAGCCAGCCCCAGGCCGAAAGAGAAGAGGAACAGCAGAGCCATGGCCAGTGGGAGCAGGGTACAGCCGTTAGAGCAGCGACCTGAAGTCACCGAGAACGTGTCCGTAACGTCCACTGGTTCATCACCAGCATAGCAGGAGCATGATGTGTATCCCTGCATGGTGAAAAGTTCAGATCACCCTAAAACATTGAATACTATCGTAGTCTAAATCCCTCCTGCTATAAAATTGCAACATGATCTAACCCAACACTAGTTATCATGGTAACAGACAGTCTGGTTCAGGTCATTTACCTTTTATTGGTTTGGAGAAGAATAGGAAGAAGAATCAGAGCAAAAAGAATATGTTTTCCTTCGGTAAATATGATAAAGAACTTGAACTATGAAGTGATAGTAGAACATTTAAGTGGTTTATTTTCCCCAATGTCATAAAAATGTTGACATGAACTGACCTGTTCTCGCGAGGCGTTCCAACATCCCGCGAGACATGGCGAGAAGTACTCCACGCCGGCTCCACAGACGGGGTTGTAGGCGGGCGGACAGGGACAGTCCTGGGTACAGCGGGACACTAACTCTGCTGCACCCACAACAGGCGTCCTGGGAACAGACCTAAGACAGGGTACAGTATGTTATTATGCGGGCGGACAGGGACAGTCCTGGGTACAGGGGGACACTAACTCTGCTGTACCCACAACAGGCGTCCTGGGAACAGACCTAAGACAGGGTACAGTAGGCTATTATGCTAACCCTAGCCGAAGTATGTTAACTCTAACACATTTCCACCTGAGTTAAGTGAGGAAAGCCGGTGTAAAGTGCTTTTTTCCACAAGATCGGTGCCACACGACCCCACTACCTTATCCCCATGATTATTTCTTTAAAGGCATCCGATTCAATTTCGGGGTGGCAAAATAAAAAGTATTCTGGATGAGGACAGCCTGCCTACGATACGAAACAAGCAACCATTTTCAGTCAGCAACATCACATTTTTGCCTCACAGACATGTACATTTATTGATTAGAAAACTCCTTTTACCCGTTTCCATAAGGCACTGTGACGCCCGCCATGACAGTATTCGGACAGCGAACAGCAAAGCCCAGCGGCAGGAGGAACATACAGGCTATCCCGACCAGCGTGATCTTCAGAGATCCGGTCACTCCCAGCTTATACTTCCTCATCACCAGTCCTCCAATCACGGACCCAAGGATGCCGGCAGGGATGATGGTTAAACCTTTTGGAAAAGGCATTTGTTTGAAAATAATTTGAATGTTAATATAAATACAATGAATACAAATGTGTACATAAATTATCATGAATATATCAATCAGTTAAAGATTTTAATACGAGTTTACTCGAACACATTAGACAGATATCCGGATGCTTGTACATAACCTTATTAGTTCTTAGTTGATGAAGACACCAAGACCAAGCAGATTTTTACGAGAAAATTGTGTACAATAAATAATGAGAATTTTGTGTACAATAGATGTCAAAATACGATGTAAACTAGAAAGGCCGACATTTGCTCGGGAGCAAATACAACATATTTCAGTCCCTCTATTGTATGGTACGGACTGAAATAATTTACAAAAAGGATATTGCACAAAACATGTTATTGTTTAATTGATGCAACAACGAAAACGCTAAGCCGTGGGAGAAGTGACTACTTACCCGAAGCGATAGAAGCGGCACCAGCAGACATGGCGAACTGGTTTTCAACGTATTTGATGCCGAAAGTGTTGAGACTAGTATAGCACATGTTTGTACCTATACCCACTAACACCATGAACACAAATATCGGGTTGGTGACCAGGGACCAGAGTTGTTTGAAGAAGTCCAGCACCCGCAGCAGTCCTTTAGCCTCGCTCGATTCCTCTTTTTCTAATGAGCCTTTGACGTCCTCATCTATGGCTTTTTTCTCGGCTACCGGAAAGATAGTTACAATAAATATATGGCTTTCCATTTTTTAATATATATATATAATGCTCTGTAAGTGAAATGTAAATTGTAGTAGTTGTAGAAGGGTATTTGTCACGAATCGCTCTTTTTAGAATGTGATAATGATTTTGGTAAAATTGGTAAATGATTATAGAAATAGATTAAATAAACGATTATGAAACGAAAAATTATCAATGCTAGATCATCCAAAATTCAGTTTGAATTTGATTTAAATTTAGATTTATTCTCTCAATTTCCTCTTTTTTTTAATGCCTCCTACCTGATATTTTTCCAGGCAGTCCAAGTATCCACGGAGCGGTCAATATTGCCACTGCAGCCAGTGGAGGGAAGCCGAGCCACCAGGCACCCAGCCAGCGGGCATCTCCTAGACCTCCTGATGGTCTGAGGAAAACAAGAGTTCCACGATATCATACCAGTCAGCACCAGGAACAGAGAAGCACCGTCAGCACCAGGGACAGGGAAACACAGTCAGCACCAAGGACAGGGGAACACAGTCAGCACCAAGGACAGGGAAACACAGTCAGCACCAAGGACAGGGAAACACAGTCAGCACCAAGGACAGGGAACACAGTCAGGGACAGGGAAACATAGTCAGCACCAAGGACAGGGAAAAACAATCAGCACCAAGGATAGGGAAACACAGTCAGCACCAAGGACAGGGAAACATAGTCAGCACCAAGGACAGGGAAACATAGTCAGCACCAAGGACAGGGAAACACAATCAGCACCAAGGACAGGGAAACACAGTCAGCACCAAGGACAGGGAAACATAGTCAGCACCAAGGACAGGGAAACACAATCAGCACCAAGGATAGGGAAACACACTCAGGGACAGGGAAACACAGTCAGCACCAAGGACAGGGAAACACAGTCAGCACCAAGGACAGGGGAACACAGTCAGCACCAAGGACAGGGAAATATAGTCAGCACCAAGGACAGGGAAACACAGTCAGCACCAAGGATAGGAAAACACAGTCAGGGACAGGGAAACACAGTCAGGGACAGGGAAAACAGTCAGCACCAAGGGCAGGGAAACACAGTCAGCACCAAGGACAGGGAAACACGGTCAGCATCAGGGACAGGGAAACATACATGTAGTCAGCACCAGGGACAGGGTAACACAGTCAGCATCAGGGACAGGGAAACACAGTCAGTATTAGGGACAGGGAAACACAGTCAGTACCAGGGACAGGGAAACACAGTCAGCATCAGGGACAGGGAAACACAGTCAGCACTAAGGACAGGGAAACACAGTCAGCACCAAGGACAGGGAAACACAGTCAGCACCAAGGACATGGAAACACAGTCAGCACCAAGGACAGGGAAACACAGCAGCACCCGGGACAGGGAAACACAGTCGGTCAGTGTCCTTCGAAAACACTAAGCTTAAAAGTAAATATTGTTAGCCTTATGATAGATTACAAGTTGAACTTGATTAGTATTACACATGTGATCTGACAGAAATAAACGAACACTGGAAAAGACTGCATTCTTACGGAATATTTCCAGGTTTGTTGAAGTCGATGAAAATGTTCAGAAGCTGTCCGTTGACGATAAAACCTACCGCCCCTGCAGCTACTCTGGAGGCGCTCAGAATACCTGCCGAAAGAATTAGAAAAATACTTTTATTGCAAGTTCATGCCCGAGGACTAATTGCAAACTGACAAGGACAACGAGTACAGAAGTATTGAAGAAAGGCATAAAGCCACGTGCTAACATTAAGTTCTACTTCTACTAAATCTAAAATTCTAGCTCCACTTAAAACTAATAAAAAAACGTATTATTATGTGACAGAGAGCTGCCGATATATTACACATCAACAGGTAAGAGAAACTACCATTCTATGTCTAGTTAAGCTATTAGTGAGTTTGACTCTCGATCTTGATCAGCTATCTGAACCAAGTGCTGTGCTTACCGAGATAGAACCCGCCTGAGCCTTGTGGTGACGTGCTCTCCAGAATATCATTTCCAAATACATAAATACTCATAGATCCGATCGCGCTCACGCCTTGTGCTGTGAAGGTACAAACAACATTTAAAATCAGATACAAAGTCAGAATAGTGGACACTGATCAGGCTAGAACTACGTATTAAGACGTACATGTATAAAGAGGCCTACACTCCGTAGAGACGGTGGGCGATATAAACTCACTGGGGCTGGCAAATGTAGCATCGAGTCTCTTAAAATCTATTGTACTAGAATTAACAAATGTGAATTCATAACATCGTATCTAGAGCATTCCATGACAAACTGAAATCCATCTTCAATTTGCTTTGGACAAAATAGGCACAACCTTTGGTCATGGGTTACGTGTACATTGTAGTATCTACCTATTTCTGTATTCATTTTTTGACTGCAGATGTTTTGACCTTGGACCTTAGAACTAGTAGTATACAAGCAGGACTTACCTAAAAGAATGACATACAGCAGATCGGAGAGGCCTCGCTCTTCCTCCACACAGGCGGTGAATGTGCTGTTAGAAGCGGGATCACAGGTAACGCTCACCGCGTCGCCGTAGTTGTACAGCCCCACGGTGAAATGCGGGAGGCTGTACAGAAACAGACCGACGCCCAACAGGAAGGTTCCCGCCGCGATGTTGATGATTTTGCCCCTCCTGGTCTTGATGACGAAGGTGATGAGAAGAGCTGCTACAGCGTACGTCACGTCGTAAACGGTCGAAACCAGAGCTGAAGAGAAAGAAAGGTATATCAATCAATAGTTCGTGCTTAGAAACCTGCATTTCTCCTGTAGACTCTTAGTGTTACTGACGAAAGGTAGTGGATGCTACCTGAAACGTCTGGCCGTTTTTGCACTAAAATTGAAATGACGACACCCTTACAAATAAGTGCCATTCAGGGCACGGAGCTACAAAAATATGACGCCGTACGAGTGTAATGAAAAAGTTGGAAACACAGCTGTCAGCCATGTTTGTTTTGGTAGAATGTTGACCTTACCTGACCTAGAACTTGGAAGTTGGTACCGTTTCTCGATGGTAGAGATGGTCGACCCAACCAAACCTGAGAGCGCCATGCTTTGGACCACGGAGGCTATCACCAACAGGGCCAACATTCCCTGTACGGTGGCGAGAAACCGCAAGGGGGCAGGCCGGAATCTTCCCCAGCCAAACTTCTCTTTGTAGGTAGAAGTGTCATCTGAGGGAGTCAAAGGACAGAAACGATGTAGATGGATTTGATTATTCGCCGCAATACGTTACGCACAAACAAACGACCATGTAACAAGTTACTGGTCCAAACATCATTTGTAGCTTGCTAAAGTTTGCAAAACTTGCACAGATAAAGTTGAAAACTGAACGAAACAACATTCTATTCTCTAATAAACTGATGAATCATATACCTGTGTCATAGAACGGTTCTGGGCCGTGCTTCTCGTCACTGATAGCCGGTTTGGTAGGTCGGTTTTCCTGAACATTTTCAGTACATTGGCTGTCATGGTCCTCCTGGTGTGACAGGTTGAAACTTGACAAGTTATCTAATATATATTTAGAGTTTAACAGAATCGTAAATACTGCTTTAGCTGAGAGATCAAGGGTCATAACAAAGACATCATCTGAAAGGTGACAGACGGTCACCGAAACGTCGGCTGAATAAACTATTGGTTGCGTATAATGAGTCTCTTTGTTCATTGAATGTCTTCATATTGCTAAAAAGATGGCCAGCTCTGAAATGAACCGTGTTGACAAACAAACCTGTTGTCACAACTGACCCAGTTTAACTGACCACTGGGCGTGTAGCCATTATGTCAACCATAAAGGTAAGCTGGTAGAACAGGTTTGACAGTTCTGTACATCGAGACGTATTTTTAGACTATATTGCAATCAATTCAATGACAGAAGGATAGACCTTAAAATCAAATTAAAATCATGGACACGGAGAATTTTTTTTGTTTACTTCGGTGAGAAAATCAGAAAAACAAAGAACACTTTGATTACGAGTAAACAGGATTATTTGTCTTGCATAGACTGAATGGCAGTAGGGCAAAAGATCAAACTAAGACGTGTAAAGTGCATTGTAATGCTACGAAATCAGTGGCATGGCAGGGTTCGAACCCGGGACCTCTTGGTTTTGAGACGAGCACTCTACCGCTACCCCACACGACCTAAATATATTCAGTCACCTATCGCACACCGGTGGCAAATACTTATCTCTAGTCAGACATACCTTCAGCTCAATATCATGAAATCCTGGGTTGTCCATGGCAATTTCCACCTGACGTCCTTTTCTAGGACTCTTGCTTGCTTGGCGACGTTATTCCATAGTAAGCTATCAATGCAACTGTTTAAAACAGCCTACTAGGAACACCCACACAGCCGAAGAGAACTACGTGTGTTGATAAAACGAGTAGCTTGTCAAGCAATAAAACAACAGAGGTGACGCCTTAGACTGTCATAGTCCAGAAAATCTGACCCCATTACATAAATTTTATCTCAGAAGTATTTGTTAACCTGTTACTGAGTCACCTGGACCAAAAATGTAGAGCAGTGATACAAAATATGGTGTCAATCTTTACGACTACTTTAAAAAGTTTTATTGGTAAATTGCATCATCAGTATCTGTACATGAAGCTTAATTTTTAGGAAAACAAATGAACTTTGTTGACAAGGCCACAAGCATATAGTTAAAACAATATGGCATAAGTTACAACTACATCCTTGTTTATTGAACCAATGACTTAAAAAATGTATTCCTTATAGTTATACCACAGTCAACTTATTTCTCCATTATTCCCAATAAATACTACCACAATCATCATAATTAAAGTCCTTAAAATAGAACAAAGAAACTTGTCACCATTGGACCAGCCTCATGATGATCTCAGTTTACATGTGACATGAACTTAGGCCACACCAATTTAATTTGTTGGTTCTCGGATTTGCCGCATCATTTTTTCTGAATTACAAACAAAAAAATTGTCAACCACTGAATCAACTCCAAAATGCTCATATTTTGGCCCCAACAGTTGAAGGAAGTCCCTTCTCTTCAGAACTGTTACATTTTTCCACCTATCAATACAGTGGATTTATTAAAAGTTTGAAGTTCATTATTTGAATTACAAACCAGCCTGGTATGTTGACATCATGGCTCCTATAATAGCATTTGGGGCTACAATAGGATGCCTAGGCCTGTTTCTATTTTTATTTTTTTTCGCCCTGTCGCTTCATATTTTCTCTGCAAAAATCCGAGAACCAACAAATTAAATTGGTGTGACCTATGAGTGAAGAAAAATGTTAATGCACAATAAGTCTTATAGCCTCTTCGCCTTGATTGCCACATTGTTTAAGGTACTAAGAAATTGAATTATGCAATCTTACATACAAGAAACTTAAAATATATATGACAAATAAATACATGACAGACTGGCCTACACATATCTCTATTAACTTTGGTCATATTAACTTTGGTCATATTGTATCCATATTGCAGAGAAAGGACAAAAAGATTACTGGCAGGTCCATAGGCTAACATATTGAATATTGCCATGTGCAAAAATTAAAAATCATTATGCAGAATGTATTTCTACTCATAATTGACTATTGAATTATTTCATTGGCATACTAGTATGAATACTGATATTGACTTCAATTTCAGCACAAGATTGCATTCAATTTTGTGAATAGGGTACAATGTAATCTTTATGATTAAATATGGTGAATGTTGCCTTGACTGTAGAAAAAACTACTAGTATACAAAATCTGTCATTTACACTTGAATTCCTTCCTTTGAAATGCTATTAAAAGTATATTATGCACAATATATGTAACTTCATTTTCATAAGTACATGTACATCAAAGGTAAATGCTATCGGGTGGCAAGAAATGTATATTAAATAGACTCTATGTAAAACATGTTTTTTTAGTCTGCTTTTTGAACTGCATGGCTGCTTTGGTCCACTTCTTCATCAGATGAGAAAAGGTCGTTTGTTGTTTGGAGTTCAGTCATTTGGTCCAGCTGATATGTTGGTTGTGCAGTATGACAACAGGCAAGCTGGAAAAGGGAAACAATCATTTGTAACTTAATATCATGTCATACATGACCCACGATAACGTTTGATATGGGTGCTATGGCCCGTGTGATAACTATAGCGGTATCACATGGGGTTATAACAGTTATCATACATACTTGCTTCCAAATGTTGTTCCAAATGAAATTATTTGGCGAAAGTGCCATGTGCATGTGCAAATTGAAAAAAAAATTAAATACTGGATTGTTTGGATTGAATACCAGTGCAGTGACTTGAAATGGACTCAATGTCACAGAAACTTATTTCTCTTTCACAGTAACTCACCTTTTCAAGACATCTGGAACCAAGAGCTATTAAACACCTCCATGCCTGTAGATGAAATAAAAGGTTCCTCAGTGCTCTAAAAATTTTATGAAATTATGGCTAAATGCCAATTGCATGTAAATGTACAGTGTCAAAGAAAGTAAAAGAAAAGTTTACATATTATTATATAAAAGAACATACAACTACTGTCATAAGTACTATAAGGTTACCGTACTACATTTTACTATTGTGAGGTTTGACTACATAACACTACAATCTCACCAAATCACACAATGGTAAACTATAATTCATGAAAGTAGTACATACCAAATATGAAACAAATGTGACATAAGCCAGCACAAGTACAGCTATGAAGGTGTAGAGTGCCCAGTGTTTGGGTAACTGTTTTATGGAGATGAATCCTAGGTAGAAGTTGATCCCCAGGACAGCTATAGCCAGGGAACAGACTAGGAGCTTGTTTAATCTGTGGAAAGAAATTAACAAAATAAAAATCTGCAAGCACCACATTGCTGTAAGAGTTACAAGGTTTCACAAAATGTAAAACATTCTTGCATTCAATATTCTTAAACATATTCGAAACATTCCAGCAATGAATTCTGTAAGACATTGATACATACATGTAACTGTGTAAACCTTTCCAGATGTTTGATACATGACTATTAGAGCCCCGAAGACAGCCTGCCCCAACTACTATGCCCCAACCACGATAGACTGGATACCAGGTTAATATTTCTGTGGAGTGACATGTTGTTGGTATGTTACAGAGAAAATACAGTACGTACACTCCATTTTTAAAGTCGTCCATTATTCCAGACATACTGGTGAAGGTCAGAATGGGCACCAGAGCGAAAGGCAGCTGAAACACAAATCACATGTACACACATTACAAAAGTACTGTGATCTGATAAAGAAAAATCTGCAAACTGTTCAAAAGCATTAATCCTATATAGAGCTGGATTTTAAAGTATAGTTACAAACCCCATACATTTTACTCAGTTACACAAAAAAAGCCCTAACAAATTACACTATATACAATGTAGAAAGTATCTTCCATGGAAACAATAATATTTTCTGTATCACTTTTCATTAAATGCATCAAAATTCATATCTTAAATGCTAATAATATTTGTGCTGGTTACCTGAAGACTTTGCAAAACATTCAGGAAGTCATTCATGCCCGTCAGGTCGTTGACCCCTCTGAAGGCTGCCACAAAGATGGTTGGACCAATGGCAATGGACCTTGTCAGCAACACCCTTTTCCACCTCGACCAATGGAGATTCAGGAAACCCTTTCAAGTTCAAAGATGCAAGCAAATTGTCACAATTCAACTTTAACCAAGCTGTACCACGCAGAATTTGAGAAATATAGATCAACCAAAAAACTGTTCAGAAGCCATTGCCATTATTTCTCTTATACTTCATAGGTGCTGACCATCCAATAGATATCAAATACATCTACACGTATATCTAAACTCAGTTCAAGGACCAGTGCAGGTTAGGTGCTGGTAGACATCCGAAATACCTGCACAGGTCCAATTTTACCTGCACTAACCTGCATATACCCAGTACATGGACCAGTGCAGGTTAGGTGCAGGTAGACATCAGAAATACCTGCACAGCTCCAATTTTACCTGCACTAACTAAAGGTACATATGCACCCAGTAATTCTGGCCCTGAAAAAGTAAGCATTTCTACAACATACCTCCATAACAAACTGCCCTGAATATGTTCCTGTCATGGTTGAACTTTGCCCAGAAGCCAAGATTCCAACAGCCCAGATGTACATGGCAGCAATTCCGTATTTACAACCTAAAAACACACCCTGGAAATACATAACGTTACACAAAATCAGTCCTGGGCATTATTATCCTCATTTCAAATGGAACACTCATTCTGTTCCAATGATCACAGGTGACCCCAGATGGAGCACGCATTCTGTTCCAATGACCATGGGTGACCCCAGATGGAGCACGCGTTCTGTTCCAACAATTATGGGTGGAAGGAAGTTACTGTAATGTTTTCTCGTGTGCCACTAAAGTCATATCTAATATTAAGTAAAATGGACTCACCCCCTTATAAATATCAACTTCCACGTCTCCTGTGGTGTTGAATATAGCAGCATGTGGGTTTCCATTTTTTGTGCAGAGGTTATACTAAATAGGAACAGGAAAAAGAGCAAAACATTGTCAATGCCATTTCTACAAATTAAGAATTATCTTCACATAGATGTGGCAATGCTAGGAGTTAAACTATGTTCATGGTGTAAAAGAGTATTCAATGAAATGTACTCCTAATGCCTAGGAATATGTGTTTCTCGACCCACGCTACATGTAAGAAAACTCCACCAATCAACCGCTGGTAAGCCTAAAAAATTTTTTATCTGTCATCTCAATTTCAAACCCTCTAAGGTCTGAAACGTTATGTAATGCATTTTATTCTTCAGCAAATCAGGTGAAATATTCGTCCATTTGTACATCTACATGGACAGGTCTGTGAGACAGTCCCGAATTCACTGTGTTTGATCAGTTTAGCCAAAATCTAAAAAAAAAAGAAAATCTTTACCTACGGACCCTATTTTTTTTCAGGGCTGAAACTGGAAACACAACATTAATTTTCCTATGCCTAACCACAATTGTCTATATGGAGAGAAAATGTTAATGTTTACATATCTGCAGACATACCAGTTCCTGATTGGTCACGTTGTGTAGCCCTTCTGCAAACACACAAACAACAAACAAGTTGATGATGAAGGACACAAACAAAGCGATGGCAGCCTCGATGAAGAAGTACATGTTGGCTTCTCTCACATCTTCTTTCTTGTTTCTGTCTACATCTCTGGACTGTAGGGAAACATAAACATTATCTTAGTCGTTAAGACTTTTGTTCCAATATAAAGAATTGTCTTCAGGTATGACACATGAAAACTGGTGGAGTAGTGGCAAGATTAAGAGAGCCCCCTACCTTTACCAATGCGGAGTGCAGGTAGAGGTTGTGAGGCATGATGACTGCACCGATGATTCCCACAGCCTGAGCTGCTCCCTTATATCCACAGTCTGCACAGCCAGGGATAAACAAGCCCTTCAGTACTTCTACCTGGTTTGGTCCCACTGTCCCATACTGAAAACAAAAACATTTTATCATAGATTGCAGGCTTTGAAATACTTATTTTTCTAAGAAAAATCTAAGAAATCTAAGAAAATTAAATGGTGGCTCTTATGTAGAGCTGGTCACAGGTTTGACTATTTGATTATGATTTGACACCGGTTATACATATTATACTGTACGTGGGAGAATAGTTGCTTCACTAACCTCATATCCAAAAGTTAAGGCCATCACGGTGATCAAAAAGGCAAAGAAGGCCTCAAGTTTTCGTAGACCTAAAACATAGCAATCGTATACATGTATAATTATATAGTACTGTGTAAGAATTGGATTATGGTAATGCAGTCCATTTGCAGTGAATAATATAAGGAGTGTCCTTTCTGATGAGGTGGTGGCTCCATGTATGAGGGAGCTTATGGCATCAAAACGTTGCATGTAAAAGAACCAAACTCACTTATTGCGAATAGTAGGGGTGACCTGGGGTGCTTGGCTATGGTATCAGGACAACTCAGACCATTACCAACTCGGCACATGGCAAATCTGGTCTGATGTTGTCTGCTTTATCTTAGTACAATGGACAAATAACATTTGTGTGTACTCACCATATTTGTCTAGGAACAAGAACACGAATGTGTCTGTGATTGTTATAAGCACACCTCCATAAAGAGGGATTCTGTAAAGGAAAAACAGAAGTTAGATGCCACAGTATGTAATCTAAATAACAGGCCTTTCACAAAAAAATATTATGTTAGCCAGTCTCGAATAGTGCCAATCGCAGTCGCAATGGACAAGTGGTTGGCTTAGGCAAGTCCCTTAATTCTTATGTTTATGGGGAAAAATCAGGATCAAGAAAAAGCAGATGTTACGGCCAGATGGCCATCTTATACAGGTGGTCACTTGGGCAGGTTTGACTGTATGATAAAAAAATCTATTCTACTCCATAAATTGTTGACTAGATGGATAGTACATATTACTTACTTTCCAGCAGAGAGTAGATTAAGAGCTATTGCTGACCCAATAACCTCCTGCATGTCTGAGCCAATGATAGCTATCTCCACCATCACCCATAAGGCAAGTCTGAAACATATTAAAGATTATTACATATGACAAATTTACAGGTACATATAGCTATAAACAATTGATTTTTCAGTATAAATCTGTTGGAGTGATACTGATATCTCCAGCAGACATAGTTATGTCTTTGCACTTATCACCAGGAAGGTACATTAGCTGGAAAACATTGCTGATAACATTTTCTATCTTGCTGCATGATACTAAGGCAGTAAGACAGTGAATTACCGTAAGTATCGTAATCACTCTATCAGTCTATGGCCTACTTTAGACACAGATTTTTGTGACAGCAGTACTGGTGACAGCAGGAACACTATGGGAATGCAGAGAATTCCCAACAGCGTAGTCCGCTATCGTCAAATTTTCTGCATGTCTGAAGTTGTTGGTGGAAAATTTGACGAAAGCAGGAGTACGCTGTTGTTGTTGTTCGTCTGTCATTCTCTACGATGACCAATGATGTCACGTCAGCTTCTGTGTGTCTGGCTGTGGCTCACCAGTCGTACACAGGCTCTGAAGGCTCTGCCACAGTTCAGGCACGGGTGGGTTGCAGGAGTCAGGGATGTGAAGACGGCTCTGGATGCACTGTTGTAGTACCGTTGTCCCAAAAATCTGTGTCTAAAGTTGGCCTAAGTCTTCTCTCTCCCTCTCCCTGTACCCTACTTACCTGGGTACCCTGGGGTATTGTGAGTGACACACCTCTGCTAGATGCATGCCTGACACCACCCCCAGTCTGGCTGATAGTCTCTGTAGTACTAACCCCATGATGTGGGCGAGAAGCAACAGCCAGAGAAGCTGCCATTGGAGAAATCATAAACCTAATTAGCACAGAAATGAGCAGGATATAGAATGGTCAGTCTTAAAACCTAGCCTTGTGTTAGCAACGTTATACTGATATAAACAGGGCTATTAATAGCTGTTTGCTATATGCTATATGATACTGTAATCCCAGATTTTTTTCATGCATATGGTACTTTTACGTTCACTGTTTTCACGGTCACTTCTGAATCATTAATTGCTGTTAACAAATAATTCCTCGACTTTCTTTTTCCTGCACCTGCCGCCACTGTGAACATATACATTTAGTTCCGTGAACATGTTTTTTCATACCGTGAAATTTTGCTACCATAAACATAACTGGAATTACAGTATTTTTTTACAATAGCAAACAACGCCTTGCTAAAAAAACATAGAAAACAAGGATCTTACCTTGTATTGAGCAACAAATCCCGACTGTAAGTCAGACTCGATGTTTCCAGGGTCTAAATATGCAATACTCATGAGGAACCCTGGTCCTGTGAAGGCCCACAACTTTCTGAAGCTAAAAGAATACTGAAAAACAAAAAATTCCATTCTATAAATGATACAGAATGAGAAAGTAGTGTCCTAAGGCAGTTCTCTTTTACTAGTTTTAGGGACACATATTGCTAATTCACTCCTGTCCAACCTGATATTATACAACATTAATAATAATAATGTATACATAGAAGAAGTGGGTAAATTTGTCTTCTATTGCTTCAGACAAAGTTAAAATGTATGTTGTACATGCAAGTTAAAATGTATGTTGTACATGCAAAATGTATGTTGTAGAATATAGTAGTACTATAATGTTGGATTGTATTTTTTTTCATAGTAATAATCATACATGTTTGTTTGTACTTGCAATTATCCCTCAGGCATGTATTTGCAACAAAGTTTTGTTATTATAATGTTTTGTTCTATGTTGTCATATCCGTTAGTGATATATACATTGTATGATGATAATAACTGAACTTTTACTACATTTTAAGTATGGCTATCTCCCACCCATCACTTGAAATATTGTGTCACTACTTCAGAAATTTCTAGGTAACTTAGGTTACAGAGATATAACTCCAGCAAGCTTAGTTCATTCACATACACAAATATACAAGAAAAAAGTTTTCCTTACATCTTCTGACTGTGGAATAGATATCTTCTCTTCAAAGTAGGTTCCACCATTGCTAACAGGACTATCCTTGGCCCCTGTGTGCGTCTTTTGTCTCATGGTCTGGTAGTCAGCACTGGGCTCCATGCAGAGCTCATCCATACTGTCTGAATCACGAGCTGAAGAAAAAAGTCAGACATAGAATAAACAAATACACAATATTAGAAAGGCAGACATTTGCTCAAGAGCAAATACAGCATATTTCACTCCATTCCAAAATGTTCCATATCAACCTTTTCCATGTAGTGATGTCCAGTATCAAATACTCCATTGGACCAATGTAGTGCCCAACACCCCCATACAGTGCTTCTTAGTGACAATTGTTCTTGGAACCCCCATACATTGTTTTTCAGAGACAAGTGTTCTTAAAACCCCCATGAAGTTCTTTTAGTGACAAGTGTTCTCAAAACCCCCATGCAGTCCTCAAAATTCCCATACAGTGCCTTCCATTTAGATTTTAATAAAGAAAAATCTACTAGTAATTTGATTCTACAGCTTCTCACCAGCTTAGAGTGCGTGTGATGGCAATTCAGTACCAAGGAGAAAGGAGAATATGTATGTTTCCTATAAAAATTCTGATACACATGAATTACATTATTTGACATAACGATAAGCAACTAATTTTGTATTAACCTTCCATAATTATCAAAGGCACTTCCTCCACAGTGGGATGTTTCTGACTCATACTACGTGTTGACTGGCCCTGTACCATCACACACTGTTCTTATAAAGGTGGGAAGGACCGAGAACAGAGAAGGTCTTGGAGCTGTAGCTGAGTCTTCTGGCTTTGGCAGAGAAGAAGAGGCAATGGATCTACAAAGTGATGGTCTACAATGCAGAAGAAGAGAAAGTTTGGAAAAAGTTAGAGATTGCTGCACACGAAAGAGTTTGTCAGTTGCATGTGTTGGCACTTGAGAAAACATTCAATTTGGTAGCATGGCTCACAGAAAATGCAATATTTGTACAAATCCAATATTTGTACAAATACTAAAAAATAAATTCAGTACCATTGTATGATTATTATGATCACTTACCCATTAGAACTAGGAATCTCTTATTGCATTGAAGCAGAAACTGAAAGTGAAGGTGATCCTGCTAATCTCCCTATCTGCAATGCATGTAAACAACATTATTTTAATAATTAAGAGTCAGAAATCTAATTATGTTTGGTGGCAAATTGAAGTGGCAATATTATATTTATATATATTATAAAATACATACATACATGCATACAAACATATATACATATGAACATACAAATTGTCTTCATCTCAAATGTTAGATAATTTTCACGACAACACTAGAGCTCATCTGGGTCGATAATAAAATGTGACATCGAAGGAAAACAAATTTTGAGAAGTCCATCTGTATATAGCTGTATGGTTTTCCATCGATGGCCAGGGTTGCAGGGTTGTTAAAACACTAAGAACACGAGGTCTTGCGTGAAAACAAAGGAAACTGGCAGCTTGTTCAATCAATATGCTCATGTGTACTTGTAACAGCTGTTCCAGGCTTTTCACGTAAAACGCAAGCCGACAACATGTCTTCTATCTGCCCCCCTCCCCCTTCAAATCGCCACGCAGTAGTGCCATCACACTGATTCCAGACACCCAGATATAATACTACATAGACAACGTGAAAGTCCTCACTTACAACACGATGTGGACGCTACAACACAAAGTTTCCCGGGGCTAAATGTTAGAACTGTGTTTTCTAAAACGAAAATGTTACCGGCTAAATTTTGTTGTCGAACTACCTGCGTGTCCTCACTTCCGGGTTTACTATGAATTGTGGGTAATTTATGAATCACAACATTTTGTCCTAAAACTTGCCACGGGGAAAGCTTGTTGGGGCCAAATTGTTGTTAAGGGTGGTTTGCTGGGTTCGGCGTTTTAGCAAGTTTGAAGCAGCATTAGTATATAGTTGTGAAGTCTACCTGCGTTTGGGTATAGAATCTACCACTCCAAACCGAAGGGAGGTTCGAGAAGCTGGTGCAAACTTAATTGTTATCTCGCCATTGATCAAATAAACGTCAATGAAACCTCCCTGAAACACCCTTGGGCGTCTTTAATGAGAGACATTATATTACAGTACTTGCAAAATAGCCAACAGAAAACATAATCCCTTGGTTGAAGTTCATTGACAGGCTTCGGATCTACCTGGCGTGACGTCACTATGCAAATTACTTGGACCCACACTGCACTTCGCGAATTCGGCGACTGTGAACTTTTTTTTTACAGCTTACGTATTTCGGAGATTTTCTGTTAACCTGGATAAAAAAGAAGCACGTTGACGAATCCTAAGGGTGTTCTGGGGTTTTACCAATCGACGCTTGAGACCCGGGTGAGCCTCATATTTGATATGATTGCATATCTGAGACAGACTGAAAGTAACGGTACAATTTACCAACTCATCTGTACCGTCGCCATATAATTAACGTTTGATCTTAAATTTCTTGTTTTTGTTTGTTTCTTTGTTTTTTGTTCTTTTCTTAATGCCCCCAACAAAGTGCTATAGCTCTAGGTCTACAGTCTAGCCGTAACGACTAGTAGAGGCTTCTTTCTTGGTAGATCGTACAAAATGTAGGTTCCCTTGGAAAAATACAAGGGGCAAAGCACCAGTAGTTCGCAAGTCCGGACTTTAAAAATGTCGCCCTCCATTTGCCTGTCCTATTCACTTCACTCATGTACATAGCGTAATGTTTCACTGTTTCTGAGTTGTCACCATTTAGGACCGCCATTTAGGATATCTAAATGTCTTGATTAATGTTAATGTTTTACTGAGACTTTCTGAGTGTCGGGTGTCACTTCATGACCGCAGGAGCTTGTTTATTTGAGATCAGCTTGCTATTTATATACACATTTCCACCACAAAAATCGCAAATATGTGTAGTAGTACAGGTAGGTAGAACTAGTAGTCGTTCTTGCCATGATATCTTGGCATGCCGGTATCCGGCCAAGTCTAAAATTGCGCCATAGTCTCTTGTGACTACAAAAGAACGTTATAGTTACTTAAGTATTTGCCGGCAAACATGTCTACCTATTTGTTATGTCCCCTTGACTTTGAATACCAAAATTGTCAGTGTGAGCCTTTGCATCTGATATTATGTTAAGTGATAATCTTTTGCATTAAAATTTTGTGGGGCTTACAGTCAATATCGTGAGAAATCTGGCGTTAGGAACATGAGAAATGGGCTATATTCCACACCACAAAACACAAAGGAATTTATTTAACCTATCGCGGCCCCTGCACAGGTGACACGGATGTGTATTGGCTTGTGGTCAATTTGTGACCTGTTGAAAAACAACAGCAAAAATATCACTGTTCTCCATTTGATTTTATGCCAGATCGCAAGTTTCTGCCTGTTTTTTTTTTTGTCTATAGATCTAAGTCCTTAGGATCTATATTGTCATGTTCTTTTAACTGAAAACTTTTCATGATCGTACAATTGTTTTCAGTGGTATGGTTTGTACTTTGGTCTAAGATTGCCTTGCCCACAATTGCAAACGGGGGGCCCCGTCGGGTTATACTGTGTGTGCCTGCCATGCTATATTTTGGGGCTCAGCGAGTGGGACCCCGGATAATTTTGTTTGTTTGTTTGTTTGTTTGTTTGTTTTTAGCCTTTTTTCTTATTCATGAAATAATAGTACTCAAATCGGCCTGCTGGACGTTTCTTTTCATTGAGGTCATGAGGGAAGGTCAGAGTCAGACAGATCGAATATAAACATCTGACTGCCGGGCTGTCAGAAACAGTCGGCAACGGAATGACGAGTGTTTGCCGAAAACTAGACCGATAAACGGGCCAAAATAAAAGATGACACGAAAAATAATTCAAGACCCTTACAAGGCAGCCTAAATGGAAAATTATTTGTGACCACTACAACTGGTGTTGATGTTTTTTTTTTTTCAAGTCAACTCAATTCAGTTTAGTATAAAAAATCAACCTGGCAGAAGTACAAGGTATACATCTGAATTGTGTTGAACTTTTACAGACTTACTATTATTACAACATCTTGTATGTATTACAACATATATATTACAACATATTGTATATATTACAACATATTGTATATATAACAATATATAACACGAACACACAAACACATGCACACACACACACACACACACACACACACACACACACACACACACACACACACACACACACACACACACACACAAATGTTGGTATCGTGATAACTGAGTGATATCGTGACAGCTCCTACAAGCCCAAATTACAATTGTGATCAAGGCAAAATTAAATGACGCTCCAATTGTGCGACCTATACTTTGTATATCTACATTATGCAGCATTGCTACAACCTCTTGTGACGTTGAAGAAGTGTAAGAATGGCGCAGCCGCCGCCGCCGCCGCCACTGTGGCTAGGGTTCCTTGCCTTCATGTACACCCTAGTCATTACCCCTATGCTGATGCTGTTCAGAGGGCTCTTCCGTTACAAAGAAGGTACTAGCTTTGATTCATTCTTCTTAAGGTCGATATAATAATACTTTTGTCCGATGAAGTATGAGTATAAACTTAAGCTTGCTGTCTAACATCACTAAAAGTGGTCATTTTCGCTAAACTCAGTATGTAGATAGGTCTTGATAAGACGATAAGACCTTGACATAATTTGATTTTGAGGGTTTGTTTGTTTGTTTGTTTCTTTGTTTGTTTGTTTACATGCAGTGAGATATTCCGCATATAGATCGGTGTGGACATATGTTGGTCATTTAGTATGGATAGACATTATTTCATTGTCTTTATGTAAAATTGAGAGGAAGAAACATATTAGATAGTGTAGTGATATTATCTTATTATAATTACAATGAATTATGATTGTGGTGATGACGATGTGGCATGTGGACAACGGTTTTCACAAATTGGAACTGAGTCATATGGATAGTTACATGGCCATTCCTGCTTTACATTGTAAATTTTTCAGCACCGATGAGGTAAGTTTACAACTACCTTGAAATTTCACCGTCCAGATACAGTTCCGAATGAGCCGATTGCAACCACACCCGTGCCCGGCTCCGCTACCCGTCTCGGGCTGATGACATGGGAAAGGCGATGCAGGACAGGAGCTACTAGGCATCCATTGCGGTTCGGTTGGCAGAGGAGGACTGGCACCCGACTTAAGTCAAGTGAGTCGAGTAAGTCACTCGCAGAATCGGAGGTAGGCATCGAATCCAACAAAGAACCATCCGAGAGTTCAGACCGGTCCACTCCTCTAGATCTGTCGTCCTTATCCCAGCCTGAAGATTCAAGCGAGCCTGAGTACCCCGCCTTTGTGACATCGAAGACGGACATCAACCCGAAGGATCGTAACCAAGCATCATCCGATCCTTCAACCACCAGTGCGCCTGCAAATGAAGCGGGAGAGGCAGTCGACAAAACCATCGCCACCACCAGGTGGCTCTACAACGACCTGAAGTACGCTCTCCAACAACTTGACGCCCTCCAACGCCACTACGAACAAGAGATTCCCATCCTTCGCAACTATGTACAAGGGATCTTAAAGAAACTGACAGACAAGATTGAGGGAACTGACGAAACCAGGGAAGAAACGTGTCCTTACGTAAGTGCAGTCCTTGTCCCAGAAGACGACGACGTCGACGCCAAGAAGGAGAACACAAAGCAAGTAACACCCTCAGCTTCCCCGCAAGAGATAGATGCTACGGGCGGCGGAAACGTGTCAGAAGGACCACCAAAAGATCAAGACACCATTCAAGCAGACGTTAGCGCCGAAACTGGACAAACACTCGACGAAAGTAGTTGCGACGACCTGCCCATTGGACCCCTGCGATCCCTGGTAGCTGAGGTCAGTTACTGTTTAATGCGCCATGATTTATAAATGACTTGATGATATTGTACAACCATAAGGCCGTGTTGATTTGACTATATAAATCATATCCGAGCGTGCATGAATTGTCGTCCGTTTTTAGAAATAAGGAAATCGTACAAAGCGGCTGCAAAATGAGCAAATAGATGCCGCAAATTGACAAAAATAATGGAAAACGATACAAATGTCCTAGAATTGCAAAATCAATTTCAAAGCAAAATAGGAAAATGTCTATTATTCACTATACCATACTCTGTGTGTTTAGTTATTTGTTCAACCTTCATGATCATAGATTTCATAATGAAGGCATATATTTTTACCGAAATCTTTTATTCGCAAGCTCGCATCATTTTGGGGGTTCCCAGAGGATGTCATCTATATAATCAAATCAACATGGCCTAAATAAGGCTATTTGTGATGTTGAAACCCGTAGGAAAGGAACACGGCACCTGCCTGTTTCACTGGCACCCCTGACAACGGTCGCCCACCAGAAAACCATGGCTGGGAACGTCAAGACAACGGTTACATCGACAGCGGACCCCGAGAGATGCTTTACCTGGACAACCATGGACCACTCAAGACGGTAAGTCCATTTTCGTCATTGCTACATCAAGACAATGATGTCCCAAGACCACACTTGCAGAGCGATAACATCAGCTATGTATGAGAGACACAGAGCTAGAGAGAGAAAGACACACACAGAAAATGCATTTGTACTGGATTAGCTTATCATTAATATTTATTACTTAGTTATCTGTGAAAGGCCCATTGTGAGGGGAGCTATGTACTGTGTACGAAATGCCACTACACTGCAGCTCGTTTATTAAAGCATGACTAGATTTGATTATTCTTATCCAAGAGTGAAACTAACTCTCTTAGGCCCCATTCCCACTAGGATAAATTTTTCCGGATCGAGCCGAACTGATTCGCTTTGATCCGGCTTCTATCCTGCTTCCAGCCGGATTGAACCGGATCGAAGGCCGATCGAGCCGGATAGAAGCCGGATCAAAGCGAATCAGTTCGGCTCGATCCGGACAATTTTATCCTAGTGCGAATGGGGCCATAGTAATCTCTTTCTTTTATTGGCATCGAAAAGCAAGGGGATTGCTTCAGCGCCGATGACCTATCATCTGGACCAAAAGGACTGTTCGAGACTGAGGTGAGTATGGTAGGATACAAACCCACAGAATCACTACAGCTCTATACACGTAAACATCCTATAAACTCTGTAGTCCCTTACTACTAGCATACAATTGTACGACATTGTATTTCATGAGCAGAGCCGAAAAAGCCGAAGATTTGTAATTCACTTATTTGCATAGAACATGTGTCGCTTTGCGTTTGGGAGCGCAGCTATAGCAGCGACACCTGTGCTGCTGTACAATGTGAACCAGTCACTCAGAATTGACCTGAGGAAGGTGACAGACAGCCACCGAAACGTCAGCTGAATAAAAACACTTAGCTGTGTAAAAAGAGTCTCTTTATTCAGTCGATACATGTTTTAATGCATACCAAAGGACTACCCTGAACCACCCAACGACCATGGAACACTGGGACATCCAACTGGTTTTCAATACCAGGAAAAAGAAGGACACACGACGTGGGATGACTATGGAGGTGGAATCGACGATGAAGTGGACAGTGGGCCGAAGGAAATGCTCTTTGGGATGCCATTGTCCGAAGCCCTGGTAGGTCATCTTGTTATATATTATGGGATATAACTTAAATTTCTAAGACCAAGTACAATTAAATATGTGTTCCAACACAAAAGGGAAATGTTCTCACCTAGAGCTTTTGACCAGTCACTTTGGTCTTCCTCAGTAGACTGACCCAGTGGGGCTTGTCACGTGGCTTCTCTGAAGTGTGACGTCACACTGGCTGGGTCAAAGGTATCTGGTAGACGATGTCGGCCCCCGTCGCGGTGGGGTGATGGGCCCTGATGCAAATAGTATCTTTCACCCCTCTCAGGAAGTGGTCTTGTTGTGAAACCTTTGTTCAGGAACAAAAGTTTTAACTCTAAACATGCACACATCTAACTACCAACACAGAAGAACTTTCATATGGGCGATTGATCTTGTTGCTTGGATAAGCGTCTCAGTGATGAATGGAGACTTATGGTTATTATTTTGGTTCTGTAGGAATAAATATCGCACCAGAATAAAGTCGTTTGCAACCTAATCGTTCATGGAATACATCATGTCTCACCGCATTACATTGTTGTTTATGTGCTAAATCATCCACAGATGTCCATCAGACAGAACTATGGCGATGACGAGGACGATGACTCTGACACACGTTACCATGCTGATGTCTGTTTTGGCGATGAGCAGGTAAGGAAAAACTTTCTCAAAGTCAATTCTGCTAATATGATGATGTAAGTACCAATTGCAGAAATAATTGCCATGGCAGATGGTGTGCACTGTCTTTCAAAAATGTTATAGTTATCATAACAAAAAATATATGTATTATTTCGTAGCCACCACAGGATGCTTGGGGTCTGGAACGTAATGAGGACGTGGCAGACAGGGGGCTTGTTGTCTCGGCGATGCAACATGTCTCCAAGCCACCTGGACAAGACATTGGGTAAGGTTGGAATAAATCATTTCATAAAACTATTTTATAAGCATACTTTGATTGGAAAGGAAGGGAAACTAGAGAGGTAACATTTGCAAAGCAAATGCATAATGTTCACCTTCGCATATGGTCTTCTCTGTTAATTCTTACTCAAACTCATTCATACATATATGGTCAGACAGGAGTCTAAATCCCTCCTGCTGGAAGATTGCAACATGATGTAACCCAACACTAGTTACCATGGTGACAGACGTCTGGTTCAGGTCATTGACCTTATTGGTTTGGAGAAGAAGAAGAGGAAACAGAGGAAAACATTTTTTCCTTCGGTAAACATAATAAAGACCCAAGGTTAGCCTACTATTCAGCTAGATGAACGATTTCAAACTAGATCTATATTACAGTTGATATGTTATCACTTTGTCAAATTGGTAATAATCTATTTGTTCACAGAATCGCTGGAGACGACATGAAGGGTCTGAAGCTCAGCATTGAAGCCAATGAGGACAACAGCCGCACGAGCTTTGATGTGCCCATGGAACCGCCGGAGCGCCCCCTTCCAGACCACAACTACAACTACAACAACGATGCCATGGGCCGCACTCCTGACATGAACTGTGGCTAGAGTGAACAGGGAAGAATACTTGACAGAATAGAAAAGTTCTTTGTCCACAACCATTTTTTAACAGGAGCCGACGTTTCGATGACCGTCTGTCATCTTCATCAGAGCAATTATGACTGATGAATATGAAACGTCAAAAAGTGGTTTTGAAAAAAAAAACTTTGCTATTCAATCGTTCACCATCTGGTAATACCATTTACGGAAGAATACTTGGCAGTGTATTTTGGCACTGCTTTTTACACAAATTACTTTGTAGTGGCTTATTTTGCTTACTGTCGTGTGAGGGTGACTTTTAGCTTATTACACTTAGTCGAGTATATCAAAACTATTATATCAAAACGATTATTATGAAAGAAAACATTGGACAAAGACAATATCATTAGGTACTAGCACATATCAATGAAAGAAAAAAAGATGTACAAATTGCAAGGTGTAAATCTTAATTTCATGCACTATACTTAATCTCCAAGCAGATCATACGGTGGCAAGACAATATCCATTGGCCAGGGGAGTGTCCACTAGCCACCGGGGCTAAGGACTCTCTCTAGATGGTCAGTTCTGACCGTAACGCTTTTGCCACCAGACATCTGCTTGTAGATTATACTGCAGCTACATTTATGTCTCAGGTAACAACTGGAATAGTTCTGTGTTTATGTGTTTTTAACCACTTGATAACTTTTCATTAAGTCTTTACCTGTATGATTTTTCATCTTAAACAAATATTTGATCGTTCTAAAAATGTTGATGCCTTTAACTACTATGTTGCACTTGAAACTTGTAGGGCCCCGATTGATATGATATAGCCAAAGGCCTCACACATGCACATATAAAAAAGATACCAATCTTAAGCTTATGACAGGATACTTCGATTGTGTGAAAAGTTTGCTTGAAAAGGAAAGTATGCTTGATACATATGAATGGTGTATCCCTATTTCACTTGAAGGTTTGGATCGAGATGTTGATAATACAGTAAAGCTATGACATGTTTGTTTACAATTATTTACATACAGTTTCACTGGGTTTCCCCTAGCTCAATTCATGCATAAAAAGTTGCATTTGAAAGATGCAAAAGATTCTTAGAATCTGTTATCATCAGCTTATAAGATAACAATATACTCGTAATAGGTGATCCAAGGAATTTGGTGACACATTGTCGTGTAATGTAGTGATGAAATGAAGCGTGAAGAATATGTGTGTTTTACAATGTTCAATTCATCCTTAATTGTGAGAATGTGAGTACTGTTTTATTGAATGACTTCTATTTCTCATGCTTTGCTCTTGTAGTGACAAATAAAAGAAAGCAAAAATCCAATGGCTGTGATATATTTCTATTTGATTGAATGTGATGATTCGAGTACCATATTAACAAAGTTACTTATGGCTTTACAATAATGATTTATGATTTACAAACAAGGCTCAAACATATACGGCGATGGTAACGAACGTAACATCTGTAAACTTTTATGATACAAAAAAGTCGATGGAAGGTCTCTACCAAATACACAACGCGTATACACTGAAGTCTGTTGGGAGGGTCCTTAGGGGGTTCTAAGAATTCTATCGCCACAAAATTTGGTCTGCGGGGCTTTATCTTAAATGAAAAGTAATGTAACAAACCGGATTCAATCATAACAGTTTATTCTCTGAAGAAATATAATGATCGCTTCTTGCCAGGAGTGCTGTTTAAGATAGTAGTTGCTGTACATTGCGACAGTGATGAAATATCATGTTTTTCATAAGCCACAAATTAATCAAAACAATACTGAGAACGAACAAAATGAAATAACATGTCCCAGCAGCATATATTCCCAGAGCTTACCTACGTCATCAGCACTTAGACTAATAAATCCTGAATAAAAATAAAAGTCCTGAAGAAAACTTTGTAATCTTCGTATTATTTGTGGCTAAGGCCATGTTGATTTGATTATATGGATAACATCAACGCGTGCATGAATTTTCGTACTCTCCAAACAGAGGTTTGGGTTTTAGCTTATTTTTGGCGTGTTTTTATGCTTTTTTATCGGGGTTTCTTTTTTGCACTGGAATTTTCCTACGCCAATCCAATGTATTTAGTCATTTGTTCCCAGAGGATGTCATCCTATAAGCAAATCAACATAGCCTAAGCTTATTTTCCTATCAACATTAACATCTTGTTTGTATTTACCTTTTAGAAAGCTAATGAATTATACCAACTTGCTGGTCACTAATATTACGAAGAGACCACTTCTATGTCACCGTTAGTAGACGGTACCATATCCTTAAAGCTGACCGACTTTCTGGTATCTGATATATCTATATCATCGTACAAATAGAGTCGTCTTTTGTTCTGATATAAGGACTTCTCTGTAGGAGACTTCGGGCTCTGTACATGTACGTCGTGTATCAAGTGCAGATAATTCGGTGTAACTTCTCGAGCGAGAGACTCTCTACTCGGTTTGTATGTTCCCTGTGGAGTCAGTTCAATTGATGGCTTGACGGAATCCTTGTTGATGGCGGCATTACGTCTATAAACCCACCACCCTCCCACTAAGACAGTAACCAACACCACTAGCAGTATAACAACAGCTATCACGATTTTAACAGTAGTTGTCAAGCTGCTGGGTGGGCTAGGATAAGCTGTAGAAGTGAAATTTCTGCCATCAACAGTTGTAAGTACGGTTTTTAGATGCAGTTTTGTCACTGTGGGAGATTTGGACGTAGCTTGAGGTGTATTTAGTAGAGTGGTTGATGGCTCAACCGACCGTGAAAATGTTGACACTGACGGCGTGTTGGGTACTGTAGAGTTGGTTGCTAATGGCAACGGTGGCGACGTCATGTTGAGTGACGTAATTGTTGTCCTTGGAATATCGTCTGACGAATTCACCGGAGGTGTTTTCGTGGTAGAAGAGTAGTTTGTCGACTGCGCAGGCGCAAGCCTTGCTGTCGATGGAGAAGGCCGAGAAGTTGATGCTGTGAAAATAAGAAAATGTCAAAATGGTTGTTTGTTTGGTTGTTTGTTTGTATGACTTCATGTCCAATTTGCGTAAAATAAGTCAAAACCCATACATTTGGTTGGAGAGTAGTTCAAGGTCAGATATCTTTAGAGGTCACACGTCCTTTTCTCAAGGCTAGCATTTTGAAGTCTTTTAATGATGACATCTGCCTTGTGTAGTTTGTTGGTCTGTCTGGTTTTGTGAGTGCGAATGCGGTAATTACAAACTTTAGAAAAGTGTTTGATAGCGAGATACTGGTTTGTTGTGTTACTCCAGTTGCTCATACACACACAGACAATTCGTGTCTCACAAAAAAGACAGTCGACTTCCGAATCCTTCCAAACAATCAAACTCTCTAACCAGGCGTTATCTGAATACAATAGCCATTTACGTCACGGCATTCTATCAGAGGACTTTGCTGGCGAGGTCATAGTTTCTACACACCACATTCACCCCCGAGGCAGAAAAACTGTCTGGCCTCTGATAATGCTCACAATAGTCAATACTTCCCAAATAGACATGAATCATATGCATAGTTAAAACATGCGATGTGCCTCCTAGATTTTCTGGCGTTTTCTTTCGCGTATAAACAAAATGTCAACTTCATTCGTTCATAAAAATTGTTCTAAACATAAAAATGCCAGATATTTTCTTTCATTATTGTGTATGTGTCACTGTCATTGTTATATTAAATGATATGTTACATATTAATACATGATGTAGCTAAGAAAACAACGTCTTTGTTAACTATGTTTTATATCACCACACGACTTCTAAAGATCAAACTATTTTCAGAAACTTCAATGTAGCAAGTTGTACATGAACCTGAACTTTTACTCCATAAATATTTCTACTGTTTGTCATGTTGAAGACTGTCATGAAAACAACCTGGTACTGAGAGTAAAGTCCATGTTATCTACAAATGTAGGAACTTAGCGTGGTAAATTATATGTCATCTGTACCCTAACGTTCTTAACCGTTCCCCAAATACCATGTTTCTTTTTGTTGCATTCCTTAAGTGCACATGACCCTAAACACCTGGTTAAGACAGAGATTATGAGTTCACGTAGACAGCCACATTTCACTTTGCACTCCTTCTAATTTCATGTCCTTCCGACAAATATCAACCAGTGACGTCTGAAAGGATTCCTGCGTGACCATCAAATAGGTTTCAGGAGTCCCAGTCACACCTACAGGAGAAATTTCATGTACTGTGGCGAAAACAAACCGAGTTTGTACCTGCAAGTACTGTCCAGGTCAGAGTCAGGAAACAGCAACAGACGAGAATCAGTCGTTTCAGGCCTCGGGTAGCCATCGCTATGTTGGCTGAAGTTTACTATAATCTAGTTTTGAAGTTTTTACACAGGTACGAGTTGATTGTCAGAATCTAGGATGCGCACATCGCCCATATGTGTACGTATTTTGGAACACCTTGACTCAGTGAAGCAAGTCGTGCTCTGGGGATAAGCACGTTTCCGTCTTGTCAGAATGCGCTTACCATTGTCAACCGACCGGTTTTTGTTTTCTACGTGTGGGTGCGTGCATATGTGTTTATATGTTTAAATCTTAGATACGGCATGTTAGACAATAGTTAAACCTATAATACTGCCGCTGACATATATTCTGTACGTATAGTTTGCCGCATACATATATTATGTACGTAGGGCGACTTTATTCACTCATTATTTAGTTTTGTTCGATCTTAGTTATAGTAGACCATACGAAAGTCCCTGTACTTTTGTCGAGTCAATAAGGAATCTATTGATCAGTGAGCTTGTATCGTGGTTATGGGACTCCAAATCATTACATGGTTTGTATTAGTGGACTCTGGACGTTCTACTCGTAAAGCTAACGTATAGTGAGTGGGTATTGTTTATGTGGACCCAGTGATTTCCATTGAACAGTGCAGAGTGCAATGGAGCATGTTACTGTAACTATTCGCCTCAGGTTACTGTCACACCCAGTGAAAACACATCTTTTCTCGCGTGAATTCACGAGACCGATCGGGCCAGGTTAGAATGATCGTCAAGGTTTCGGTTAGAATCGTCAAGAAGTAAAACTAACGTCATGTTTATTTGATCACATGGATGGCATCCTCGCGCACATGAATTTTCGTCCCTTTAGCCCAAAAAAAGTTTGTGACTATACAGTTATACAAAGTAGCGGCAAAATAAACAAATATGATGTAAATCGCAACAAAAAAAAAAGATATTGGAAAACGATACTAATGTCGTAGAATGCCAAAATCAATTCCAAAGGCAAAGACGAACATGTGAAGAAATGAAAATGAAGAGTCTATTATTCACCATACCATACTCTGTGTGTTTAGTCACTTGTATGTTCAACCTTCATGACCACGTAGATTTCACAATGGAGGCAACTTTCTTGCCAAACTTTTTATTCGCACGCCCGCATAATTTTTGTGGTTCCCAGAGCATCGAGGAGGTCATCCATATGATAAAAGCAACATGTTACACAAAGGTAACACTCCAATATTTGATACTTAATAGCTAGTATCATCGCATTATAACATCTTATAAGACAGCTCATAACATATTAAGTAATAGTATGAAGAACCACAGTAGAGAAAATCACATAAAATCAGGACCCAGAAATCCATTGCATCTGTCAGTGTTCTTTATTTACCATTGAATTTTTATTTCAAAGTCATTTGGCAAACCGTTCAACAGTTTGAAATATATTTCTCACTTTTTAAACGCAATACAGGCACATTTAACAATGTCCAAGGAAATTGTTATTAGCATCTTTACGATGAAATCCTTTCAGAAAACACGCAAAACAGAAATTCTAAAGTTCTGTCCTATCCACTACAAATGATAATGATGTAAAAATCTGTTATTGCAAGTCTTGTGAGTGACGAGTCCATTGTCCATTGGTACGTTGTCTGAGATAGTCCGTTGGATCTGCTCACTGGGCCACTGTCAAATGAACACATTGTATTAGTGTCAAATGAACACATTGTATTAGTGTCAAATGAACACATTGTATTAGTGTCAAATGAACACATTGTATTAGTGTCAAACGAACACATTGTATTAGTGTCAAATGAACACATTGTATTACTGTAAAACGAACACATTGTATTACTGTCAAACGAACACATTGTATTACTGTCAACTCTCTCATATTGTACAAGCTATATTCTACTACAAAATGATATTCTACCTAAATCACAGGATCGACAGACCCACAGAAATTGACAAATAGATAAAACTGAAACACATAACCCTGAAGTTCCTAACCTGTGAATTGGGAGCTATACCGTTCGGCACAGCAGTCGGCATACTGGATTCCTCCAGGAGTACTCATCATTGCCGTGACACTCACACTCCGGAGCAGGCTGCGGCACTCCTACCGGGAGCTCCTCCGCCTCCTTCGCCGGCTCCAGGTCTCGTTTGGCCGCTAATGGCTTGGGCTGCCTACGGTGTAGCCATCTAGGGAGAAGAGCACATAAACCCCCATTATCTCACAAACGGGTTATCAGATAGAGTAGATAACACGAAATCGTTTCTAAACGTACGTTTGGGAACGCATCTGTTGCAGCAATACCTGTGTTTTGCAATGTAAACCAGTCAGAGTTGCCTTAAGGAAGGTGACAGATGGTCACAGAAACGTAGGCTGGATAAAACAAATGGTTGTGTAAAGGAGACTCCTGATTCGTCGATGTTAGACATACAGGTGATAAGATATGCCCAAAAAACACTTACTCAAGCAACTGGATATGATTTTGGAAACGGTCAGACGTTTCAGGTAGCATCCACTACCTTTCGTCAGTGTCACTGTTTTTGGTAGTCTCTTGATTCATTTCAAAACAGGTAGATATGAATGATTACATCAGTTGCTGAATGTTTGTCCCTTTTGACAAGTAATATCGTGCCGTATGTCATAGTGGAATGAATTCATAGCGGAGCTTAAGCAGATCAGAACTGTTTCTTTCTTGTTGTCACTGGTGAAAAATAGGGATTACAGGGTATAAGAAAAGGTCTTAAATGTTTACCCATTAATATCTAGATGTGCAAAATGGATTCCTTTTTTCCTCCGACGAAGGCTTTTCATCATGCCCCATAGGGTGTTTTAGACTTTTTAAAATGCCAAAATCACAGAGACGCTCTTTACAATGATTAGTAGGCATTTCTTGGTCTCGTAAGGCCAGTTGATTAATCAAACAAAATTACAAAGAAGTGTTTCATCTTCTGAGGAAAAAAGTAAGGCCATGATTTGATCATGTGGATAACATCCGTCCGTTTCTAAAAAAAAAACCACTGTAAATCGTACAAAGCAGCCGCAAAATGAGCAAATTTATGCTGTGAATTGAAAAAAAAATTTGGAAAACTAATGTTGTACAATGACAAAATCAATTCCAAAGAAAATTTCAAAAAATGTGAAGAAATGAAAATGAAGAGTCTATTATTCGCCATGACCACGTCGATTTCACATTGAAGGCAACTTTTTTGCCAAACGTAAAGCTTTTTTATTCGGACGTTGGCAGAACTTTTGGGGTTCCCAGAGGATGGCATCCATATGGCATCGAATCAACAAGGCCTAACTAGAATCCATGAAGGGGCTGATTAAATTTGCCCTTTAAAGCTTCGCGTTTTGCTGGGGTTGGATGTTTGTGACGTACTTTGCGATGCACGCATAGCTTAGCTGTTTTCATGTCAAATGAAATTAATTTGGCCCAATTTTCTTGTATTGGAGAGCGTTTGGCAGAGTTATGCACCGTACGTCAGCAAATTTGCCACATTGTTGGGACAGTCACGAATGTGGTAAACAACGTTAACAATCCGTCTTTTGATGGAAAAGGTCTGTGGTAGATCCTAGTTGACTGTCAAGGCTGTGATCGAAATTCTCGATCTCATAGTTGCGCTACCAAATCCTAAGACAGAAAATCGCATGTATGACTTCATGTATATACAGCATTCAATGAAATCTCAGGGTAGAAAAACTGGATTTTCAAAGTCAATCTTTTGGTCATCCCTTTAATGTAGAAATTTGAATCAAACCTATAGCTATCCCATAGCATACTGATATTTGTGAGGCAAAAAAATGGTTGCTTGTTTTGTATCATTCTAGCTACCTATCATTCTAGCTACCTAGCTACCCAAAGAGTAAAGAGGCTCACGTAGCTTGTTTTGGGGGGCTATTTCAAACGCTTCAAAATATAAAATGATGACCAAAATGTGCTAAGAAATGGCAGTAAATGTCAATATCATACAAATTTCCTCATCCAGATAACTTTTGCTTTGCTGCCCTGAAATTACATCGGATGACTTTAAGATATATCCCCACCCACGTCAGAAAATCCGCTTTTACACGATTTGCTTAATCCTGATCACTAGATTATATCCGGATTCATTCTTTTTAGGAGCCTTTTAAAAATACAGCGGGAGCAACTTAATTTCGAATTCGCGCTGCGCTGAGTCATTGGAAAAGCGAAATAGTGACTCTAATGTGTTGAAAGTTATTGAAAATGACAATCTAAATGAGAAAATTTCAATTTTTTAGTTTTGGCGCAAAAATCTTACATAATATCGCTTTAATAACAATTTCATACCAAAAACGTCAACACATTCAGTATCTGCTACTGACAACATTGAAACACTTACGGACAGTCGTAGCGGCAGAATTTGTTGGTGAGAGATTCCAGGGACTTGCAGTCACAGTAGTAGCCGAAGCCGTACGGCAGCAGAAACCGCTTCGACATCTCCATAGACACGGTCTGGTGATGGTGAACACCTGGGCAAAACAAACGTACGTAGATTGAAAATACACCACTAGATCATAACAACGCTGTCAGGGATTCGAACCCCTGAGCATTCGGGTTCTGATTAAACAATTCTAAGAGGGCCTGCAAGCGCTTTTTCGTAAAGCGTAATCAGGCCGTTTTAGACTTCGTAATTCGTAGGCAGCCTCCGCAAAAATCAACGTAATTCGTAATTGGACATTAGCCACAAATCGTAAAGTCGTAATCAGCTCTGAGACTTTAACGTAATTCGTAATAGGCGGCGAAAATTTTGCGTAATTCGTAATCACTACCCCCCCCCCCTTTGCAGGCCCTCCTCTAACCTACAAGACCACCTTGCCACCCAAAATGTGTAGCTGTTACAAGTTATACAAAGCAGGGAGCTACTTTAGATACAAAGACGACCTGTGTTACTAACCTAGCAAGCTATATTCGTTTATGTTCCGACCACACCTGTTCTGTACAATATTAAAGTCATCCAATGCAATTTCAGGGCTGCAAAACAAAGAATATTCTGGATGAGGAAATTTGTCTGATGTAGTTTTAGTGCCATTTCGTTGCACATTTTTCTCATTATTTCATACTTCAAGTGTTTTAAAAACCTAGATTTGCCGCCCTGAAATTGCATTGGACGCCTGACCAATGCTGTAGCTAGATGAATGTTGAATGGGCTTAGGTAGTCTGATGAACAGCTATATTAAATAGTTCTGTATGGCGGAAATGAGGGATAGCGATCACATCTGGCAGTAGTCTATGCCAGTAATGAAACTGTCCTGTAATTGCTCCCGTAAGTCATTTGATTATTCTGGAACCAAGAATCACATTCTGTTGACTGTCATCACGTATAATCTCCAAGCAGATATTTCGGTGGCAGCCATACACTGATACGCTAGTAAATTGGCCAGGCAGTATCCAATACAACACCCCAAGTTTGGCTGGCGAAAAAAAATACCAGTACAAAAAAGAAAGCCTGATAAAATGCCTAAACACAGGTAAAGAAATGCGCCTAAGCCTATAACTCTGGTTGGAGAGTAATCGCGTAGAAATTAGAGTTCCAGGCTAGCAACAGAACAAATAAACGAATACGTCATACTGTATAATATAAAACACTCATATTTCGATGTTACAGGCGGTTAACATGTCATCATAAAATGATTTCTTGCGTAGCGCAGATTAGTAATATTTTAGGCTCGATCCCGATAATATTTTTTTAAATATGTCACCGATATCAATATCGACAATCCTATAGCTAACTAGTCTCCACCAGACTCTTTTGCAGGCCGAATAAATAGTAGAAATCGGCCTAAAAAGAACGTAGCTGGCCAGGGGAGTTGGCCGGCCATAGAAGGTCCAGTTTACCCGCAAAGCCAAGCAGCACATGTACATATGCTGATTTTGCTGGCAGGTGCCGGCCTTTCATATCCGATTTGTACAAATCATCAAAGGTCAGGCAGGACGAAGAGGATATTAAATTCTAGGACCAAGCACGTTGTTTGCCATATGCGAGTTTCGCTGTGCACACTGCAATGGGGGGCGCGATGAAAAATTTTAGAAAAGTGACGAAATTTATGAAGGTCCAAATTTGAGTTCAGATTTCTCATAATCTGCAGCGAATCATATTAGATATTACCATGGCTGAAAAGTGTGAGAAGTGGTGGGGTTTTGTTTTGGTGAAAAATGATGTTGGCATCGAGCATTCCTTCCGGGTTCTCCTCGGCGTCGAAATTGATTCGCCCCCGCTTAAGCCTGATGTTAGCCCGGTGGCCTCGTGTAAGCCTCGTGGATTATTAGAATAAATTGTAGTACCAGGATTTTCATTATTGACTCGATTGTACTGAAGGTTTTGCCTTTCTGCCAACATCAGTCATTTTGCGGTAATTTTTGTCTGGTGGGAATTTTCTACACGAAAATATTGAGCACTACTAATTTTCGCATGAAACTAATGTGTCTTCTGTTAAAGGTAGTGTATGCTACCTAAAACGTCTGACCGTTTCCAAAATCATATCCAGTTACTTGTTTTTTGGCGTATCTTAATACCTGGATGTCTAACTTTCGTCGACATAAGCTTTTTGTTTCATCATTTGAAATCTGAAATCATCGTTGGTGGTGTTAAGGAAAAAAGGAAAGTGATCTCGGTCCAGTTTTAGCCCACTGAATTGAAGAGCTAATCTCCCACTGGTCATGACAGAAAAGACAAACGCTACGTACAGTATTTACAGCGTTCAGAGATTCCCCTAGCTCTTTTTGACAAGCACAATGAACAATGGACCACAGCTTAACGTCCCGTCTTAGGGACTGCGACCCTTTACAGTAGCATGTTGAGTGAGCGACAACAGCCGGGATTCGAACTCCCAACCTCTTAGTCCAGGGCAAGAGTGGCTAATTAATACCGCTGGACTACACACGCTACTGAGAGTAGCAGAGATAGTGGCCGTACTCACAATACAAGCAGACTGCGACAAGAAGCATCACACGTGAGAGCGCCATGGCGAAGAAGAGGAAAGCTGTAAAGGAAAGCTGCACGGTCGTCCGTTTCTCTGAGCTGTCTTCCTGAGCACAAAGTTCCTTCTGCCTTTCCCGCACGAGTGGACTATCTCTTTATACCGTGAGCCCACACGCGCGACCTTTCAACAACTGTCCTCCCGGCTTTTCTCACATGACGCAGTCCAAGACCCGCCCTCTAGGGAATCCTGTCTTGCCCTTATCGAGACATATGTTTCCCACATCCCTAACATGACATGACGCACACCTCCAAAACTTTATGATCTTTTCATAAAGGCAGACAAAAGCCGGGTCGCGACAGTTTTGCCGACAATGACGCACGGCGAACACCACGAGCTGAAGCTTTTAAGCACCAATGGGAAGTAATTCGTCAGATCTTCAATCCAGAGGTTTCTCTTTGTAACGGAGCGTCCCGTTGGCTCGGTGTCGCCAACGTTATATGATCAATCGATCACGTTTGAAGTAGAAGACAGCCAAACTTTCTACAGAATAGACTCTCACTGAAGTGTTCTTCTGAAGATCCACCAATAGCAGATAACAGAACATCTTCAGGCAGTCAAGGCAATTAGAATAGTATGTAAGAAATGCCACAATCCTAGGAAATACACGTTGCATATACATTCTCTGAATTGATAGAAAAATGTTTTGGATTTTTTGGATTTGGATAAGTGGAAAAAAAGTTGTGGCGTGTATATGATCCTTTTGTCTGGGACAAACGTGCGCACATCTCCTTTTTCCTTTTGTTGGTCTTTTTCTTTAGTGTCAGATGCGTAACAACAATTCATTTAGATTTGGGTGAAGAAAGCAGGAAGAAGAACCCGCATCAGGATGCCCATATATCCTCCCTGCGGGGCTTAGGTTAAGAGCCTGTGGGTGTTGAAGTCTCGTGATTGATAACTGCTGACGTGGGTGTTAAGTCTGATCTACCAACAGCAGCGTCCTTTTTCAGACGACACATGGCGATGCCGTCACGGGAAGACGTAGTTGTTTGTAAGGGCTCACATTCCACTAGTAAGGCGCTCTCACCACGCTCTAAAATTGGCCGGAGCGCGGAGAGAGCGCCGAGAGATCGTTGTGAGCGCTGTGCGCTCTCACGGCGCTCTCTGAGCTCTCTGCGTGCTCACACGGCGCTCTCTCTGCGCTCATTGTTGGATCGCCGTCCTCGGCGCTCTCACGCACGGCGACGGTATGAGCCTGTTCAAAACAGTCGCCGATGTGACGGCGTTCATGGCTCTCAGCGCGCTCTCTGCGGGCTCCCATGGCGATCTCTCGGCGCTCTCTCGGCGCTCCGGCAAATTTCAGGTCGATCGATCGCAGAGAGAGAGGGCGGGGGGAGAGAGAGAGAGAGAGGGAGAGAGAGAGGGAGAGAGAGGGAGGAGAGAGAGAGAGGAGAGAGAGAGAGGGAGAGAGAGAGAGAGAGACTGAGAGAGAGAGGCGAGAGCTCCGTCAAGTGGACTGGGGGTATAACAGAGAGCTACGCCCCACGCACGTTAAAGCACCTACACCAATTCTTTCGAAAACGATCGCGCGCGAGGAGGCACATGCCCCGGTGTGGGACGGTGCAAATTCTAGTGATTCACCACGAAAATCACCCGTAGGAAGGCGTGTGGTGACGGGAAGACATATCTGTCTGTTACAATGTAAGTGTTACCGTCTCTGAACGTCATTGACGGCGCTCAGAGGCGACAAGACACCTCCCACCTTTCTTCGGTCGTCGGATAAATCTTTCACACAACGTCCGGAGGAACATACAGCTGCCTGTAGCCAGGATTTTTCTTGGGGAGGGGGAGGGGAAGTTGTGGGGAGGGGCTTCCTACTATCTTAGGAACCAGCGAGCCCTTTCCCCCAGAAAATGTTAAAAATGGAACTTTCTGAAATTGCATGCATTTCCTGCGTTTTTTGAGGGGATCTGAAAGCAAAAGTCAGAAACTGTTATAGACAGTATCTTATTGGAAGAACAAGAAAGATTGAGTATATCTGCTATAAAACTGAAATGGCCTCTACTGGACTCTAATGTTAAAAACGGATCTTCTAGATAATTCATCACTTCATGCCATCAAACAGTTGGTTAAGAAAAGGAAATCTAGTAGAAATTGACGAAGATAACAGTTGCAAAGAAAAACACACGATTGAACTTTAATATACGTTATGGATTTCTATAGAGCTGCTACTCTGTTATTCATAGAGGTGACTTATATATTCTTCAGTGTCTACGTTTTTACAATAAAGTAAGGAGAAGTGTAGGTAGGATAGTCAATGCATTTACCGACCAGATAGTTACTGTTACCAAAGATTTATTGAATATACATCACTAATGACATATACGCTACTTCATCGCTACAAAAATTCATGACGCAAATGACAGAATCGTGAGAAATTATATTATCAAAACAACGCAGTGCTAGTGAGATATGAAACTGTTTTGTATGCCAAAACTATTAATAAAACTGGAGTCACTGGACCCGAAATTCATCATGTAGTATAATGACAGTATCAACAGATACCACCTAATTCTGATAAGGAAAAGGCTTCTTCATGTCACATCGTCATTAGTGGCGTACGTGTGGGAATGTGTTTTGGTAGATAGTTCTGGACGGCTGCACGAAAAGTGATATTGGCATTGACGTGAAAGCCCTTGTTTACACATTCACGACCCCCCCCCCCCACACACACAGTGACACACCAACCGACCAACTTTGGCTGACGTTCGGGAGCACTCTGATCAGATTTAAGGCACACCTACCTTTATAATATAAGTCACATTTGAGTCAAATTTGAAAACTGCTGACCAAAATGGTTGGCTGGCAGTTCTGTTGCACACAGCCTAGTACCAGCCAACATTTTCCGAATTCGAACCTTCCGACCAAACCCCGAATGTTTTTAACATGTTGAAACATTCGGCTTGTGCAACTGAATAGTAACTGATCTCGCCGAACACCAGCCGACGTTGCGCCGACCTACGCCTAACCATGTTGGGGGGGGGGGTCTTCTTGTGTTCGGGAGGCCAAATTCGTGAATGTGTGAGGATGCTTCAGGAGACAAAGGGCAACAGTATACGTAAGTCCTACCATTTAGTGAAGCCCACGTTATTTTGTAAACATACCGACATTGTCACCCCAAACAGCGTAGGCAATTCGTCATCAAATACAGCAGGGACATCGCGTAATACCTTAGGTAACACCTGGAGTTAGTTACGCAAGACTTACTCCGCAAAAGCCAGATTTACGAAAAAATGCGATAGGTATAAGTCCATTCTGGTTTGTACATGCAGTAATGGCTGCATAGATAGTAGCAATTGATACCAGGTAAGTCTAATGATGAGACTAGCTGAAGGATGAATTATAAATGAAGATTATTTTTGCCTAAAGCAAGTATTACAAGACTTTAGCCCCTGTCACACACACTCACAAATTTGGCCTCCCGAACGCTGGCCAAACGTCCTACAACCATGGTTGAGAGAAGGTCGGCGCAAAGTCGGTTGGTGCTCGGCGAATCCGGCTACTATTCGGCTATGTTTCAAAATGTTTAAAACATTCGGGAGTTGGTCGGCGGGAGTTGGTCGGGAGGTTCGAACTTTGTTGGATGGTATTCGACTGTAAGTCAGCCGAACACCAGCCAACCATTCGGGAGTAAGTCAGTAGTGTTTCGGCGTGTGTTCCTTAGTCGAATTTGACTCAAATTTAACTCAAATTTGTTTCGATTTGTGTATAAAAGTAGGCGTGGCCTAAATCTGGACAGAGTGCTCCCGAACGTCAGCCGAACATGGTCGGTTGGTGATCGGGAACAAATTGGGGGAAGGTTGTGAATGTGTACGTGTGACAGGTGCTGTACGTGGAATTTATCACTGTGGTTTAAATTTAACCCCGCATTTCGAGAAGTGTGATGACAGGAATACACGTTGTTATTCTTCGCCTTTACTTGTGATGTAACACAGAACAAATTGTGGGATGTATAATGTGAAATACCTTAATTATTATTTCACTGACTTGAATAAAAAGGTCAGCAAAGTGTTTGCTGTCTTCCCACGCACAGATACAACATTGAGCCGGGCTACATCTAGCTATAGAGTGTGAATGTGTGCCGACAACAAAATGAATCTTCCTCTTTTGTGTAACATGACAGTAAAAGTCACGCTGTGCATCATAAAAACGCCAAACGACTCAGACAGAGGATTTGGATACGAAGAGAGCGACATATGTAATACTATTGAAGATGCTGATCCACTGGCGACTACAAACGTCTTCAGTCTGTGAATTCAATGGGTGACTGTGGGGGAAAATTGTATATCTTCTGTTCTTCACATAAAATTTGTTGGTCTACAACCGTTTTTACATTGCAAACAATGATGTTAAGAAAGCTTTTGATGTCAAAAAATAAACGTTAAGAGGATCAAAGGCTTTTGGATAACCTACAAAACACTGATCTTGCAAATACCAAGGTTTAGCTTCAAATCCGTATTTGAAAGCTACTTAGGACTTGATGACATTTGGAAGTCTATCAGTAGGCCAACAAGAAAGATATTGCCGCTTTTGAGGCTTTTCTGGCGAAATCCGCACTTTGGGTTTAATACTTTACATACTGATTGAGCTTTGTGTTGCTATAGATGGCCTACTAATGGGCTCTTTGGTAGCTAGGTCGACATTGTATCGCCTTAGAAAATAAACCAGAGGATCATGCATGCCTCTTAGTTATATACCAAAAGGACGTACTTCTGGTTTCGTAGTAGTATATACTATTATAGGCTTCATCTTGGGGCTCTTATATGCTTAATATGATTATATTGATGACATCCGTGGGTGCATGAATTCTCGTATATTTCCACTATACTGTAAATCGCACAAAGCAGTCCAAAATGAGGAAATATATGCCATAAATTAAAAAGATATTGCGTATTTATATTATGTCGTAGAATGCCAAAATGAATTTCAGAGGAAAATAAGAAAACATAAAAAAGTATGAAAATGAAGAGTCTATCATTCGCCATGACATATTCTATGTGTTTTATGTGGCTGTAAAAAAATTGAAAACTGCCAGTTATGATATAGATGTTTATTACAAATTCATTCCTGAAGGCTAATTGCCAGAACAAAGGAAATTATAAAATAGTATTATCGTAAACAGCAAAAATTATGCAAATCTATACCAAAAATCTATCCAGTTGCCTGAGCAACAATTCTGTATATGCACATGAATGCATCCGTACATGAATCTGTATCTGATTGCAAATAAAGATCTCGAGTGATTGCCATAGATAGAATTCCGTGTGTATCTCATTACCTGGATGTCTAACCTTCATTGACACACACGTGTTGTCTTGAAAAAAACTGTCTGTACATGTTGGCTCGGAATCCGGTGAGTCACCGGTGTAAGATAAAATTGTTGCTAAGGCCACACCAATTTAATTTGTTGGTTCTCGGATTTGCCTCTTCATTTTTTTCTGATTTGCAAAAAAAAACCAACTCAAATATGCTCATATCTTGCCCCAACAGTTGAGGAAAGTCATTTTCTTCCTAGTTGTTACAGTTTTTCCATCTATCAATGCAGTGGTCCGATTAAAGTTCATAATTCATTGTTTGAATTTTAACCCAGCCTTTTGTGTTGACTTCATGGCTCCTATCGAAGCATTATGAGGCTATAATAGGATGCCTAGACCTCTTTTGTATTTTTCTTTCGCCCTGCCGCTTCATATTTTTCCTGAAACAAATTAAATTGGTGTGGCGTAAGGATGAGAAGGCCTTCCTGCTGATGGAAGTGCTTTGAGCTGATGGCAGGAGTGCAGCAGACAGTGACCAGTGTCTTTGATTTGCTAACGACGTTTGGAATTGGCACTTGTGTCCCTCCGAACGTCATTCACCTTCTCCTGTTTGTGTGTTAGCGTTTGTTCAAACGAAGGCTGACACACATAAAGGAGAAGGTGAATGACGTTTTGTGTGTGCCATCCTCCATAGTCCATGGTAGCTAGAGATAATAGGGAGCCGGCGGTACCTATATGGAGGATGGCACCCAGGCTGTCGAAGCTCCATGGAACTCGAGAACTCAGTACAGAGCGTGTTCAGTCCTAAATTCCGCAAAAGGCCAGCATCACGGTGCCGGCTTGTCGAAAAAGTCTCTATATACTACCACAAATTCACAATATCAGCCTTTTTCTGCGGTGTAGCAGTATTTTTGGGCTGGATTTTTTTATTCGCTTGCACGCACTAGTACTAGTTAGGGGTCTTCAGAGGGTGTCATCCATAAAATTCAATTCAGTTGATACTCGTATGCAAGGGAGATGGTCCGCGCTAAGAGAACGGCAAATTGTTCTCTCAGCGCCGACCAACTCCCTTGGCATATGATCTGTCTGCTTGGCCAATGTCTACTTTTTCCAGCCGCCTCCCGGATATCTAGCCCCTTGACAACGGTCGCCAGTCTCTGAAGTTTGACTCCATCCGCTACTGCGCGAAGTTGAGACACATCTGTTCTCTTCTGTTCGCCAGTGATGTTAGTCCCATGTGCTGAAGGGTTAGGCGCCTGAAGCACGATGTACTACATACGATACCAAACTTGGCTGTAAAGCGTGTCCAATGCAATTTCAGGGCAGCAAAACTGGAAATATTCTCAATAAGGCAATATTTGTGATATTGACACATGCTGCTTCACATTAGCACATTTGAGTCAGTATTTCATACAATTTTATTATGGATTGTCCACTATATGATGATAAACGCACAAAAAGCTGCCTAACCTTCTTTCAGCCTGCTCAGCAGAATTTGTTACATTTCATGTAATAGATAACTTCAACTTCATTCTAGAAGGTAATAACCCATACTGTGCACGTGTACAAATAGGTAAATATATCATGGAATGTTTAGACCGTAGAACAGTTACATATATCGTACGAAAGTCTCTGCACTTTGTTGTGCCAATAAAGTTCACATGATGTCTAACTGCACAATGAGGACAGAAACAGTTATGCATTATCATTTGTATCATATTCATACTCATTAAACTTAAAGGTTCGAACTGAGTTATCAAGGACACGTTTGAAATACCGGAAACATTGTTTATAACGCAGTGATATGGAAAGTAGATATATCGTAGTACTGAAAGCTCCTATCCTTGTAAACACATTTTGTTTTGGTTCCTTTCTTATCACGTACTGCCTGCGGCCATGCCATTATCAGTGTCGGCCATGTTTGAACCGGACCGGAAGCTCACCTGTATGACGTAAGGATGTGACATCACTTCTAGCTAAGGGGATAATATGCAAATGTGGTTCAGCGCCTTACACATGTACGAGTACATGTATGTCTGTACAACAAATTGTTTCAACAATTCTAAAACATTGCCAAAACCTATACTTGCTTGCATAGCGAAATTTGGGGGTATTAGACAGCCAGAGAATAACATTTGTTTACCCTTTTTTACGAAAAAAATCGAATTTCAAAGGTCCATAACTCCTCGTAGAAACAACATATCGAGACAAATTATCATTTTTGTAATCCTTGGACCTAATTTTATCAGTTCATGAAGTTACATCGAAAAATATCAATTTTTGATTATATGTCACCATTTACTTCAGAAGTAGAAAGGACGTGGTCCATATGGGGTCAAAGGTCAAGGTCATTAACACCAGCTAACCATTCGGAAGTAGGCCAGCAGTGTTAGGGGCGCGTTTGGTTGTCAAATTTGACTCAAATATAACTCAAATTCATTTAGAGTTGCATACAATAAGTAGTCTTGGCGTAAATCTGATCAGAGTGCTCCCGAACGTTAGCCGAACCTGGAACCCGGTACATAAATAATGTATTTAACCCCCATTAAAGAGGAACATAATTGTAATATTCTGTCACTGTTCAGGAAAATGAGTTCGAAACATTATCTGTTCAACCCCGGGTATAGCCTCCGACCTAAATAGTGCAGTTAACTACAGCTGCCGGTTGGCTGGCAGAAAGCAGCAAATCAATAATCGATATTTTCCAACTGGTACTCTGGAATTCCTCTACCCGTCACAGGGCCCAACGCCCGCGCTGGCCCCATTTTAAGGAGTACCGTAAACAACGACATTTTCTCTACACATTTCAACACTGATGGCTAAAAAATGTTATCACTTTTTCACAAGCTAATCATTGTAGACGTCCTGATATCTTTTCAGGGTGTGTTATGTATTTTGTGATGGGGATTGGTTTTCAGTTACAAAATAGGTGACAATTTGTCGTTTCCAAAAAAATGCTGACTTTATGGTATATGCACGGAGGTGACACCGTAGGATGGCTACCAGTTCGCTGGCTGAGCTGGTAGAAAATGCCGGGAGAAACACCCGACGTTTGCCTTAGATGTACCGCCAACATGGCAAAAAGAGAGACAACGGTAAGACAGGCTATGAATTGTAGTATTTATTTTATTTATTTATTTTTATTTGTTTATTGAATCTGCAGGCGGCTAGGTATCCCATTCAATTTTGACCAAAAAATGGGTTTCAATGGGGCCCAGAAAAGAGAAACATTGAAATCAAGCATAACAAAGGAAATAAACTTAGGAAAATTGTAACATTGGTAATTGTGAGACATAAATAAGACAAAATTACTGGTCGAAAATATACATAAACAAAAATACATTTGTTACATGAAAACATAATATGAGAAAGCCAAAATGGGACAAATCAAAATCGTTTTCCGTTACCCCAATTCATGCCAGGGTTATTTAGGAGATCATGGGTCAAATCATACTCTATGGAAAAGATAAGTGATTATGGAAATATTACAAGCGAAAGGATATATGTATTTGAAGAGGAGTGGTTTTCAGAAAGAAAAGGCAGGCGCCTTACTTTATCAAGGTATGCTTGCCATGTATATAATTTTTATTATCATGAAAGTTCATCTGTGTTGGTAGTAATCATAGTAAAAGGTTGAACTTTATTCCAACACACACTATTTACAGGGATCAAATTTTCAGCGACCACTGTCGCCTTCATCAGGATGACCAATCACTTCACCACGTGATCTCGCGAGAATTACGGTTTACAAACACGTGACCTTATTCACACGAGATTTTACTGATACGTGACGTAAGTAATTGATCAAAAGTGCCAGGGATTTTATATCGTCCACTATCTCTATCATTTTTTATGTAAAAGGGGAGGCTTTTTAGCAAATGAAATTGCCCAAAGAGATTTCTCTCCTTTTTCTAATGTCAAATGACGGGTATGCAATGACGGGGAACCAATTTCTAGAATGCCTGCAAGTGTGCACGGCAGAATATTGCTTTAAATGTCCCCTGGCGAAACAAATAGAAACTGCGTTGTGGCTGGATTGAAGGGATCATCTCATTATCAACAGAGGGAGTACTGTAAAGCCTAATCCAGTCGTTTAGGCCATGTTAATTTGATTATATGGATGACATCCACGCGCGCATGAATTTTCGGCCGTTTCTAAAAAGGTTCTCGACCATACTGTAAATCGTACAAAGCAGCTGCAAAATGAGCAAATATATGCCGTAAATTGCGAAAAAAAATATTGGAAGAACATACTTATGTCATAGAACACCAAAAAGCAATTCCAAAGGAAAAGAAGAAAATGTGAAGAAATGAAAATGAAGAGTCTATTATTCACCATACCATACTCTGTGTGTTTAGTCATTTGTTTAACTTCCATGACCACGTACATTTCATAATGAAAGCAGCTTTTTTGCTGAACTCTTTTATTCGCATACTCGCATCAGTTTTGAGGTTCCCAGAATATGTCATCCATATAATCAAATCAACATGGCCTCATGTGAAGAAAAGAAAGTTAAATTATATTGTATTATCAAATTCTATAGGAAAGAAGTGTTTTTCTCCCATTATCATAATATTTATGCTATGGCTGATGACGGAAAGGGACGCACTAATTTGAAATGTCCGACAGGGAACACCAACGGCCGTGCGACTCGTCAACAGATATCCTTTAATGGGACATGTGGTCCGTATTTGGCGCCCTCAACGCGCATACTGCCCATACTATCCCCCAGAGGTGTATATAAATAGCCCCTCTCTGCCTCCTAACAGCTTGATCAACGAGGTAGCGTCAAGGAAACGTCTGTGGGACGGCGTTCTGTAATCGAAGGAACGTCAACGTCGCTGACGTAAGGTAAGGAATAATTTTGAACCGTCATCTTTCATAACTGACGTACATAGAGATAGGACACGCTAGGACACGTGCAATGTTTTTGTTTATGTATATGTCCATCGCTATGTGGGTAACAGTTGGCCATATATCCACAGTGGATTTATTTATTTATCTCTAGACAAGGGGAAGGCAGCATATTACAAGACACAACATTGTTACTTTCAGACAAACAAAGAAGAATAACATACAGTATGAAAACATGAAGTCCAACGCGTCAAAACAGAGTCATAGACCCAAAATTCAGAACATACAGGTCAAACCACAGTGGATGCAGAAAAAATGCAAACATTTCAAAAGAAAACACTCCAACTCTACCGTTAAAATTACAGTTGTCAATATATACAATGAATTTTACCCCCCAAACAGCTGTGTTATCATCCCCACGTTATCTTGTAATTTTCCATAAACTTTAAGCCTTTTTGTCAATAAATGGAGTTGGAGAAATAAGTTGGTCATTAAGTTTAAAATTCCAACACTTTCTTTCTTGCAGTTTATATGGTAGCTATACACAACTGTGCATGATGATATCATAATCCAAAATGGTGTTTTGTTCAATTATAATCTGTTCTAAATCTGTAATAAAGTCCCAGAGGGGGGGGGGCATAACAGGACAGTCGATAAGAGGGTACAGATTGGGGACTTGTTATTTGTTTACGTCTTTTAGACTAGGGGGGAAGTAAACAAAGGCGTGGCTATAAATACCATATGGGCAACACCTTGAAATGACACTTAAAGGAGCATTATTTAACATTTTTGCACCGAAAAGTGAAATATTTTAATGGAAAATCCTCTGGAGCGGTACGCATCCACTTTTCGCGACATACTTGTGCAATTATCTCACATTCCTGACATTTATAGTTGGCGCTAATGCAACCGACAGAAGCTGCACTTGTTTTGTGGTGCCACCACAAACTACCAGAATGTAAACAAACATGGCTGACAGCTGTGTTTCCAGTTTTTAAACGCACTCGTAAGGTGTCATATTTTGGCACCTCCGCTTCCTGAATGACATTTGCAATTTAGTAGGGTTAATTCAGCTTACTTTGTAAAGAAATGACCATAAAATTGACGTTTTGGATCGTCCTAATGTTACATAATGCAGCTTTAACGGAAATACCCCAATGTTTTAGATTTTCAGTCACAAACACACAGACGACCACAGTTTCCTCTTTACTGTGTAACAGGAGTGCATGGTACTCTTTCAACCATGACTACCCTCGTGTCATTTGAATTATCATAGCCAAAATTACGGTATGATCACGCATGATGTAAGTGCGACACAGAGTACATGTACGGTACAGCGCATTGTTATTACTTAGTAATGCGAAACGGTGCAAAAGTAATACCAGCAAATTGCTCTGATCTATTATTTATGCTGCTTAGCAGTAGACTGGTAATATATCACCACGGGCCACCGGCTTAGTGGTGTTTTATAACACACATATAAACCAATACATGACCTCTAATGCAAATGTATTTATGGCATACATGGCCGAATGCTGACCCAAATGTAAACCAATACACACGACCGTTAATGTAGAATAATAGTCGAATAAGCGTCACTGTTCTAAGTTTCCGTCGGCTTTTTATAAAATACAAATACCCTAAAACGTGGCTGAATTTTCTTGCCATGTAAAATCAAGGCAGACGACGGATTAGGAAATAGCTCATCTGTCGGTGAAGGTTAGACATCCACTAGGTAATGAGAAACAAAAGAAAGTTTGGAAGTTGTTAGACGTTTCAAGTAGCATCCACTACTTTCGTCAATATGATGACTGAAAAAGTAGCGGACGCAAGTTGAGACGTCTGACAGTTTTCAAAATCTATCCAATTGCTTGAGTAAGTGTTTTCTTGTCTAATAACACATCTAATTATTGGCATTAACTTTGTTTAATTTGTTCCCTGTGGACTATCTAAAAATTGTCTTCACGCTATTAACATAATCAGTTCATGTTTTATTTTAGAAATACCTGTTTAACCACGCACAGATTTTTAGTCACTTGGGAAAAGTAATGAATGCTACCTGAAACGTCTGACAGTTTTCAAAATCTATCCAGTTGCTTGAGTATTTAACAACTTGTGAAACTCCTCTTTTGGTCCTTTCTTTTCCAGATACAGACCCCAGTGAAGTAGACAAACAGCATCACAAGCTACTACAAGGGCTCAATTTTAACAAACGTCGACGCTGCAGCACAAAACATGGCGGTCCTAGTGTCCATCGGATTCATGGTGGTCACCTTTGCCATCGCACAAGTGCTTCGAATTGTGGGGAAGGTCGTCCTGCCTTCTAACATCTACGAGTACTGGGCCGAGCTCATCACGACTTGGCAGTTCTGTGCCTGTTTCATCGAGACTGACTTCGTGACGGCTGACCACGGGTGGTGGATGTTTGCCGTGGTGTGTTTCCTTATGTGTCTCGGCTTCTGTAAGGTGTTTGAGGACGCCACCGGCTGCCCGTGCTGTGTTCTAGAGGACTACATGGGCAACTTGACTACCGTGAAATCTGCTCTCATCAAGGTGGCCGTGCAGGTAAGGAATCAACTACATTTGTGACGTTTTCCATTTCGAACGCATTTTCATAATAGTTATCGTAGAAAAATGTCCCCAGGCACCTTTTCTATCATGTTTCTCATTCTATTTCATGGTATTTTTTTCGACCCAGTTTCTTGGCAAAACATAAAATCTGAAGGAAAGATTGTGGTTTGATCCTATCTTACGTAGAGTGGAACTGGCTGCCACCAGGTACAGTTAGGGAATAATCACTAGATAGCTTTAAACAATGTTTAGAGTTAGCTATTTAGAGTTAGATGTGCAACAAGTAGTTCGGTGTAATAGCCAGCTGCCGCCGCGCCGCGCCGTTATATCGGCTATACAGATACAGATTATCTGATGAATGACCATTGTACGTTATGAAATATTATATCACTAGATCGCGGGCGCTATCCTCGCTGCTCGCTGGGCGTATTTTGTGTGGACGCTGGGGTACTCGGCAGGACACGCTGACAAGGCCCGGGAGGAGCTGTGTGAAACCTGCATCAACTGTTCTGACCTGGAGGGCATGGCGGCAGAAGGTTCGTCTGTCCAAAATCTGTGTATCCGTCTGTCTTCTTGTGTGTTCTTTTAAGATCTTAGCCATTTGTTTTGCTATTTACGGCATATATTTGCTCGTTATGCAGCTGTTTTGTACGATTTACAGTTTTGTCGAAAACTTTTTTGGGAAACGGACGGACGAAATTAAAATTCATGCGCGCGCGAACGTCATCCATATAATTAAGGAAACATAGCCTCATTAACACTACATGTCTTTTCATGACGACGCTACATGTCTTCTATTAATCTATTCAAAATAAAACGTTACATGAAAAGCACCATTAAAAAAGGATACGTTCAACCTATTTTTCTTATCGTTAATTTGCTAAGAGTACGAATATTTCTTCTACCCTCCCCCCAGGTCTGGCTACCTTCACCGCTCAGTTCGCGGCCTGGAAGCTGAAGGAATCTGACCTGTCTGATTACATCAACTCCGCCCTCTGTGTGGCCATCATCGTCACTGGTGAGACTTTCTAGTTCATATTCAACTCAAATTACAACTTAACATGTCAACCTGTTACTAAACACAGAGTGAATTCATTTCCCGGACCCTTTCTTTTGACCCCATCCTAGAAACCACCTGTTAGAGCCCTTAAAGGGCCAATATGATTCTACCTATGAGATACAGTTGAAGCGCCACCTAGCGTTTTACTTTTACATGCAATGACAGACTCAATGTCTGCTGCTCCTCCTTATTTGCGCAGCTGTAGAGAAAACAAAGTATACCAGAAAGTGATGGAAGAAAAGAAAGCAGAGCTCCTCGTTTCTAACGCTTACCCTGTAGTGTGCTTGTTGTATGTAGCTTTCTGCCATGATGTATCATTTCTTTTCGCGTAGCTTTATAATGTATTAGTATCTAATGCAAGCTGTCGCGAAAACGTGTCTCTAAAGCGACCAGTGCTGGATAACGACCTGTTTTGAATACAGCAGCTGTTGTGGTTTCCTTTCTTCAGAACAAAAAAAAGCTTTCAGTCTCCTTGGACTATGGACTTAGAGAACATAATTGTAACAATACATGTACATGTTTCGTTGTGTCTGCCTGTTTGTTTGTTTGTTTGTTTGTTTGTTGGTTGGTTGGTTGGTTGGTTGGTTGGTTGGTTGGTTGGTTGGTTGGTTGGTTTAAATTTGCTGCTTAGGTGTTTTGGCTGTCCTTTGCTTCATTGGGTCTGTATGTTTGAGTGTTTGTTCACTTGTTTCTGGAAGTCGACCTGTTATAAGTTGATGGTTTATTTGTTGGTTCGTCGGTTGGTTGGTTGGTTGGTTAGTTGGTTGGTTGGTTGGTTTATTTTTTCTTCTACTTGTATCTCACCTGTAACACGTGGACGCCATGTTGACATCACGTGGGTATGTCCCGGATCTTACATACCCAACGAACCGGCACGACCACTCATGTCAACACCCAGGTAAACACAACAGTGGAGGGTTGAATGGGGGATCGTTCTCAAACAAAAAAGGTTTCCCCAGAATTTCCATGTGCTACGAATTACGTGAGAGAGGCCTTGACTGCAATCTGATCTACAACATGTGGTGTCTGTATACAGTAGTTTGTTGAAACAGGGCCAGGGCCCGTTGCAGACCTGAGTAGTATAGCATTGTAGCTGTCCCTACTTAGGCCATGTTTATTTGACTATATGGATAACATCCTCGCACGCATGAATTTTTTGTTCAAAAAAAAAAGAAGTTTTCAGCCATACTGTAAATCATACAAAGCCGCTGCAGAATGGTATACATGCCGTAAGTCACAAAAATGGAAAACAATACATTTTGTATTGACTGACAAAATTGACTTTCCAAAGGAAAAGAAGAAAATGTGAAGAAATTAAGTCTTTTATTCACCATACCATACTCTGTGTGTTTAGTCACTTGTTCAACCTTCATGACCACGTAGATTCATACTGAAAGCAACTATTTTGCCAAACTTTTTTATGTGCACGCGCGCATCAGTTTTGGGGTTCCCAAGGATGTCATCCATATAATCGAAGCAACATGGCCTTATGGAGTGGTATTGCTTAAGGCTCACTTATCAAATAACTGATAAGATATGGTAATCTAGTTTTAAGCTAAAAATGGGGATGGTATAGCCTCTACTCTGCCATACAGATATCAAATATGTGCAAGTCGACACTGTTTAAGAAAGCTTTGAATAGGTTCTTAGCCTACACTATAGCAACGTTGAGAAGGCGACTCGTAACTTATGAGGCGTTCCCGAACGTCAAACAATGTAGCTGACCCGGAATCAGCTGATTGCCATTACAGAGTTCTATCTGCGAGCCGAGTCGCCCGACCGGGCCAGTTAATCGCTAATCTGTTCAGACAACTTCCAACCAGGGTACGGATTGCTAACGACGCTGTACAACAAAAGTGGGTCAAGATGTCTCTGGTCGTGTCATTGGTTATTCTGGTGGCGACTTTTGTGGCCTGCAAAGTCGTGAGAGTGTTACTGAAGTCCACAGTAACGCCGACAGTCTACGGGTATATCAACGAAGCGATCTCGGCGTTTCAAGTGTCGTTCTGCGTCGCAGAGAACGACTTCATCGCCACGAACTACGGAATCTACGCCGCGGCAAGTGTGCTGCCTTTCCTCCTCGTTTCTTACGCCTTCTCCTTCGACGGAGCCAAGACGAATCCTTGCGGAGTCTTCGAGGACTTTCTGTCCGGTGGAAACAAGTTGGAGTGCCTCGGAAGGCTCCTGCTAGAACTTGTTGGGGCCACGTTGGCTCCCAAAGCGGCCTACTTGTTATGGACCATAGAACTCAGCCCGGCTCACGCCCTTAAGGCGCAAGAAGAAGTCTGTATTTCGGTGCTAAACACCGGACTTGTCGCGGGAATGGTTGCAGAGGGTCTGGCCACGTTTCTGACCCGGTGGGGCAGCTGGAAGTTGAGAGATTTCGGAGTGAACTATGACATATATCTTGGGGCGGCCCTGTCTACCTGCGTCGTACTTTTAGGTATTTGTTTTTACGTGGCAAACTTTGACCGGTGGAGGAGACCAACCAGCGCTGCATTGCAGTTTATTGTTTTCTTGCCTGGTGTTAGATTTAAGGCTTTTTTGTGTTAACCAAAGCTGTATTTTATCATGAGGTATTTATCAAATGTTGACAGAGCAGATTTAATTTGACGAAAAGGGGGCGTGGCTGTGGATATATACAGTGTAGCTGTAGGGTCGCTGTAGCCTGCGAAATTCTTAAAGTGTCGTTTGACGCAAGTCAGGATCAAGGTCAAGAAGTACAAGGAGAAACAGTTGCGAAGCGCGCCAGGGCTACAGGCCAGAATATTGACTGAGTTGTTGGGTGTCAACAACCATTTTGCCTGTTTCATGCGTGTTATGCTCTAAGTGCCATTGCTGTATTCCTGAAACCCCCTGAACGTCCTCGTACAATTTAGAAAACCCAAAATACAGGATATGACGCGGTTATTTTCTACGATATCTGATGAATCTATTGTGTCAACAAAACTTGGCTGACTTTGAGTAAGAACACGAGAAATGCCTTCAGTCAGTGTTACAAGTGTTCAGTCAGTCAGTGTTATATTATCTTTGAAAACAATTAAAGGCATCCATTTTCCTTGAAATTGATGTTGGCGTCTTTGAGATTTGACCTTTGGCTCAAAGAAAAAAAGAAAGTGTTCTGAAATAATACTCTAACCACTTATGTTTGAATGGCTTGACACAATTGTCAATCATCTTTTATGAACTTCTTGTTTTTGCAGTTCTCACAACTCTTCATATCCTGAATGCAATAGATGTATATGAATATGAAATCATGTTGTTGTTGTTGTTTATAGGTGCCAGTTGGACCGGTATGATGTTCAACCCCGCTCTGGCTGTGTCTATGACGTACGGCTGTAAGGGAGAGTCCATTATTGATCACGTTGTGGTGTACTGGATCGGCCCTCTCATCGCCACCGCCCTCTCCTACTACCTACACTTCGGAACGGTCCCCGTGCTGCAAGCCGAGAAAGTCAAGACAACTTAAGAAGACACAAGGACTAAAAGAAAAACAACGATTTTTTAAGTCGTTGAAGGTTTTTCGAAACATTGATACTGAGATTACAAAATTTCACACTTTCATAAAACGGAATTCGAAGTGCTATGCAAGAAGTCGGGTAATTTAATTCCTGTCACACATTCAAGACCTTCCCACGAATTTGTTCCTGGTTCGGCGGACGTTCGGGAGCATCCTGGCTAGATATAGGCCACACCTGCCTTAAGTACGAATCAAAACGAATTTGAGTTAAATTTGAGACAAATTTTATCACCGCACACTGCTGACCTGTGTACTCCCGAATGATTGTTGTTCTGCTGACTTACAGCTGAATGCCAGCCAACCATGGCCGAACCTCCCGACCAACCCCTGAATGTTTTAAACATTTTGAAACATACGGCTGGCGCAGCCGAGTGGTAGCCGACCTTGCCGAACAACAGCCGACTTTGCGCCGTCCTACTTCAAATTCGTGAATGTGTGATGACAGGGGCTTAAGACAACGTCAATGTCTTCCTCAATTTAAAATTCTGCCACGAAACAGATGAAACTAACCAAACGTTACATGTATACACGAAATGTGTGTAAGAAAATCACAGAAATGTCATAATCGTTGAAACTCACGTATTTGCAGAAAAGCATGCATATGACTGGGTGACCTCGTTGTACTCGTACTTGGGCATTTTTTTCAGGGATTTCAACAACTCGATTTGGTAGCTTTTCTGTAATTTATCAACAAAACTTGGAAAACATCAGACCTATGCAAATTCTAGATGTTCATGCCAAAAGTGCATTCGCATTGGAAATGTATTCAATGTCTCTATTAAGTGGTTGGGTGTTGGGGTGGGCGGATTACATGGTGTATATCTCACAAGAACACGGTTAGAAAGAACGGTAACTGAGGGTACAAAAATAAACCACACATGACACTTACTTACACTGACTATTTTTATACTTAAGTATAGTTAGGCTTGTCAACATGGGACTATTACTTGATTAAGCACTGTCTTTGCATAAGTGTTTTTTATTTACTTCACTTTTGATCTCAAAACAAGGCTCATACGAACCACTCACATGTTTTGGTTACGTTAAGGAACTGCTGAGACAGATGTTTGTTTACCTTAGACTTGAAAAGTTTTAAGTTTGTGCCTACTTTAGCATTTACAATGAAGCTTGTTCCGCAGTGATGTAGGAGAGAAGTTTTCAGTGAGGAACTTTCTCCTAAGAGGACTATGGAGAAAGGGTGTTTTGTTTCTGTAGGGTGGACGTGCAGTAGTACTTAAAGACCTAGTGGAAATATCCAATCTATAAGACAAATTAAATAGATGAGAAAAAAACAGAATAATAATCACAAACACTGAATGGACAGAATACTGCACAACTTTAATCTGAATGTCATCATGTTTCCTACATAAATGCCTGCACCTCTACTCACACTCAGCTCCTTTTATATATCTTTTTATAGTGCAATTTCAGGGCGGCAAAACAGAAAATATTCTGGATGAGCAAGTCTGTCTGATATTGACATTTACTGCTATTTCTTAGCACATTTTCACCATCATTTCATACTTGAAGCATTAAAGTAGTATTTTTTACCTTATACATGAATCTAGAAAATCTTAGAGTAGGCCTGGTGCACTTGGCCTTAAACATGGGCTATGACAAGGCCACATTGCACTACTAGCTATTGAAAAATCGCCAAGCTTCTGAGGTCTGCTATTTTACCATTTTCTTTAAATACCTGATCAATCATATATCAGGTAGCTTTAACACTACAGTAGCTATATTTGTTACAAAGCTAACTTTGGAGTTTGTGTGATCACAATAAAACTATCACTGAAAGCTACATATTTCTCTTACAATACCTATGGAATCAGAAATGACAGTACATTAACTGCACTTTACAATACACTTGGCACTGTGGCTAATTTCATCAAACAACTTTGAGTATCCTTCTTACCTTTGTCTTTTTTTGGCTTAATAATGCAGCTTTTTATTTATACTTAGCATTGAACAACTACAACACCAGGTGTATCATCGAATGTTTAATATATACACCTAGATGGTCTTAATTCTGCTTGCTTCATGCCAGAAGCAAAAATCTGAACATGTTGGAGCGACTTGATCCCAGAAGCAAGAAGGTAACTGTTGGCGTTAGTCACGTTTGGTGACGGTGATCCAGATCTCGTCGACCGGGCGCGTGACCAGCCCGTGCCACGGCTCCACCACCTGCCCCTCCACCAGGTGGAACTGGAACCGGCGGCACAGGATGGACAGGAACACCGTGGTCTCCACGTACGAGAACCGGTAACCTGGAGGGAGGGAGGAAATAACAAGAGTATTGTTAATGATTTGGGAAGGCAGAATACAAGTGATACGCATTCTACAATTTGGCACTCGACACTTTGGCATTGGGACTCCTCACATGGCTTGTTTTGGGGCTATTTGAAATGTTTCAAGTATGAAATGATTATGAAAAGGTGCTAAGAAATGGCAGTTAATGCTGATCAGACAGATTTCCTCATCCAGAATACCGGTATCCTTTTGTTTCTGTTTTTGCCACCCAGAAATTGCATTGGAGTTGGTTCAACTTTTAGAACATGTACAATGAAATACCAATAGACAATACTAGTGACCAATGTTATATTATAACGGTGCATTACCTGGGCATTTGCGACCACCTGCAAACCCAAATGGCTGGAAGGCCAACTTGTGACGACCCTTACTGTTCTCCGTATCAAACCTTTCCGGATCAAACCTAGAAAAGAGAGGCAACGCAACATGAACAAATAGACCACAGCACATCTATATTGAGTCACCTGGACACTCTGTTTCACTGGACACTGTAAGATTATTGGACACCGAACAAGAACTTCCTAATTAATATAAGAGGGGTGAAAGAGGCCCATCACCCTTCACTCAACTTCACTCAATCTTAATGTTATACAGTACATGTATGTTATAAAGGTTAAAAACTCACTTGTTTGGCTCTGGCCAAATTCTCTCATCTTGGAGGACAACTCCAATAGCATGGATAACTGGGGTCTGCGAAAAAGAAATGAATTATTGTACCATGATGATCATTTTGAACAAGACAGCTCTTATTGTTAACATGTTATAACATAACATGTGGCATCGCGTGGTGTAATGTGGGTGTTCGACTTGGAACCAAGAGGTCCCGGGTTTGATTCCCTGGCATGCCCTGATGTTGTGCCCTTGGGAAAGACAACTCCCTCCCCAGTATGGTGGAGTGATGTCCACCAGACCTTTCGGCTAATAGTTGATGCTGTGTCAAAACATTGTATTGTTACCTTGGCTGGGACAATGTGGCCTCCGATTTCAGCATCCAGGTCCATGTAGCGTGCCCCCCACGGAGCGACCACGGCACAGCGCAGAGTCTCATCCAGGACCTGCCGTAAGTACCTACAGATGAACAGCAGGATAAAGTCATCAGCTGTAGTCACCAATGCACGACAGCCGGCCACAACATGCTTTCTTCTACTGGTGTAGAATTTAAGTGTATATATGACTGATCTTACTAATAGATATTTTAGCACGTCACATATTCCTTTTCAAAACCTAAAGATGTCATGAGTTTCTCTGCCTTTCAAGACACTTACACTAGTTGTGAGAGGTTGTCAGGAGTGACTTCTTCCTTCTTTCCCAAGACATCCATGAGTTCCTGATGCACTTTCTCCTCTACCTCCTTGTGTGTGGCAAGGAAGTACACGGCCCAGGTCAGCACTAAGGAACACCGCAGAGAAAACATCATCATGTCTTTATGTCATTTGACAGAAGACCCAGTCTGTCTCCCCAGTCTGTTAAAAAAATCTGAGAACCAAGAAATTGAATTGGTGTGACCTAATGCTAAGTTTTTACACTTACAGTTTCCAGAAGTATGGAACCCTCCAATCGTATATGTCATAGCATCACTTATGACCTGTGAAAATATTGCATAGATTTTAGAAGAAAATTTACATGCAATTTGAAAAATCTACATGCAAAATTGAAGTTCAGTCTCTGTCTTCTCTAGATATACAAAAACATACATAAGAAAATCTCCAACACCACACCAAGCAACAAGACGACATCACATTTTTGCCTAACATTTATAATATGGGATAAGACAATTAGACGCCAAACCAGATAGTGGGATTGATTCAACTTCCTATATTAAAAGAATGACCAGAAAATCCAGTTTTGCTGCCCTGAAATTGCATTGGATGTTTTCAAGCCAATCACGTGTCAGCTTCCTTGGAATTAAAAAAAATGCCATAAACCCTAAAATCGCATCATTCAGGGCTCTAGCTAGCTCAATTTGTTTCCGTCAACCCAGGTCCACGATTGGACCTGGGGGAAGAGTGCTCACAATGTAGGGGGGTTGGGGGTGGGGCTAATTTTAGATTTTCCAGCCTTGGAAAATGGATGACAGATTGGTTTAAAAGTTTTTCTGTCACACGCCACAAAGTTCCTAAAAAAGTGACGGTAAAGCGGATGCTGGCGAGAGCCCTGATATTGTGCACATAACTGCAACTTACCTGCTCTTCAGGAAGATTTCCCTCAATAAGTACATCGATGAAGAGTTTTTCCTGGGGTGGGGGAGGGTTCTCTCTACGGCGCTTTGCAACCCTGACAATAGTTGCGTGTAACTTCTCCCGAGCTGAACATGAGAAAACAACACACAAATTGATGAATGAAACTTAAAGATCGACAACCCAAACCTATTTCAGCTGCCAAGGCAATTGCAAGAGTCTTCTTCTTCACATAAGGTGAGGATGAAAGAGACTCGGCAGCTAAAATAGGTTTGGGAACCAAGCTACAACAACTGGGCAAAATTCAGGGTACTATTCAGAATTGTAAGCTGTTTATTGAGTTAAAAATTTGTTCCAACACACAAGAAATTGTTCTCAGCTGGAGCTTTTGACCAGTCTCTCTGGTATTCTTCTGCATCAGTAGACTGACTCAGTGAGGCTTATCACATTGCTTCTCAGACGTGAGCATCAACACTGGGTCAAAGGTATCTGGTAAACACCGGTTATGTCACTCTTCAGAAAAGCCACGTGACAAGCCTCACTACATGGCTCAGTCTACTGAGGAAGACCAGAGCGACTGGTCGAAAGATCTAGGTGAGAACAAAACTTTAAACTCTAAACACTACTAACAGAGATGAATTCAAAGCTAGCTATTGATGGAAAAAATTGCTGAGAAGCAAGACCTTCTTGGAACCTTTTCTCCCTGGGACTTCCTTCTGCAGGATAACTTCCCTTGATTCTCTCTTCCATGTCATGCCAACACTGTAGAGAGAGAACAAGTACAATGTATGATGAACATTCAACAAATAATGGACATCAATCAACACTGGGACATTCAATTCAATACCAGAGTAGTGGTAGATGGTAGTGGGCTATTTTTCAAATGAAAGAATGGTAAGGTCATGAACAATCTAATTCCTTGACACACTCATTAGCAATGAAAGGTATGTTCTAACTAAAATAGCACTCACCCAAATTTTTGACTCGGACATTCCCAAAAGTATTCACATTGGAAGAGACAATAGACTTCATTTTATGACTTTTGCCTAAAGTTGAATACTTTCTATAATGAGTATGATGACTTTTGCAAACATATGAACTTTATTACTGACATTCTCAATCTTAAAAAATTTCTTCCACTCACGATGTCGTAGTTCCTGCCAAACTGCACACATTCCTTCTCGTCCTTAAAGGAGTCTCCAAACGATGTTCTTGTGATTGCCTTCATGGCCAGGGCTATCATGTGGGCATGGAGGGGGATGTGATCTTCACCCTTCATAGACCCCCATTTCTTAGCCATCTCTTCACCCAACTGCAAAACAGATTACTGTACAGTAATTCCTGATTTTTTATGGTACTGTTATGTTCACCGTTTTCACTGTCACTTCTGTACCATGAACTTATCATTACTATATTAACAAATAATTCCCGGACTTTCTTTTTCCTGCACCTGTTGCCACCGTGAATATATAGTTCTGTGAACAAGTCCATTTTTCTCAGACCGTGAACTTTTGCTACCGTGAACATAAAATGAATTACAGAACAGTAGATGTTATTGGCACTGTTGTTCTGTATTTGCCACTGGCAGTATGTATGTAATGTTATGTTTTACAACTTGTGAGTCCTCTACATGTAACAATTTTCGTGCCCCCTAATCTACAATTGTTGTCTTACATTGTCTCTGCAACAATATACTGTAAACATGTGATAGTTTGGTGTATACGCATGTATTCTATATTCATAATACCTCTTGAAAAATGCTGTAGTAAAGTTTCATGGCATCGTGCCCATAGCTGGGGTCATACAGTTTCCTCCTAGACCTGCCATCAATACCGTTAGCGTACTGGATACCCATGGGTCCCATCAGAGGCTCGAATCCCTTGAAAAGCAGAGCTGGAAGAGGATTAAATGAAATTAAAAGAGGATTGAATGAAATTAAAGGACCATACAATGGACATGATATCAGAATTGACCCAAAGAATCATTCCTTTTTCAAACCTTTGTGTCATTTTTGTATCTGTATAGCCGGTATAACACACCAGCTTTGCAGGCAAGCAGCATGGCGGCAGCTGGCTATATTACACTGAATGACTCGTTACACCTAACCTTTGAACATCTAACTCTAAACAGTGTTTAAAGCTATCCAATGATGATGCTCAGCTCCTACTGTAAAAGGTGACAGCGAGTTTCACTCTGTGATAGTTCTAGGAAAAAATTTGTTTTTAACACCTCAATCATTGGTAGATACTAGTAGTTGCAAATCAGTTGAGTTTTATTCTTGTTTAAAAGCTATACTTTTTCAGCTCTCATATAATCCTTACGTGGTCTGTCAAAGATGCGCTCGTGTTGTTTCCAGAGTTCGGGCGCCCCCAGACTGACCACAAGCTGCTGGCCCCACCAGAAGGAAGCGATGTCTCCGTACTCTCCATGTAACTTCATCAGGAACTGGTGCAGACTGCCTGCCCTCCCCATGTCACCCAGGTTACCATCTCTGCCGGCACAAGACATGAGAAAGATGCATACGTAGTGTGCATAGTCCAGTGGTTACTGGTTAGCGATCCTGCCTAGATGGACTAAGAGGTTGGGAGTTCGAATCCCAGCTACTGTTAAGGGTCGCAGTCCTTAGGACGGGATATCAAGATCTGTACTAGGTTTGTTCTTACTTATATCACTATGAAGTTTGCAACTTACTTTGGATCTGATGGCTCCAAGCCTGGGATGGTGGTGATCTTATTTGCACCCTGAGGGAAAATAACAGCAGATGATCATGATGCACATACAGGTGTTGTCAAATTATGTGCAAATGGAGGTGCCAAAATATGACACCTTGCGAGTGTGTATACAAGCTGGAAACACAGCTGTCCCGTGTGTGATCAGCCATGTTTGTTTACATTCTGGTAGTTTGTGGTGGCACCACAAACTGAGTGCCCCTCGTGTGGGCTGTTTTGCTCTTATACTATAAATGTCAGAAATGTGAGATAAGTGGAAGTAAGTTATAATCACAGAAAGATTTTTCAACTAAACTATTTCAATGTTTGGTGCAAAAATGTTACATCATGCTCCCTTAACTATAAATATCCGGTCTGTCCACATATAATTTAAAAGTGAACATATGGAAAAGTGCAAAACATACCGGGTACAGATACAGCACCGTGGCTATCAGGAAGACCACAAACGTGATGGCAAAAATGGCGTAATCTAACATCTTGCCAAGCAACAAACTCCCTCACAACTGTAGAAAACTTCCAAGAAAGAGACCCCACATAAAAATGAAAGAGGGACACGTCTTAGAGCCGCACAACACCCGGAAGTGAATAAACAAATTATCAATCCGTTGGATAAAAAATAGTGCAAATAATAATAGGAACCCACAAATGATGCAAAACCTTTCTCCAACTAAGTTTCAGACGATAAAGTTTAAATCATAAAATGTGTTATATCTGGCAAAATGGTGTTTAGTCAAGTAAACATTAAGCTAACATATAACGCGTAATGATATAAAGTTTTGTTATGTGAGTCGGCATGTTACCCGCCATTTTCAAAGGTGAGAGGTGAAAGGTTGCAGGTGAAGTTTGAAGTTTCTCACGTTGTACGTGTGTGTTCACTGTAAAACTCTTGCTCATAGGTTTATTCTCGTCGTTTTAAAAGTGATTAAGGTCTAAGTAACTTTCTTTCTATTGGTTAACTGATTTGTATCACTTCCAGCCTTTTTATTTTGTAACGGAAGGAACTTATGGCAGACCGAAGCACGTTGACGGGGGAGGGGGGTATTATCTTTGCTGGTTACCTTACTAGTATTTTGTTGTGCTCAAAAGAAGTCCTAAATTGGAAGTTAACTCCGTTGTAGGAAGAAATTCTAGCCTGGGTGCCAGACTGTTCTGAGGACCAATACATAGGCCAGCCCCCAGTTAGACTCTAAGAAGCTCAGGGTCTGTCTGAGCTGAGGAGTGTCGTCTATGGTAAAAATTTCCTTGAACTTGAAGTATGTTGGCCCTGTAGCTGATCCCTACATATACCTGTACTCCTACTAACCCCAGCAACAGTTTGGCACCCAAGCTAAAGAAAGTCATACGTATACAATGAACGATTCTCGTACTTCATATTTAAACAATGGCTTTTACAAGCTAGGTACTGTCAAGTTACTCACCTACTGTTTAACTTATGGACCTCAAAAGTGTCGTACAGTTACACTGTTTATACACATTATCTATACTTAATAGACTCACGATATGCATATTTTTCCAGACTGACCATGTCGTCCCTGAGCATGTTTCCCTCCCCCCCGCCCGTGGGTTTTACGTCTGTGTGTGAGGTGAATGGAGAACTGGTGGCTGCCAAGCTGGGAGAGGAGGGGGTGATACAGGCTCAGTACTGTGGACAGGTTCGTCGTCGTGCTATTCATCATTTATCATTTTTGCCTTTATCTTTTATAAGTAGAGTAGAGTAGAATAGAGTAGAGTCATTTGGTAAGGTAGGACATCTGTCCAATTTGGACTGCTCCTTATCGTTCTTCACATCAGCTGACTGTCATTGTGGGCTTCAGTGGATGGTCTAGTGCAGGGCCCGTTTTAATGTGACAAATTTTTTAAAACCAATCCATCAACCTTGACACACTGACACTGGACAAAAATCTCAGGTAAGAATATAAATACATCCAAAGGAACACCTACAACCACTTCCAACCTCATGATCTGCCAGTCAAAATGTGGGAAATTGCATTTTGAAAATCCAAAATTTGCCCCTGGACCCTCCCTAGATAGTGAGCACTCTTCCCCAGGTCTGATCATGAACCTGACCTGATGGAAAAAATTTTGAGGTGGCTACCTGCCTACTTACTCCTGATTGTAGAGACTAGATAAAGATGAATTCACTTAAACTGACTTCCTGAAGCAAGCATGACTGTGTACTACCGATATTTCTCATTTCTCCACATCTCTACATGTAGGTGGGAGAGTTTCCCAGCCTGCACTTCCCCCCAGACAGCATCAGGGCGTCGAGAGAGGAGTCCAGCGCCAAGGCTGCCTTCCTCCCACACGATGAGACGGTCTGGAAACGAGCTAAAGAGGCCTGGTACGGTGGTCTTAAGATGTTAGGCCATGCTGGTTTGACTATGTGGATGACAACTGCATGCAAATGAATTTTCCTCCATTTCCAAAGTTATCGATTGTAAGTGAACTTCAATGAGCATATTTAGATGAAAGGATTTGATAAGAGGAATCGATATGATGTTGATATTTTTTCAGGTATGAACATGGACTAGGTGCAGTTCTGAGTGAATTAGTAACCAGCAGGGCTGAAGGTATGACATTCTACTTGACTTATTAGGAACAATGTAACAGATACTCACAGGTAAAATATGAAAAGTAATAAGTTAATTTTCCTAGAGTTTTCCACATTGATATACATGTAGTCATTGTAAGTCCTTACTTTTTCATTGTCAATAATTATCCCAATTATTATGTGGGATTAAACTAAGTAAATCACAATTTTTCATGGTACTCAGTACTTTTATGTTTGCAGTCAATTCTATACTGTGAACAAATAATTTGGGGACTCTTTTTTTGCTGCACTTGACACCGCTGCACACATGTCCATTTTTCTCAGAAGTTTTGTTTGCTACTGCAATTGCAAACATTAAGTGGTTTACAGTATACTGTTGATGTAATACGCCATGTACGTGTAGTCTATGAAAAGGCAAAGACAGATGAATACATGTGTTGGAACAGTTCCAGGCTGGTTAGGCTGGAGTTCGTCTGCTGGTCTGGCTGTGGTCAGGTGGCTCGGCTCCCTACATGGCTCTCTCTTCCCTCACCTCGCGGTCAGTATACAACTACCTTGTTTTTCATGCAAATTATTGATATTATATCACAACTAGAAAGGTAACATTTTCCAAGCAAATGTATAGTGTTTACCAGTTCACATGGTGAAGGCCAACTGCTCTGTTTAACAGTGTACATTTTTATTGTTTCAGTTATCCAATGAAGACATGATTGCTACATTTGCTGAGAATGCAGACTGGTACCACAGTGCAATCCGAGCCTTTTCCTGGCACCCCCATATCCACAAATTTGCCATCGCGCTTAGGGACAACTCCATCAAGGTGTACAGCAGAACAAGGTCAGTATAGTTGGCTTGTGTCATCACTATTGCAGTTTTTGATGTCAACACTAGGGGGCTCTTTTGAAACATTGGAGAAGTGTCCCCCCACATCCACAAGTTTGCTATTGCTTTTCGTGACAACTGCATCAGAACAATGTCAGTATCTCTAGCTGTCATTGTGTTGTGTCTGGAGCCCCCTAGGAACACTCGTCATATAGCTTGTTTTTTTGGTTATATAAAATGCTTCATATATAAAATGATGGCGAAAATGGCAGAAATGTCACAGTAGATTTCCTCATTCAGAAAATTTTATAATTGCCACCATGAAACTGCATAAAACAATGTTTTCCTTTTTTTTCAGTAAAATTGTTCCTCTACTGAAGCATAAAGTACAGAAGGGTGTAGCAGCCCTCTCCTGGGAGCCCCAGTCTGCCTCAGTGCTGGCTGTGGGGTGTCAGAACTGTGTGCTGATCTGGCACGTGGATCCCATGTCTCTCTCATCCAGGTGTGTTCATCACATACATCTATACAGTCAAACTTTCTTTAGCGACCACCTCTATAAGCAGGCCCTCTGGCCGTAACACTTGATTTTTCTCTGTCATGATTTTTCTTCCCATAGACATAAGCATTCATAAAGGACTTGCGTAAGCTGACCACTTGTCCAACTCAACTAGCATTATTTGGAACCCGGATGGCCAAATCTCAGCATATGACAAACATATCATTTTTAAGGTTATGGTGGAAAACATTCTTTATGATGACCATGAAGAACTCTTGATGGAATTGGCCGGTTTGCCATTGAGTTTGATAACATGACAGGCTTTGCACAATGTTAAATGGTACTGGCTAGGTCAGTTTGGCAGTCTGTGACTATTGTGTAAATTTTGCTGCAGTTTTGTCATGAGATTCCTTCATGTTTTTACATTTTTTTTACGTCTTTGATCTTGTGTCATTTTTCAAGCTCTCCCTATTGTCCAATTTAACACAGGGTCTTTTTTGATGCAATGTTGTAATACACCAGGAAGACCTCTCCATTGCGGCTTTCATTTACCTCTAGTGATGCTATTCCAGTTTTTCATTCTATCACATGCATCACTCTCATTGAAAATGAAATCTGCCCATGATTTCCTAGACCATCCACGACGACCTGTCAGGTGCTGAGCAGACCTGGACACTCCCCCATCACCTGTCTGGCCTGGTCACCGCACGGCAAGCTGCTGGCATCTGCCTCCCCTGCCGACACTGCTATGATGGTACGTCCCATTCCTATCACATGCTTTCTAGGGTCTACAAATGTACATTGTACCTCTTAGGGTATCAGTATGTACATGTGAGACATGATTTTGGTCTTCGAAACTTTCCAATCAGAAGGAACTCAGGTTTGCTTTGTGTCAAAAGTTTTTGCAGTTTTACATATCAACACTAGGGGGCTCTTTTGAGACATAGAGGAAATGTCATTAAGCATCCAGTTTCCATTCATCTGGCTGACACCAGGCTAGTGTTTTCTTAACATTCCTTATCCTCAAACAGGACTGCAAGCATTGTACCTAGTACTTCAATATCTGTATCTGCATAGCCAGTATAACCACTCTACAGCACAACACACCAGCTTCTGTATCTGTATAGCCGGTGTAACTGCCCTTCATTGTAACACACCAGCTTTGCAGGCATGCAGCATGGCGGCAGCAGGCTATATTACCCAGAGCGACTTGTTACACCTAACTTTTGAACATCTATCTAAATGTTTTGAACATCTATCTAGATAGTGATGATGCCTCTGCTGTACTTGGTGGCAGCGAGTTTTACTCTACAATTAGTTTTGAACATCTCAATCCTTTGCTTTCAATCCTCTGGTACTTGAAAGCATGATTATTTCTTGTTCTTTTCTGAGCTGGTATCAGGTACTTAGTTGGTACCAGATTATAAGCCAATAGCCTACTTTTTGCCTACTACTAGGATACAAAAACATCATTCTTTTTTAAGAAAACGAAGACTAAAATCAAAGCACATCCCACAAAGTTGATCCATTGCTTTAATTCACATCCATATAATACTATACATCCAGCTTTTATAGAATATCTTTAAAAATGAACCAATCCCAGACGTATCACTCTACTGCACTTTCCACATAAAAGGACAGTGGACACCCAAATATAGATCATATTTGCTGAAAACTTTTACACTACTCAAACTCTTTGACCCGTCACCCCTGTAATATATTGCTTTTATCTGTCTATTAAACATGTTTATCTACTTAAACTACAGAATACAAACTTAGATTGTAACTTGCTGTAGTAAAGAAATTGTGCAACACACTTGAAAAAACAGAAGTTACTACAAATAGTACATAATATGCTTCAAAGCAAAATGTACAGAATGTATAAGAGATTAATTGCAATGAAAATATTGCAATAAAAAAATGCAAACTATTGCATTTTACATAATGACAAAATCAGATGATTTCTGGTTAATAATACAAGAATGCTTTTTGCAGAAGTTTCTTACTGAATTTACCTTTTCTGTGTTATTCTGTAAACATGCAAAACTAAAATGTGATAAACACAGAAAAAATCACCAGAATTTTAGATGAATACCAGTAACGATTCTTTACACCTGTACACCCTACTCAAAATAAACTCTTGGATAGCACAAACAGTTTACTTTTACTCTTACAGTCACTTGTAGATATTTATATTAGGCAGTCGTTCTGCCTTTCTGTAGTTCACTTGTTTATTTGTGTCCTACTTTGGGCTACTGCACTTTGACTGGGGTAGGATTGAAGGCATCCAATGCAATTGATTGACCAGAAGATTGACTTTGAAGATCCAGTTTTGCTGCCCAGAAATTGCATTGGATGCCTTTAACACACAAACACACTGGCTTTGTTCCCTAACACCACTACTAACAGTTCGAAAACTTCAAGAGTAATACCTACATTTGTATAGCATGTAGCATGCATTATTATAGCTCACTGAATGATATCTGAAGTACACAATCATTGAATCCCACAAGGGGAAAACTGCAACTTCAAAGTGTTACATACTGCCAATACAGAACTTTTGCACATTGGACACCAATACACCATTGCAGTATGTGCTACCAGATATATGACATACATAAGCCACCAGTATGATACACTATACAGGGTTTCATTTACACATTTTTAAAGCTAATGCTTAGCATCTATGTGAGATGCATTTTAGACCCTGGTGTAGACTAGATGCTGTTTGTTTTTGTTTTTTATTTTAATTTTGAATATTTGTAATATTTTGGTCTTTCAAAAGCACGGAGTTGAATATTGCAAGACATTCTTGTTGGAATTTTCAACTTCAACGTGATACTAGAATGTGTTCAGGCATTTGGATAGCAGTACTTTGCAGTACGTCAGAAAAGTATACTCTGTTTGATATGTTCATGGGTAATATTGTTTTGTTGAGGACAAAACACCTTTACATTTTACATTTGAACATATACTACGTCATTTCCTCCAGTTGTCTTTCCCTTGCTATTTTAATTGATTGAAGCAATTTGTCTGAACAGTAAGCCTTTCTAATGGACCTTTTGAAAAGGCTACATTTTTATGTTGGCCAAAAATAAATAGTAGCACATCAGAGTCCAGAGCTTGGTACTTTTGGATTTTGATATGGGAGGGAAAAACTACATTCATCAAAGACTTGATGGAACTACACCACTATGTACTGTTTACTGGTAGCACATGTATGTTTTGCTACTTAGACACGTAATACTTTGAAACCTCTCTAACTAAGATAGGTTTGTACAAACTTGACAACTAACAGACATATCCATGGTGACTGTGACATCTCTTAATATACACATTAACAACGTTTTGTCCATCAATACACAATTGAAAGGAACAATAGTTGCATATTTACATAAAACATGATTGCTGTCTTCTTACACATTAACATGTTTCCCAGTGCAGTTCCTTTGAACTTTGTTGAGTGTTGTTTGGTAATGTTGCCGATTTGTAGTTGAACTTAAACTTGAAGTGCACCAAGCACAAAGTTCCTTTCAGTCCTGGTGTAGAAATTGTGTAGATCTTCTCTTCTTTTCACCTCGCAGACGTTTGTACAAACACAGTCCAGTTCCAACACTCTTGCTTTATAATAGCCTGAACCTCAAATTTGGAGTACATAGTAGTCCATACTATTTTTTCATGCTGATTCATGTGACCAGCAATGGTCAAACACTGTACAACATGAAGACAATATATAGATGATTCAAAATATCTGTTACACCTCAGTTTCATAATATGGGGCTTTGGGATCTTGGTTGCCTATTCCATGTAGGAGAATTTCGACACGAGACCGAGGCCTTTCTTGCTTCTGATCTTGCTTAAACCGAGGGAAGGTCCCGCTTTTCTTTTTGGTTTTGGACTTTGGACTCTTAGGGCTCTTGGGGCTCTTAGCTTCCTTCTTGTCGGCCTCCTTTTCTTCTGCAAGCAAGTCGTCCATTCCTTCCGTGTCGAGAGACACCGATCCTTTCCATGAGCGAGTACGGGGCCGGCTGGGGACGTTATCCGGGCTGTCGTCCGAGGTGACGGAACTGTAGCCAGTGTCCCCTGATGTCATCTTGGATCCTCTGCCTTTTCCTATGCCGTAATCTGACTTACTACGCGACCCTCTCAGCCCTGACGGCGCTTTCTTCTCACTGCCGTCGTCGCTTAGCTCTGGCATACTTCCTGTCAGCTTTTTGTACTCCATGGCATTATTGGTGACTTTGACCTCTGGTTTGAACTTATCCAGGTTTTCGATGGACGCCCGAGGCACCAACGTAACTTCAACAGTCATGTTCTGCTTCTTCTTCTGTTGCACAATGGCTTCTGTAGATTTGGCTCCCCTCATAGGAATGGTGACTCGAACAGGCGGCATGTCGCTGGATAGTCCGTCTTGCGGCATCTCGTGGAAGGATCTTCGCTGTAAAGGATCAGCAGATTTGCTGCCTGGTCCCTTCCTGCGATGAGGACGCATGCAAGGGGGGACTTTCTGTCGCAGAGAGTTGTCTTCATCACTGTCATAATCGTTGAATGGTACGTAATAATCGTCATCATCATCATCTCCAGAGAAAGGCCCCGGACTGGATAGAGAACTGTGAGACCTTCGGTAGGAGAGGCTGTCTCTGGAATGTCTGATGATCTGGTCTCTGGTCTGAGTCTTCAGGTCCCTCAGACTAGGAACCTTCTTGCGCAGCCTCCCTCCCCCGCCACTGTCAGGTGATCTTAAGTCGACGTCAGACCTGAGATCCGGTGGTGGTTCTGATGCGTAGCTGGCCAGACTTCTGCTAGACAACCTTAGGATAGTACCTCTGGTGAACTCCTTCAGCTCTCGCAGGCTCATTCTGTCCTTGGCTCCCCTCTTCAGTGACGTGGTTTGCTCATCTGGTGCTTCGGACTGGTTTCTCCTACGGGGAGCTGGAATGGGAGGCTTTCTTGCAGAAACTTCTTCAGTGTCGCTTCTTGCCCTCTCTCTCGGTGGAGAAATCTTCTGTGGAGAAATCTTCTGTTCTGCCTCCTGCTCCTTTTTCTGACGGTTTAACGATGCACGTCGTGCTCTTTCCTCAGCTTCCTTGACCGATTGTTCAGCAGCTTCCCACATTTTCTTGGCCTCCATTTCTGCTTGTTTGTCAGCCTCCAGCTTTACTTTTAGTTCCTCTTCCTTCCTCATCTGTTCGTCTGCAGCTTTTTGTGCCATTTCGAGTTCCTGTTGTGCTTGTGCGGCCACCTCCCTGCGAATCCGGTCCTCGTGTTCCAGTCGTGCCCTTATCTCAGCTGCCTCAGCTTCTTTTCTAGCTTTTTGTTCTTCTTCTCTCTTCTTTTCCTGAGCTTCTCTGAATGCTTGCTCTTGTGCCTCCCTTCTGGCTTCGGCTTGTCGACGAGATCTTTCTTCAGCTTCTTGACGAGCTCTTTCTTCCGCTTCCCTACGAGCTCGTTCTTCAGCTTCCCTACGAGCTCTTTCTTGCGCTTCCCAATGAGCTCTTTCTTCTGCTTCCCTACGAGCTCTTTCTTCCGCTTCCCATCGAGCTCTTTCTTCTGCTTCCCATCGAGCTCTTTCCTCTGCTTCCTTTTGAGCTCTTTGTTCAGCTTCCCTTCTAGCTCTTTCTTCAGCTTCTCTTTGAGCTCTTTCTTCTGCCTCCCTACGAGCTCTTTCCTCTGCCTCCCTACGAGCTCTTTCCTTTGCTTCCATGTGAGCTCTTTCCTCTGCTTCTATCCTTGCTCGTATCTCGGCTTCCCTTCGAGCTTCCTCCTCAGCCTCTCTGATGGCTCTTTCTCTAGCTTCCCTCCTGGCTCTCTCCTCGGCTTCCCTCCTTGCCCGTTCTTCTGCCTCTCTTTGAGCTCTCTCCTCGGCTTCTCTCCTAGCTCTTAATTCTGCCTCCCTACGAGCTCTTTCTTCCGCTTCTCTTCTTGCTTCTTCCATTTCTTGTTTAGCTCTCTCCTCTGCTTCCATCCTTGCTTTGATCTCTGCTTCCCTGCGGGCCCTTTCTTGTGCTTCCCATTTCGCCCGTTCTTCAGCTTCTTGTTGAGCTTTCATCTCGGCCTCCTGTCTCTCTCTTTCCTCTGCCTGTCTGCATAATTTCTCTTCTACCTCTCGTCTGGCCTGCTCCTCAGCCTGTCTGGCTTCTTCCTCTGCCTTTCTCTGATCTTCTCGTTTCTTGAGATCTAACAACCTCCGCCTGTCCTCTTCTAGTCTCTGCCTTTCCTCGTATTCTCGCTGCATCCTCTCCATCCTTTCCTGCTCCCCCAGCCAGGCCCGTTTATCCGAGTCCCGCCGTTCCTTCACAGCTGCGACCTTAGCTGCCCTCTCATCTTCATCCCTTCTCAACCTTTCCTCCTCTTGTCGCCAGTACTTTTGCTCCCGTTCGGCTAAATCTTGCTGCTGCAGCTGCCTCCTCCACTCGCGAGGAGAATCTTCCGTTTCTGTTCCAGACTCGGATGGTGTAAGCGTCGGGGACGAACCGCTGACATCAACATCTCTCCTCCCATCCACATAGCTGAGGTTCTCTCTCGAGTGACGGTTAATCACGTTCTGTGTCCTGCCCTGTAAGTCCTTCATACTGGGACGTTTCTGGACCTGTTTCCTCTCCATTTTCCTCTCTGACGGAGCCCTGAGCTCAGGTGACTGCTTGGGGTCAGGTTCAGTAGGAGCTTCAAAGATTTGATACTCCGACGATGTTGGGTCCTCAGGTGGAGAGATTGACCAGACTTCCTCTGTACGATGAAGAGGGAAACCGATTGCACTTCCACTGGTGCTGCTCACAAAGCTGTCTTCTCTGGACATAGCTTTAGGCTCATCCTCTCGCACTGGATATCTCTGAAACTTGATATCGTCTGCTTTGCTGTTTTGCTCCTCCCCATTTTCTAGGAAATCCTTGAAGTCGATGACGGGGCTACGTGGAATACCAGCATACTTCTTCTGCAGGTGTCGTCTTTCAGGAGAGCTTTGTTCGTAAGAGTAGTTGCTTGAAGATTCTTCATCCTCAGCGTCACTAGAAGGATAAGAGTTGACCCGCTCTTCAGTCTGTTGGCGAAGTTGGAGGTTGATCCTGTTGAAGTCACGGTCCCGTCGCGGTTCCTCGTACCGTTCCTCGGTTTGCGTGGTGTTTGAGTTGAGCTTTCCAGGGGGATCGTCTCTGTCGTAAGCAGTTGAAGAGACAACAGATGTCGGGTGGGTAGAGTGCACGATTTCTGCAGTGGTGTACTCTAGTGGAGGGGGTGGCGGGAAGTCGAGCATTTCGGGAGGAGGAGGAGGGAAATCGATGGAGGCTGGCCGTGGTGACGATCGTTGTGCTGGCTCGTACGATTGTGTAGAGTGCTGCGGACTTGGTGTCGAGTCCCGGTACACGTAAGACTCTCGGTTGGTAAACTTTGCACGGTTTCGCTGAGGCCTACGCTGTACCGGTTCACTCGTTTCAGCCTGTGGCTTAGGCTTGAACCCCTTCATTTCTAGATAGGAGTTGACTTTGTCATCCAGAGAGCCTATGCTTTCTCCTGGTTCAGACTCACTAAAACTGCCCCTGGGCTGCAAGGAGTTGATCGTGATGCTCTTTTTCATGTTGACTGCACTCCTGTCTTGTTGTTCTCTTTCTGGGACCTGTTGTTGGTTCCATGACGTGCTGCGAGTTATGGGAGACTGACGAGCCCTGTCGTCACCATATCTCTGTCCGGTGTCAGCTGGGGAGCCGTACCTGTTTTGAACAGGCTGCGGACTTTCTCGGGTTGCACTTTGAGGCCTCTCATAGGAAGCTTTGGTGTCAGGCCTCTCTCCCCACTGCCCTTTCTTGTATTTGGGATCGTAGTGCCCCTCTGATTGCAGCTTTGCCTGCGGGCTACGTCGAACATGCAGCGGCTCTTGTGACTTAGCGTATCTGAAGATATCCTCATCTGACGGACCCACTAATCGCTTTTCTGTTGAGGGTTTCACTGGACGAATCGGCGAATACTGCGCAGGGGTTCGCTTCATCATCTTTCGGATTTGATCGGCATACGCATCTTGGGTCACCTCCTCTACCTCATCCCTCTCAGTCGGCTGTTCCTGCCTCATCTTCTTCTCCACTCGGTACTCTTCTGGCTGCTTCATGAAACCAAGGCTAGGATCTTCGTTGTGAGCCGATGAATGGTAGCTGTACGGTCGCTGGTACGCGTAACCCACGGGTGTCTTCCTTCGGGGCGGGGGAGGGGGGACCTTATTATCTGATTGTCTATTGTAAGATTCTTGATCGTCATCCAGAAGACCAGACCAGCTTGAATGACGCTGTGTACTGGAGAGGGTTGGTTCGGGTGCATGTTGCCTCGCAGGTACAGACGAAGCTGGCCCACGCTGCTGTTCATACTCCTGCTGCTGATACAAATCCTGCTGTATGGTGTTGTAGATACTACGGACTTGTTTCCTCGGTACTTTCTCCTTCTGCTGGTTTATTGCCTTCTTCCTGGCCGACACAGACTTAGGAGAAGGGACGATAATTTGGCTCTGTGGTGAGTCGACTTGTTTGGGACTGGCAGAAGCAGGTCTGGCTATCGGCCTGGGCATGATATTTTCCTTCTGGTGGTACGTGTCTCGTTCTGGTTGTGTATACTCCCTCTGCGGGTACCGAGGTGCCTGGCTGTATTGTTGTTCTTGCGTATAGTTGTACCGTTTCGGTTGGGCATACTCTTGTTGTCTATACTCCTCTCTTTCTGGAGTCGCGTATTCGCGGGGAGCAGGGACTGGTCTCCTCTGTGCATATTCCTGCCGTCGGCTCTGCGGCTCTTCTTGAGCACGTGTCGGGGTTCTCGCGGTGGCGTTTTGATTGTCGTTTCCCAGCTCGAACCGGCGGCGCAGCTCCGCAACAGACATTCCCGGCTGGGGCTTCTCCTCCTCCCAGGCATGCATGAGTTCTTTCTGAAGCATCATGGGGTTGAAACTCTCCGGGCTGAGAGCCTGGTTAGGCTGGGACCAGCCTCCGTTTAGGGACATGATGGACAGGCTCTAGCTATCACCAGTCAGCATACGCCTGTAAGACAGAGATAAGAGAGCATGTTAGACTTTGACTTTCACTGCTAGAACATGTTAGAAGTCTTTTGAAAGAGAAATACAGGTATTTGAGAATGTATGATATGGGAGAGGATGTACATTGTGTGTTTTCAGGACAACCTTTTGCCTTTTGGCTCTAATTATTCTCTCTCTCCAGTTACAATTCTATATACTAGTATTGCTGAATGCATTATTGAATAGGTCTCAAAGTAAAAAGACAAGAATCTCACAAGGTTTATCACATCATATTAAATTTGCCGATCTGAAAAACGTACCAGTTTGATGCCCAGTTCAATGATGGTTTACGAAAATTGCATTAGTCTATTATAGTAGACAAAAACACTAAGTTGGCAGAGAGAAGTACTGTTAGTGTTACTATAGTACAAGGTCATGTTTAGCTGGGTGCTGAAAGGTTTCCCATATTTATTGTGACTGTTGCCACGACCCTACTGGAGACTTGAGGTTAGTGGTTACAGTCAATTAAGGTCACACAGGGCATGAAAGGCCCTGTCTGGGAACACAAATCAAGTTAGGGACAGACCAGCAAGTATTTAGGGGTGGGTTGGTGAATGGGCTATTAGGAATTCAGCTTTCAATACCAAGTAGTTTGTGCAGCTTCTTTTCCAATTTTTTTTTTATTTCTTCCAGATATTGTGAAACTACAGGAGAATAAACCTCTTTACATCATTATCTAGCATAAGTTGCTTCTTGATGATTTGTTCATGGTACTTTGAAAAAGGAAAGTCATCTAGATCCAGTTTTAGCTCATTGAAGAACTAATATCCTACTGGTTGTGAGAGAGAAGACAGATGCTATGTACAGTATTTACAGGTTTATTGTAACAGGGAAATTCCCCTAGCTCTTTTCAACAAGCACAATGAACAGTGGACCACGGCTTAACATCCAGTCCTAAGGACTGAGACCCTTTCAGTAGCGTGCATGTCGGGTGAGCAACATTTCCAAATTTTCCATTATCGTCACTGACATTGACATTGATCTAAAACTAGAGTGGTGATATCCCCTTTGAGAGACTCAGTGCCCAAGGATCAGCCAAGGCCATGTCAGAATCACAACAGATAAGCCTCAACCTTTTTGCTAGAACATTACAGTGTTAGGGTAACGACTGCCAAGTATTGGGAGTATCCTTCACTTATATACCAACATAAGCTTCAGGTACTGTGCAGAGTCGTACAAGGTTAGTATGCACGTGCTAAAGGGCACACAGTTATGATATTAAATTTTGTTGATATCATATGGTACAATTTAGTACAAAACATCTCAAAGAAAATCCCCTTTCTATTCTCAGATAAAATACTAATCTCTCAGAAATCAAAGGTGGAAGACCAAAAATTGGACTGGTTCGGCAAATGTATATCAGTATAGACGAAAGGACTAACCTTGTAACCTAAACCAAGATGTCTGATTAACCTCAATGTTGAAGAGGCTCAGGATATACAATAACACACTGTTCAACATTCATTGTACCATATCAAGACTTGCTGAAGGTACTTACGCTTATGCGATATATCCATTCCCCTTATTCTGATCTGTTCCATGGACTATAGAACACAGGCAGTGTTACATGTACCTCATAATCCAGCTTCAAAGGATTTGACATTCCACAAAAATCTTTGCTTGACCTTCCGTAGTGAGAACCAGATGTTACAAAGGGACATTTTGCTGGGGGTATGAAACCTGAGGCCATTTCTGGGGGTGGCTTTTAAGTATTCAAACTTCTGAGCATTACTGGGTGTCTTGTTTTCCTTGACCTATGGCTTAGATTGACCTTAGAAAACCCTCCATTGAAACATGCCTTAATCATTAACACTGGGTGTACAAATGTTATCTGTGATTTGTTGGTTCTGCACTTGTATATGTTATGTATACAATGTGAAATGGTTTAATGTGGTTTTGGTTGGCTGAGGAGCAAGGTATATTGCCCAGGGCTTGAAATCCTTTTTTTCTGCACCAGTGCAGGTAACATTAAAAATTACATATGTACCTGCACCAGACAAATTTTATCATCACCACTCAGAATTTAGGACGTATGGATCAAAATGTAAACTGGTCAGGAACCATTTACATTTATTTATTCTTCTATACTGCAGAGGAGGTTACAATCAATGCAGCAAATAAAAATCCACACACATTTATATTTATATAAATGCAGTACATGGACCAGTGCAGGTTAGGTGCAGGTAGACATCTGAAATACCTACACAGTTCCAATTTTACCTGCACTAACCTGCTATTCTGAGTAAAACTTATTTACTTGAACCACCAGTTTCAACACCTGGAAAGAATTGTTGTACACATGAAACTAAATGGCCATTCTAATCAATTCTGAATGCTTATAAGAGGTGTAGTTGAGTTTCTAACCACTGGGAAATTTGTGACCTGGGAACACAAGACCAGACACACTAGGGACATCTGTCTACAGTAGAAATTGTTGCTGATCTAGATCATGTGTATACATTCTGCGGTAACCAGGCTGAAGCACCATAAAGGGGATGACAGCTGTTTGAAGTCTGTGATCTCTGCCAAATTGTGTTAAATACTTCTGCAGCAGCCTTTTCTTTGCTACCTTGGGAGCTACACTGTTTACCATGACCTACACTGACCTTTTTTATATTCCACCATATTCATTTTTTCTACTTTACAAAAAAAAAATATAGAATTCAGGTTCTAAATCAACTCCAAAATGCTCCTTTTTTTGTCTCAACAATTGAAGAAAATCCTGGTGTTCATAGTTGTTACAGTTTTTGTTCCAATCTATCAATGCAGTGGTTTGATTAAAAGTCCAAATTCACTATTTGAATTATAAACGGTTAACCAGCCCTGTATCGTAGCTTCTGTGGCTATCACAGGATGCTATGGCCTATTTTTTCACTTCATATTTTGTCTGAAAAAATATATGAGAACCAACAAATTAAATTGGTGCCGCCATACCCTACTAAAGAGAAGAGTAAAACATCAACCTCTACAACTCCCTTTCAAACCCTACAGTGATCGATAGGCTAAGCCCACTGCACAAGTGCTAAGCACATTCCAACTCACACAAGAATGCAGGAACAAGACAACTGTTGACTGTACATGTATGCTGACATTTACCCCATCCAAACTGCCTTCAAGTTGAAAGTCTAAATTCTCAAAATATACACTAAACTTTGATATATACACAAGACACTTTCACTAGATAACATCCATGCATGTTATCGATAACTTTCCAGAATGTTGATAAACTACAGGATTTTATCAACAGGGCAAAAAATTGCTGATTAATCCCATGTTTATTCCCAGCACATGTCAGGACTACTGTGCAGTCTGCATGGTCCATTGCCCCTGGGGTGAAGACTGGGTACATACAGCCTTGTTTACTCTCACAGCAGGGTAGTATGTAGTTGGGAGGTTTGGTTAGGCAAACATTTGTCCAGTGTAAAGATCGTTGACAATAAGGTGATAATAATGTGCCATATGGACTGGCAAGGATTGGCCTATGAACTCAACAATAGTCCACTTAAAATCCCCTTTGAAAAGGCGCCAAGCTGTTTGTTTCTACTGATAAGAAATTGAGAGAACTTACCCCAACATGGCCTGTTCGACTACTGTTTCCACGCATAGAGTTATAGATAGTTGATAGACCATGAAAGAGGATTGTTGGACACCTGAAACTACACATTTCTGGAATAATAAGGCATGGACACAGTAGCTGTACACAGCTGCACTCATCCCTGACAAAACCTTATGTTTGGTCGTACCTACGTGAACATTCTCTGCATTTTTCACTTCTATAGTAAATCAATGTGAAACACAGTTACTGTAATGTAAATTTACTACTGACTTACCAACCTTCCTTCTAGCTTGAAACGAGATACTAGTACATGTAGTAAAACTCTCCCCATGTCTTCAACTTCCTGTAGTTTTTCTGAGAACTTGACAGTGATTTGTAAAGGAAGTAGAGAGGGCTGTGGCCCCTATGGAATGGTTGTGGATGTATGGATGAGTTAACATCTGGAATGTGTGGCTCAAGCATGCGGAATGCACCTGCTATGTCCTGTGACATGATTGGGAAACCCCATGTGGTCAGTGTTAGTCTAACAAAATCAGATCACCACCCAGCGGGCCTGGATGGACAGAAAAGCCCTTAGACTTGCAGGATGTATTATGTCCTTGGTATGGGTTACAGTTGCAAAGTGTCTGCTGACTACTGTATCATATTTTAGAAGCAACTCTTACCAAACGTAATACTGTAGTTCCTGATTTCTTCCTGGTACTTTTATGCTAATATATCATAAATTACTGTAAACTAATAATTTGCTGACTTTCTTTTTTCTGCACCTGCCGCCACCGTGAACATAGTTCCGTGAACACATCCATATTTCTTGCCTAGTACTGTCTACACCATGACTCAGCATACACCTTACCTTATTTTATATAACAAGTTGAACCCTCAGGTGATATATTGACTAGCCTGGGTGCCAAACTGTTTCCAGGACCTACATTGAACATAGGCCAGTTCTCAGACTCCATGCCCCCAAGGAAATTATACCATAGCCCCCCACAGTTAGGCCCTGATTCACAGTCATGCTGGCTAATAACTCAGGGCCTAAAAATGTGTTATGCAGCCATGCTATACATTTACATGCATTAGGTAGACACTAAAGATGTTCAACTCTTCATATACTTACTATTACAGTCCCAATGTAGACAGATACTGGCACCTCCATGGAACACTTTTCTTCACAGCCCTCCCACACAACAACAGCTACTCCACTAAGTAGTCTGTCGCCCCCACCACAGGGACTGAACACTTCAGTTCACAAAGAATTGTGCAGGGGCAGTGACCCGCAGAGGGCAAAGCGCTCTAGAACCCCACTCATGGGCCACATAAACAGGCCATCCCGGTAATGATAGCTTTGGACGTGAGTAGAAATGTAAGGCCGCACTGGGACAAAAAAGTAGGCGGGAAAGAACAGGAAATAAGGCTGAAACAATAAAAACAATGGAAGTACGCTGCATTAATCCAAGGAGGTTAAAAATGATTAAACCATATGTCAAAGACAGAAACTGTACATATTAAAGTCTGAATGATCATCATTGAAGAACACATGCATGACATTAGAGTTTTTTTTACTAAATTTTAGATGTAAAACTTCTCATCCTTTAATACTCATGATCATGATAATGATCATACTGTTACTGACATTTTCACCTGAGTGAAGTGAGGAAAGTTGTGTGCCTTTCCCAAGGGCACAAGACTGGTGATATGGCAGGATCTGAACCTAGGACCTCTTGGTTCTGAGCCCGATGCTCTGCTGTTATGCCACATGACCCCACTTAGTATTTTTACTGCTATCCAACAGTCTCTGGTGCAATCATTCCTTGGTATGTGATAGCTAGAATTTCAATGCCTTTTGAGAACAAAATTGAAAAATTGGTCAGAAAAGTGTAAAACCGAATCATGATCATAGACATTCTATAGAACAGACTGCTTTGAATTGTTTGCTATATTTTACTAAATACACAAAACTCCTTGCTTGGTTCCCCTCGAAAGAAAGGCCAGACGAAATTGCTGTCACATAAAACAATGAAATTTATAGCCTCTACAATTATTATTGATGGGAATTTCATGTTTGAATGCTTCCTGCAATTTCTCACCCCCTCATGTCACAGTTTGCATATGATCTTGACCAGAGGAGGGCAGTGAGCAATGGATCATCATTACTCCTACTTGCTGAACACCAACTGTCGGCCCCAACACTATCAGATAAATACATTGAAAAGCCGTTTCAATGTTTTAGATGTTGTTCTAGCTAGCATTCGTCTTTCTGTCATTTGACGGAATTTTGAGGCTCATGACGAACAAAAATTTTGCCCAATCCATCATCTTTGATGGCCAAAAATTGGCAGGTAAAGATATGGTAAGATCGAGATATCATTAAACTACTGGTAAGCTTAGTCTACCAAGCAGTCTAGGATTTGGAACTTGACATGATTAATGGTACAGTACCTCAAACAAAATTGAGACGACAGAAAAAACTTCAGGCTGGCTTGAGCACTGACTTTAGACCTTTAGATTACACAGCTTCAACATTAGACATAACATGCCTTCGAATTACAGTAACTGTTCTCTTGCACACAATTTTGTCAGCACACAAAAAAATTGTCGGCGAAGGCTGTAGAAAATCTATTTTGAAGACTAGACAGGATGAAATTCAGGAAAGCATGCCTAAATCTACTTGTATTTTGTTCCCTACCGTAAGGGCTTTTGCACGGTGTCAGATTAACTTGCATGCCTTGCCTTCACCAAGGACATTTTTAACGGAAGACTGACTAGAAGAGGTGACAGTATTAGATGAAACCTTCCCGCTGCGCTCCCCAGTTTGCATGCACGTCCACACCTTGGACGTGATGGATAGGGTGCTTAGTGATTGGTTTGTCAGCCTTCCCTAATAGAAAATACTGGCTGAAGACGAATGTTCTCCGTGCCTGTTGTTTCTTATCTCTGAGTTCACTGCACACGGTATGCATAGGAGAACGTTGTAAGCCAACATCTGAAGAAAGGCGCTCTTTTGCTCTGGAAGTAATTTAAGTGAAGCATGGAATGAGAAGTAGCAAGGACGCTATATAATAAGAAGGAAGGCTTTGCGGGTACAAGCCTCAGGATTCTAGGGCTCAAAATACTGGGTGTATATGCACCTTAGTGCAGGTAAAATTGGAGCTGTGCAAGTTTTTCTGATGTCTAGCTGCAAAAACAGAAGCAAAGAGATACGTGTGCTGAAGTTACTGAATATAAGTATTAATAAAATTGATACCAAAAAAGTCAAAAGGACAAGATAAAGGTTAATAAAAGACTTCAGCTAAAAAGAATAGGAATCATTATTTTCACAGACCCTCCTTCAGCACTCAAACACACATAAGCCTTCTAACCTAATGCCCAGTAGACTGGATCGGCCGTTACAGTTTCACCTGGGGTCATCTCACCTGCTTCTGACCTCACCTGCAGCCGGCTGCCATCTTGGTTGTTTTGCAGATACCTTTTGACCCACATCACAGATGCAACCATAAACAAACACAGCCGCTTGCATCAACTGAAGGGTTTCCAAGGGTTTTCCGGGATCAATTTTAGACATTATCGACAATTACTGTCAGTCCAAAACACCATTATGATCCTCTTGCACTGTGCAAAGGTAAACTTACACACCCATTTGTAGCCCCTCTTGTGTTAACCTATTGACTTTTATTGTCTGAAATCTCCCTCTGGGTAAACTGACAGATTCTATACATGGAATGAGGAACTAGAATTGTCCTTTATGTAATATTATCTACTGCACTTTCAACAAACTGCCTTTTTTATCACGCATAAGATTAGGTTCTTATTTCCCACACTTCCACATGTGTATATGCCGGCCATTCCATTTTATGCAGATTTCGTATCACTTGTGAATTGTATTGTATTTTCAAAAGGTAAAGGTAAGTCATATCTCTCTTGACTTATTGCTTATTCAAGGGGCCTTCAGCTACCTATACCCGAAACTAAGCTTCTTAGCTCAAGGATTCCACAGAAAGCTAGAGTTACACCCGCTAATCATACCTGTGTGCTCTATTCCTCTCTGTTATACAACAAATGCTGCAGAGAAAAATAACAATCCAAGAATGTGCTCCCATAACAGAGCAATGCTGTCCAATCGAATGCCGCTTTTGAGCGACACACCTTCGTACATTCCAACCTATGACACCCGAGCATCCCCAAACATGGCACCATACCTGCCCTCTCTTTGTTCAAAGCTATTACCACAGCATACACAGTTACGCACGGTGGCCATGGAACAACCAAACTTCAAAAAGGCTGCCTTGGAAAACAACAGGCCCAGTGTTTGTACCATGTACAAGGGAAGCCACGCCACAATTACGCAAATTGTCGGTCATCAACAACAAAGTGCGCACATTTTCAAAAACCTTCCCTTTTCTAAAATATTCAAACTATTTCTTCTTTGCTGCTACAGGCAATACAAAACCATGAGAAGATTATTTCTTACAGCAGCAAATCATAGATTTATAGATTGAATCTAGATAAAAGAATAATGAATTGATCCCTCACGCAAATATAATTTTCATGTTTTGTGAGTACACGTAGATCAGTGGCTGAAATAATTTAAAACCATTTGCCAGTTATTTTTTGTGACAAAATATGAGGGAAAGTACATTATACGACCATGTGACCATACTTTGAGTAGAGGTCTATAATTATACTACAAAACCATAATGATTAACTCATCTGTAAAGGAAAGTTGTCACTTGTATTTTGAGGTACTCTTCTAAAAGAAATTTCTAGCCTCAGTATGTGTTGTTGTCAGCAGGAAGGATTCTATGCAAAGTAGAACCAACCTCCCAAATATTGAATGAATCTAGAGTTACAGTGAGCCCCAGGTCACAGGTGTCTTGTTTACTTTCCATTAAATCCATTGTTTACGGAGATTACAAATTATTCATGTAACTAGAGCTTCCCTCCTATTGTAACTGAGTTATGGCCAGTTATTCAAAGGACTTTCAAAATCGTAGTATAGTTGAGGCATATCTTGACAAATTTCTGAACAACTAAATACTAAAATCTTACAGTCTGGTAAAATGTAAAAGGTATAGACATAGAACATCAGATTCTACAATACATCTACATGTAGTAGTATTGTGTGTAGCACAGAATGCACAGAAATCGTTTGTACCAAATGTTTGAACAAAGTCTTTACATACTAGAGGGAAAAGAGATCCTATGAGTTGCCTGAAGTGCTTTCAGATAGGTGAAATACTAGTACTTCCCACACAAAGTCTAGGTTTATGCTCTTAGCCAGTAGGTATTTGAGGCATTCAGCAAACCATACATACCTTCAAGAGATGAAAGGTCGTCTGTGAGAAGCGAAATTGTCGCAACAAAGTTCTAAAACCTTGGAAAAAACATGGAGGACAAGACAGTGTCCTGTGATGTCATCACGCACCAGTAAAACCGGTCTGACAACAAACGGTAAGGTGGCGCCAGGTTTGAATCCTCCGCCCAGTTCTAACAGACACTGGAGGCTACTCAGGGGTATTCAAGGGCACCTCTTGCCACATGACAAGATGACAGCTGAGAGGTGTAATGTTACTTCTTTAGAAAGTACTCTAGGAAAAAGCAAAACTACTAACAACAGGAAACAGTGAGAGCAGTAGCCATTTTCTTTTCTTAGCAATGAGGTTGGCAATGATTCAACACTTTGTGTGACTCACTGGCTGACAGACAAATTACCACTTTCCTGTAGACTAAGGGGAAGACCCTTTACTTATTACTAACACATTAGTGTACCATCCATGTCTGATAATACCCCTTTTCAACCAAGTATAGGAATTTTTGGCTTGTATCATCAGAAAAATGTGCTTTACGAATCAACATTTCAAACAATACTCAATAATTGGGCCACGTGGATTAGATTATATGGATGACATCCTCTTGGAATCCCAAAACTGATGCAAGCAAAAAAAAAAAAGAATTGGCAAAAAAAGTAGCCTTCGAATTCATTATGAAAGCTATGTGGTCATGAAGGTTGAACAATTGACTAAACACAAAGAGTATGGTATATGGCCAACTGTGAAAAACTTTTTTCATGCACATGCAGATGTCATCCATAGTCAAATCAACATGGCCTTAGCTGCTATGTAGACCTGGGAGGCATGATCATGATATCACGATTGATACTTTCTCAGATGTTCAGAAATACCCTTTATATGTATAATAACACATTGCTGCAATGGGACCATTAGGAGAATATTTTTCAACATTCATCAACCAATTTGATAGTTACAATTTCCCTGTTAGGCAATGCAGACGTCGTTTCTAAGATGCATTACCACAATTTCCTTCCTAACCAAGAATTGAGTTGTTATTCTGAATTTCATTCCTTCTTATTGCTTATATTACATGTCAAACTGGTGAGTAAGGTTTACATGACATTTATTATAGCTATTTCATGAGAATCATTAATATGTAGAGTTACTTGACAAATGTTAATATAAATTCTTGACTTGAAATCATGCTAGTCACCAAATAGGCAATGCTCAAAGAAAATCTTGAAAGTATTAAATAAATGTAAAACTGTCGTCATGAAAAAAACTCCTTTCAAGTTCCTTTTCCGTAGTTCACAATGACCTTCTTGTTCACATAAATAAGGTAAGAGGAGAAATTAACGACTTGATCCAAGCAAGCCGAGTCCTTGATCCAGGCAAACGTCGAAGGGTGGGCTTGAATGTGGTTCAAAGAAGAACAATTACCAGAGGCAAACAGTGTTGTGTGTCAGAACCACAAGGACACCTTGTCAGACATGAGGCAGCAAACAGGCCTCAAGTTGTGTCAACTGCCAATACTAGACTTTGGGACAGCTTTGGAATACTTAATGAGTGAAGACTTTTATTGTACATTTTTGCCCCACTGCGCTAAGCACAGGTCACGTGTTAACAATCATATACAATTGTATATATTAATGTCTAGTATACACAAGAACTTTCGACTTACTCACGTTTCTTGGTAATTATAAATGTAGGTGGCTGCGTATGATTAGTTAGAGTTGGTTTATCAAAGACTATAAGGAATATAAATTTCTCTATACTTAAAACAACTTATCTATTATCTACTAAACCTTATATATTGCAGCTTTGATTCACACTTTAGTCATCAAGCATGTTTACATTCCTGTTGTGATATTTGGTACGTTGATCGTTAAAAGTAGATTGAGATTACAATCTGGTACCAAATGCATTAACGGTATCGCCCCAGCAAGTGGCATCAGAATGAATGTTGGGAGCTTATCACTTGGAAACATCTGTGCTCATCCTTGATCAATACTTTCTAACCTAACGTCCCCCTTATCTGTAATAATTCTCCATTCCTACAGGTTATACATGGGCGTGAGGTCATGTGTTCTACCCACATGCCCATCCGTTATTCCCACATGACTTAACATCTACAGACACAGAGTGTACTAGTCTGCTGTGAAAATACTGTAATGCCTGATTTTTGTCAATGTACTTTTATGTTAACAGCTTACACAGCTACTAGTACTTCTGTACCACAAACTTATCATTTACAGCTAAC